AGAAGTTCGTGGAGGACTGTCTGCTGTGGGAGGGACCCCACGCTGGATCAGGGGAAGAGTGTGAGGAGCCTCCCCTGAGGAGGAAGCAGCAGCAGAGACAACCGGTGATGAACTGACTGCAACCCTCATCCCCTGCTCCTGTATGGCACTTGGGGGAAGGAAGTTGAGAAAATTGGGAGTGAAGTTAAGCCCAGGAAGAAGGGAGCGGTGGGGGGAAAGAGTTTTAAGATTTAGGTTTTATTTCTCATTACCCTATTCTGATTTCATTGGTAATAAATTAAATTTCCCCAAGTTGAATCTGTTTTGCCCATGACAGTAATTGGTGAGTGATCTCTCCCTGTCCTTATCTTAACCCATGAGCCTTTTGTTATGTTTTCTGTCCCCTGTCCAGCTGAGGAGGTGTGTGATGATGTGGCTTTGGTGTCCAGCCAGGGCCAAGCCACCACACACATTTTCTTATGATCACACATGCACAGACAGAAGAGAACTTCATAAAGAGAAAAATGCTCTTCATTGACTCATTTGACTCCCAGTTCAATTTGACCAACTCCCTTTCCTCTCTAAAAGGGAGAAAGGGAGATCCTTCCCAGTGACAGCAAGGGTCCCCAGCCCACCTGGTTCTGTGCACAATCTTTGGAAATATGACTTGAGGCAGGTTACCTGAGCCATGCTTAAAGGAGAATCATTCAACCCGAAACATCAAAAGGGGGTTAGCTTCCTCTACAACCAAGAGGAACATGACTTGCAGTCTAATTGCAGATTATTGTAACTGGACAAGCGATAGGGCATAATCTTGGAGAAGCAAAGAACAGAGACCTGAGCTCTGATTACACAGGTCTTGCACTACTCAAGATGAAAGAGATCAATGTCTGTCTCTCTTGACAAGAGGAATGAGGCTTTTGCATTAGTGACTAGATTGGTCACTGTGAGTATGCAAATGTGGTGGCTCAGTCAGAATATGTAGGGACCTTTCTACACAGCGCTTGCACTAGTTTTTAAATCAAACTCATGCTGGCCTGATAGGGAAAGGTATTTGGGCTAGCTAGGCAAAGGAGCATTCTCTTTAAATTTGTCTATGTACCTTGTTCTTTCAGCATGGCCTTTTTTTTTTCTGTTTTCTGGTTTGTTTTTTTAAATTTTTAAAAAATTTTGGCCGGTGTGGTGTGATGTGTGATAAGAACAAAGGAATCAATATTAATCATTCTATATTTTTAAAGTCTTCATATGAGTGATTAGCATTTATGGTTTTGCAAATGGAAATGGCCATATAAACACTAATGAACTGTACTGAGAAATTTTGACAGGACTTGTAACTGAAGGTAGTATTTTATAAAATCACATGGCCTGAAGTAGATTAACATCTAAGTTCTTTTTTTTAATTGTGGTACAGCATAAGTTTCTTGGAGTCTTCCTCATTCTAGCATTATAGCCAGTGGTGAGCACAAAGCATCTTTCTTGGAAGTTTCTACAATCCTACAAAGCAGAAGGAACTTTAAATATGGCCTTCTGACCTTTTTCTCATTTTACTTCTACATTGGCCACACTGGTAAAACAGCTGGTGATGATCTTTGAGGTAGTCTCACAAGAGCAAAGTCTTAACAGCATTCAGTCCATGAATTCTGACAGGAGTTTGCATGTGAAGTAAACATTGAACATACAGTTACTTGATCTGTACATCTGAAACCAATCTGTGTGTGGTAGATACACTTGCAAACCAGGTGAAGCTTTTAAGAGACATTGGGAAGTCCTGCTCCAGTTAAAGTAGAGGCTTAAAAGAAAGCTGGAGAGTGTTTGTATCATCTTTCTGAAAATGTTATTTCTGATTGCTAACAGAAATTTAGTTGTTCCCTCCATGTGCAGCTTGCTTTTGGATTATTTTAGTGCATTAGAGTAAAGCTCTTAGTAAGAGTGTGTGTCTTGCTGTCTTCTGTAATGATGCTTCTGTTGATGTTTGGTGCTGGCAAAACAAACTAAAAATGTGCCATAAAAGATGTTAGGAAGTTGGTACTGGTAAAACACCAATAAAATGCATTTCTAGAAGAGGAGAGAAGAATTAGCTAGGGAGGAAACACCCATTGAAATGGATTTTTTTGTTGTTGTTGCTATTGCTGGAATCAAAAATTCAGCATCCATTTAATGGCAGTAGGATGTCAATGATCAACTCTTGACTTGTTACAAAGCATTTGTTTCCTTGCAGTCAGTTTATTTAAAAAACCCAACAATATTTCAACCATTCAGTAAAGTAGTTCAGAATCTACTTTTGCTGGTGGTACTTTTCATGTATGTTTAATAAATGCCATTAGTGAGAACAAAACTTAAAGGTTGTGTGACCCATGGAAGTATAAACCAGTGGTCCATATCCTGGAAGGCTTTCCTCTGAAGTCTGATTTTGTCAAGGCTAAATCAATTGTAGGGTTTATTTGGATTGTCGGAAGGGGCCCATGCTTTATTCTGCCTGCATCAGCAAAGCTTCAAACTTTTGAGCAAAACTTTCACAAAAAACTGAAAGCGATCCTTGTATGTTAGGACTTCTCTGTATGCTACTGATGATTTTTCATAAGCAAGGGTTCTACTGTAATGGCAAACAAGATCTTCTTTGAATTCTGGTTTACAGGACAGCACTTAAAAAAATTAATATATAAGATTATATTCCAAGAATGTGTTTATAAAGATAAAGAAATCAAGAAGGCTGGGTTTTCAGTTTGTCTCTTCCTGAAATAGGTTTTTTTTTTGAGGAACTTGTCTTCTTGTCTGCAATAAATACAATACAATACTCTTTCTGTTCTCCAAACACAATAATTACCATGATTGCATAATATGTAATTAATAAAATTAAAATACTTTCCTAAAGCAACTTAAGACTTTAAAAGATCAAATATTAGCAAAATAAGTGTATATTTCACAGTTGTTAGAAAAGCATTTAATCACAAAGGCTAAATTTAGTAACAAGTAGCTTTGTTTCTGTTTGTGCATATCTTTCCTTAGACTGTTAAAACTTGTTTTGTCAAATTTTCAGGGGGATCTTCCTAGGGAAAATAAGCTAAAAACCCTAACACCTCCTTCCCCCAAACCCAAACCTGTCATTGTAAATTAAGGAGTTTGCTTTCTCTACAGTAGGCTCACTATATTTAAGCATTACGTTTTTTCTTTCTTAAAACTGATAAAATTAGAAACAAGAGCAGTGGTCTGTGTCTTTATGGAAAGAGTTGGTAGTTGGTAAGCTTAAGTTGTAAGATGGAAGGAAGGTCGCAGCTGAAAGGTTTATAGCTGGGATCTCACACTTGTTTTACTAGGGTAGTATGCTCTCACCCTGATACATCTTACCCATACGGTGTTACTTGTAGTAGCCTTTTATATAAGGATAAAGGTACTGTGCCTTTTTGTTGTGTAATAGTAAAGCTTAGGGGACTAAAATCATGTCAGACTAACAGATATTGGAACCATTTTTGTTTGGCTTCTGTAAACATGCACTAGATACGTTTCATCTGGTTGTGTTTCTTGAGGCGAAGCTTTTGCAGTATGTTTTCTGGTTTTGGAGGCCTGTGGGATTCTCCTGGACATTTCACTGCTAAGCCAGCATCTCCTGTCCTTCATAGAGTCATCTGGTAACCGAACTGAGTCTTAAGAATGAAAGTTATCATAATTTATTTTTAACATGCCTTATTTTTTCACTCAGATTTGTTTACATGTTTTAATGGAGGTGAGTGTGTCTACAGAGAGCTGTGCAACTGCAGTCGATTTAATGCAACTGGACCAAGATGCCAGACAGGTGTGTAAAGAGAGAAAACCATCCGGGTTTCTGGGACTGTTTGGGTTTCTGCAGCTACAAGAGTGACTACCCTCTACCTAAAGGTTCTTTCATGCTCTAGGATTTTTCCCTCTCTTTTCTGTGGTGATATTTCATAGCATAACACACATATTTCAACTACAGGTTGAATCCAAAAACCAGTGGTACTTCTCAAGTGACTCTCCTTTTGTTAGTGTATAATACAGGTGCTGAAAGAGATCATATATGCAGAACATGGGGTCAATATAATTTTGAAACTTTCGATGGACTCTATTACTACTTTTCTGGGAAATCCACATATGCACTTGTGAGACATACTGAATTAGAGGAACAGAGTTTTTCCATACAGGTAGGGGACTGCACTTCTGCGTTTCTTTTAGCTGTTGTTGAGCTTGCTAATAATGCATTAATATTTAGAAATTCAAAGTAACTTGTGATGATAGTACGGGGTTCTAGAATGTAATCTCGATGTAATTCTAATCTTATCTGGGCTACCAGTTACTATAGCTGGAAGGAAACTGATGTGTGTACTTTCAAAACCTGCTGCAGCTGTGGAAAAACTGCTCTAAAGAATGATAATTGTACTCGTTTTTTGGGGGAAGAGTAGAACCAAACTAGTTCATGTGCTGAGGGTGGGAATGGAAGTATTAATTGTGTAATGTGAATTGTGAAGATTTTTTTTCAGATCTTGACTTTGATGCTAGTAATTTTATTTGGCAGGTGAATAATGATCCTGAGTGCCATTCTTCTCCTTACTCCTGCAAAAGGTCCATTAGTTTATTTTTTTCTGGAGGTGAACAGATAAAGATGAGCAGTGAAGTCACCTATAAAGGATTTGGGTAATTGCACTCATGTTTCTGATGCTGTAGCTACACTGGAACTAATCTCATGATACCCATTTGATAAGAGATCTACACTATCACTCTCTGTTGATAGCTTAAGAAGTAACTATCCAGACCACAGCTGTAATAATTACTCCCCATCTACAGAGCAGTGTCTGAGGAAGGTGACATCCTAATGAGTGGTACATAGTATTAAGAAGCATAACTGTTGACTTTGATCCTTTGATTTTTGCTCTTATTTGCAATCTCATATTTTTTTTTTAGTGGAATTAATATTTAATTCAGGGATTTTCAGATGTATGAGGAAGTCATTAAATCACAAAATAATTTATTTTTAATAGTGATGCTTTCTCATGTAAAGTTGTTTTTGATTCTGTCTTATTTCTCAGAGTACAGTTACCTTATGTTATTGGGAACTTACACATCCAGAAGCTAGCAGGATACTTCCTAGTCAGGCACCAGTATGCCTTTACACTGGCTTGGGATGGTACATCTGCAGTGTATATCAAAATGGCACCAGAGTATCTGGGTAAAACACATGGACTGTGTGGAAACAATAATGCTATTCTGCAGGATGATCTTGAAACTAGTTATGGTGAGTACTTAAAGTATTTCCTTTTGTGTTAATGCATGTGGGTTTTTTTGGGTGAACTAAATGTTACTTTGTTTAATTTTGAATTGCAATGCTAATTGAATATAAGATGGGCAACTTCTGAAATGGAAAATATGATCTGGGAATACTTCTGGTAGATGATACTGTTGAAGAGGGCCAATTTCAATATAGATGGGACTCTGGGGAGAAAGATCTTTAAAAAGCATGATAAAAGCTGTCTTACTCCATTACCTACAATGGTATTTGTACTTCAGTTTCCTAGGACTTGAAAGGTAAAGTCTGCTTTTAAATGTTCACTGCCCTCTCAGCAATTTTATGTGAAAGTCTGTGGGAGCCTGAGATAGTGCTATGGGAAATAAATTGATAATTTTAATTAGTATATCAAATCAATGAAGACTGCCAAATCTCATTTGATCTGGCACTTCATTTATACTAACACTTTCAGAAGTGACCAGTGATCCTTGGATATCAACTTCAAATACTTCCAGGAGTCTTGGCTTTCAATAAATACTGAGTGAAGACCTCTACAAAGAACTAGGGGGAAAAAAATCAGGCCCCTTGAAAGGTATTTCAAGTTAGGTGGTTAAAAACTTCTGGAAATCATTGTTTTGAGCTGTTTAACTCTTTGCTGGTCCTCTTTAAGGTATTTCTGTAGAGTACTACTTCAAAGCTTGAAGTACAGTATGTAGTACGCTTCCTTTATTTCAGCGTGACACTCAATTTTAGAAAGCATCAACCCTGCACTAATATCAGCTCTTACTCCCATTGAATAGCTTGCTCACTAAATCAAAATGCTTAATATAATACCGAGATCAATAGCGCTTTGTCCTCATTGCCTTCAGAGACTTTCTTCTACCCTCTCACCTTTCTCAGGATATCTCAGTCACATAAAGCTGTGATTGTAGCATGAGTCAATACATCGCGTACTAGCTTTATCCAATTAGCTTGGGGAGCAGTAGTAGAAGATATAGCAAGATATGCATTTGTGGGTAATCCAAGTAGTAATCAATGCTATGATGGATAAAACCTCTCTTAGCTAGTTTAAAGCTAGCATGGACATTACTACTTAGGTGAAAAAGTCATGCCTTTACTTGGTTAACATAAACAATCATTTTGTACCCTTGCTGTGACCCCAGGAATGTCTGTTTTTTCTTGGTTTTTAGACTCTGTCAGGAGTTTTGTGCACAGTAACAGCATAGACCTATGTTTATGCAGGTTAATACAGTTTTTCTTACCTTTCTTCCATTCAAGGACTGCAGGAGGCACAGTCCTGCTCCCTAAAGCCCTTCTTTACCAAATGCCATGAGTAAGCTTCTTTCTGCCATTCTAAAGCCTTCTTACTACAGTCCCTCTTAAAAGTTTTTTTTTTATTTCTTAAAAGGACCATATTGTCTTCAGACTAACAGCTGATTCATTTACTTGTAAGAGTTTTGTGCTCTCTGCTTAATGTAATGTTTTACTTATTGAGATGTTTACCTGGGAAATCTTACAGAAACATTGCTGTTCTTCCAAGTCACTGTGTGGTGTTGTGTGTGTGTCTTGTTTAGGAAAACTGACAGATGATGTAACGGAATTTGTAGAGAGTTGGCAGGAAAATCCTCCACAAGGAACACCCAATTGGGATAAATCTCTTCTCAATGAACCACCCTGCCTGACACAAAGTCATGAATCTCTACAGGTCTGGATCAACACAAAAGGATTATTACAAGAGTTGGTGAATCCAATTAGAGCGAGAATTTGACTTAATGCTTTGAAGGAAACTGGAAGTAGTCTCAGCTCTTCTTTGGAGGGATGGATTAAAATGATTGCTGCAGCAGAGCTTCCTTGTCACCTCCTTCCCTCCTCCCCTTTTCTTCTATATGAGTTTATAATTTAATTCTTGATCTTTTCAAATGTTCTATTATCTGCATAGCAGCCAACCAAAGTGTTTGAATCTGAGGCTAAACAAGTGACAAGTTGTAAATTAGGGGTGTGTTCTAGAGCTGGTTCCCATTCCTTCCCTTAGGAAGGATAGAAAGAAGCAGTTAAGACAAAACCAGAATGAGAGTACAGTTAATTTGACAGTGTTTTAAAAAATGCATTATTATTACTTTTGTCCAGTTTTTCCTTTTAAGTATTATTTTCAAGATATAACCCTGAAATGAAGTGCTTTGAAACTAAAGCTGGTGCCAGGCATGCTTTATTTCTGTTGCCTTTTACTGTGTATTTTAAGTAAAATGAAGGCTATTACAGCTTGTCTAGGTTTAGCTGCAACATGGTCTATGCAGGGATATGAAGGGATATGTTTTACTATCATTAGTATGACCCTGGATAAAAGATTAAATGTTATGAATACTCTGGCAGTGATAATGTTACTAGCCACTGCTTCCAGCTGCTGAGAGGAAAGTGATTCCTAGTCCCAGACTGAGATGTCTGTTCTGATTTTCCATAGTATTCTGTTCTTCTTAGGTTGAATTTTGAAAACCTTCTCTTTACAACAGCTATCTCATTCATTTCAGAGGGCATATGCTCTGTGTAATATCCTGTTACATCCCCCATTTGAACAATGTCATGAATATGTGAGTCCTCTTCCTTTTATGGCAAGCTGCACCAATGATCTTTGCATGTAAGTGAATGGTTTGGGGTAATTCCAAAGCTGTTATAACAAACATTGTCCTTCTATCATGAGAATGAATTCTAAATGTTAACAGAACTAATGTGTGTCTTTTTCTGCGTATCAGTTTTTATGTAACATGTTTTTATCATCTTGCTTTTCTCACCTGGTCTAGTTTTACTGCCAGAAATTTCTGTTCTTGGGTTTTCTTAGTATAATGAGGACCAAAATCAGGCCCAGATATTTTTGTAATTTATTAATGTACCTTCTATATGGCATTTGTTTTGATTCTGTGTGCAACATCTTTAGTATTTCTAACCTTAATGAAAAGTGATAGTGAATAGTTGAGTTTGGCATCCACAAGCTATATGTTAATCCAATGAAAAGTGGAATTTGATTACGATTTAAATTTATGCTGCTTGTTCACTGCCTGCTATGTTCCTTGTCCAAGCAGTTTTGACTAGTTAAATTGGTAGGACAAAAGAAGGTAATTTCCATTTCTTGTACCATAGTGACTCACTGGTAGAAACACTTTCTTCTTGTGAGTTTTCTGAAGGATGTTATTCCTTTTGTAAAGTAAAGATCTTTATTCAAGTCTGTTTATATTGCTATATCTCTGGCTGTCATGGATTTATTCAAGAAATTATTGTCAGGTCTCAAATACATTGCTGACCTGTCTTCAAGTGTGTGGCAGAATGTCTTATCCATCGAAGACTTTTAACCTAGCCAAACACAGTTCTTTGGAACAGTAGTTGATTCAGACAGTGTGGTTGTATGCAATGCAGGAGCATTCATGAGATTAAGATTGCATGTTTGAACATAGGTAGAAAATAATATGTCAATTTTTATTTGTGTAAGGTCAGCAGTTGAAAATGCAACTTGGTGTCGAGCATTAACAGAATATGCCAGAGCATGTGCCCATGCAGGAAAGCCCCTTCGTGGATGGCGAATGCACTTTCAGCAGTGTGGTATGCAGATGCTTTTGTGCTTGGAAATACTGCTTAGTAGTTGTATTTTGAAACAAGTGCTCTTAATTCTTTTACTTCTTGGTCCTTCCTCCCATTTTGAAGTCAGAGTCCCCAATGAAAGTATAACTATGGACTCACTTCAAGGCTACATACATGCAATGGAACTTCTTTTTTTTATATGTATGGTTTGTACTGAATGTATTTAAGGCACTAAGCTTACTAGAATGTATTTTAAGAATCTTCTTACTAAAACATCAAAGATTTTTTTAAGACAACCATTTGTTTTTTCCCAGAGCTACTCTTTCAAATATTGTCAAAGTCTTCGTGGCTTTCTGATACATAAAATGTGTCATGAGTGTTAAGAATAAATTTGGATTACACTTATGTAAGTTTTCATTTTAGAAGTCATAGAAAGTAAGTTTGAGAGATTGTCTAATTTGTCCTTCTGTCTGGAACACAGGACCAAAATTGCTTTGTCATTCATGACAGAAGATTTCCCTTGTGGTTCCAAAAATGTGTGTTAACAGAAGCTCTACCACTTCCTATGCTGGTCTGAGCATCTAAATAGCTCTGCTGTGGGAAAGTTTCCCCGAGTCTCCTTTGGTGTAATTTAAGATTATTCCTTCTCAATGCACCCTTAATGGACAGAATAGGAATGAATGTTTATTTTGTGTGTTATGGAAGCCATTGTTTCATTATTCTAGACACCAGATACTCAATTGACTTACTAAAAAGTAAAAATCTTGAAAAACATGTGCAATCTATTTAAGCCCTGGGACAGTAGCACAATACTTTTTCATTTCTCTACCTGTTTCTGTTTTTAGTGATTACCTGTGCTGAGCCCTTGACCTACAATGAATGCATCAACTGTTGCCCTGTTTCATGTCATCAGCAATCACACTGCATTGACAGTGAGCTTCCCTGCATTGATGGATGCTACTGTCCGGATGGTGGGTTTTGCTTCTCAAATACCTATTATTTGATTCCATATAAATTTTAGCTTGTTCTCCCCCGAGATTACATACCTATATTGCCTGGCTAGATTAAGGCATTTAGAGGAACACTTTATAAATGAAGTGCCAACAGAGTGTGGATGAATGACCCTGTATTCCTCATAACTGACAAGAGCCTTTTCCTCCCTCTAACAAGTAGGAATAGGTTTCAGTACAGATCCAGATTCTAGCTGTAGAACTTCACAACTTGAATCAAAAATGGGGTTTGCTCTGTTGTTGACAGGGCAGCCATCCTCTGGATTCTGGTGGTTGCTGCTTGGGATTTGGATTTTTTTTTTTTATATTTTCGTGGATTGTTTTATTGGGGTTTTTGGTGTGTTGTTTGTTTTTCTGTTTTTGCTGGTTTGTTTGTTTTCCTGAAGAATATCTGCAAGGTCAGGTGCTTAGGAGAGCTCAGAAATATGACATGACAAAAACTCATATGGTCAGCAACAGGTTTTGATACTGAGATTCTTACACTTGTATGGTTCTGGCAAGTGAGGTATTTACTAATGCAGCCTATAGCAAAACTTTACCTTTATTACCAAAATATACTTGGATGTCCCATTTTCCACTTATTACTGGTTTCTCTTGGGAACATAATTCTGTCTAAAAGAAGACAGAAAAAGAAATGTCTTAAAACATAGAGGCAAAGATTTGTCAAGGTGTCAAAAAAGAAGCCAGAGGTAATCAAAGCAGCATGGTTTGGTGGTTGTGTGGTTTTGGGTTTTTTGTGGGGGTGGTTCCTCCTCCTCTCCCCCAGTATTGAATACTTGATATTAATACTATTGTTAGTGTACTTCAAGCAATTTAGGGACTTGTTCTATGTAATATAATTTATTTCATATAATTCAAATGCATGCTTGTTCTGCAAAATTGACTGCTAATCATCTAGAGTTTTATAATCATAAATGACCATTTGTGCTGTTCTTGAGTGTACTAGTTAGTGCTCCATCAGCCATTTGTACAGATAATTTACTTTTTTTCTTGTTTTATTTCTTTTAGGCTTAATTTATGAAAATGAAATGTGTGTCAAGCCTATGGACTGTCCTTGTGACTACCATGGAAATTTCTTTGAAATGGGCTCAGTGGTTTATGAGGAATGTAATAACTGGTTAGTAATTTTTATTTTTATGCTTAATCCTTTCATGGTCATGAGAGACAACTTCTTTAAGGCCTGTTTCACTTAAATTGAATATAGTTGGTAAGTCTTCACTGTTTCTACATACAAAAACTGGTTTTCAATATATGTTTTGCCATGAAGGGAAAGATAAAAGAAACTATAGAGCTGTTAATGTGGAAGAAGAGCAAATGACAGATATTGCAGAGAATACTGTAATGTTTAGTACTCTTTTCACCTTCAACTCTGCCTCAAACTAAAAGGAATCTAGAATTCAAAATCTTTAACCAGAGTATTACTTTGACTTTGTTTTGTCTCCTGTTGTGTTGTCTCACCTGGACACAAAGAGCCTAATGTCATTATGATGCTAAGCTGCTGTTTTTGGAATTTCTAAGTTAATTTTATACATTGGAAATAAAAATTTTCAGGAAGAGATAATGCCTTTTATTGGATCATCTTAATTGAAGGAAACGGATGAGTTTGCAGATGTACAACTTCTTTTTTCACAACAGTTCTATTTTTTTAAAGTGAGAAGATTCAAATTGCTTGTATTTATTCTTCCCAATTTTAATAATCCCTAACTTTTATAATGGTTATCAAGTAGCTGAAAAGAGAGAGAGGTGTTACTGGATGCATAGATGAAATTTCACCTGATCATATCCTCGTGACAAGCTCCTGTCACAGCTCCCAGGCATTCTAGTGACTATGGTGGCTCTGTTGCACCCTTCTGTGATGCTCAAGACACTTGGTGCTAGTTTCATAGAGAAGCAATCCAGGAAGAGCTACTGAGGGGCAGCCGTATATAGTCCACCCAAAAAAAAAGAAAAAAGTATGAAACCTTTTTTGTTTATATTTCAGCACTTGCATTGGAGGAAAGTGGATTTGTACAAATCTTACATGTCCAGGTATGTGAAAGTCTTGAATAATTTTGGAGTAACTGAATTTTAACTTGGGATAAAATATTACTGTTGGATCTCAATGTGATATTTCACTATTTCACTATATAATTTGTGGTTTTATTTCTACCTACATATAAACACATCGACACAGACAATAGATAAAAATGGTCTGAATAACAGACGCCTGCCTTTCAGCTTAGGCAGTAATGTGCCTCCTTGTACATCAACATAATGTCTCTGGTAGATGGCACTTCCTGGTCATTCTTGTCATTCAACTAAGTTTCCTCTACAATCTTCACTTGACAGACTTATGGCAAGAGGACTTTTTTTTTTTCCCCTCACAGTATGGCTAGACAGTGATACAGCATCTAGGTCATTAAGGACTACAACAGTTAACTAGCACCTCAGACCAGTGCTTGTATCTACTGGCAGTATAAAACCCATGAGGCCATGAGTACCTTTAACATGCAAAACTCTAGACCTTAGTCTCTGTAGTTTAGCTGCCTATCTGTGAAGTGAGAATAATGCCCCTCATTCCACAGGCATGTTGTGAAAATCACTAACTGATATTCTTACAATTTCTGCAAATTGGTTTTTAGAGCCACAAATCAAATACCGAGGATGTAAGTATCACACATATTATTGCCTCCTTTTGGGGGAAAAATTGCTTAGGTATCCTAGCCTGGCACCAAGTAGGAAGTCCATAACAAAAGCAAGTTCAGTTCCTAATCATGTTCCTAGTACCTGGTTCTAATAGGAATGCAGTTTCATAAATTATAGTGTGTATCAGAGTGTATGTACTTTACAGCAGTACTAATCATTGAGAGTACACTGTCTTTTCTACATACTTAAATACATTAATTATGTTTGTCAGCTGAATGCTCAGTTTCAGGAGACATTCATTTCATGACCTTTGATGGGCGCAAATACACTTTCCAAGCTACCTGCCAATATATTCTGGCAAAAAGCCGTACATCTGAAGCATTTACCATATCCTTGCAAAATGCTCCTTGTGGACAGGTAAGGCTTAGAACCTTCTTGCAATGTTTATATCCTGAAGGGTTCATTAACTAGGGGTGCAGGGAGTATTAAAACCAATGAAAGATACTTGCAGTTGAATAATTAGAATTAATCAGTAGGAATAATTTTCCTTAGTGATGAAATAGTTGAACAACAGTGCAGAGGAAGTCTGTAGATAAATTCTCACGTATGTTTGTGATAAATAGGATGGGTTTTGCGAGCATTCTGATTCATTGTTCAGTGAGGTCATTCAGTAGCGTATGGGGGTTTGTGCAGCAAACCCCAGGTGATGAATTGTGTTCTTGGGCTTCCTGAGTAACTCTGCGAATTTGCAACGAACACAAAACAAGCCTACTGCTTTTCACTGCTTGAAGAAAGAGTTGTTTGGGTTTTTTTTGTGCCTTGAATATAAATTTCTTTCAGCTTTGTTCTTGCGGCTTGAAATTCACTTTTAGTTCCATTGATATGAAACACTAGATAGCTTTTGGGACAGCTCTCTCGGATTTGGGTGTATGTATGCATCTGTGTTGCTATTGTTAAGTTGGTATCCTGTTCAACTGATTTCAGCCAAACATGCATGTGTGTATATTTAGCTCATTCTACAGGTGCTCCTACTTTATATTTGAAAGTTTCTGATAGTGTACACGGAAGTATTTAATCTGCTTTGTCCAGGACGATTCTCTTTCCTCTGTGTATTTGGATTTCTGAAAATGTACTATAATGTTGTCTGTGTGAGGTATGGAACACTGGTGGGATTTTTCACTATAGCATTTCATTCTTACTACAATCTTGATAGGCCCTCGTGATTCTGAGGAAGTTAAGGCAAGTTATAATAGCTCCTAAACATACATTGGTGGTGGGAGAAGTGTAGTTGAGCTGTTTTCTGGCATCAGGCTTTTCTCACTGACTTTGAGTTCTACATAAGGGCAGAATTTGGCCCACATTTGCATTAGGGTCATAATGCTACTATGGATGCCTACCTAATAAGCTGCGGGATTTTCTGTAGGAGCAAGGTGTTAAACTTTGCATCTTGGCCAGATTTATGATCTGTCTCCAGTGGTCTTGTGAAATTATTTTTACCTGGGAGTATTGTTAGTTTGTATATAGACTCTTTGCTGTGTTTCTAGATCATCTACTATATATACTATATGTATCTATCTACTAGATACTGGAAGTATATATAGATTTAAATGTGACTCTTTTTGCTGAATTTCTAGACCATCTACTATGTTAGCTCCAAATTTTAGTTCTTGGCATGATGAACTTCCATACTGCAGTTATGTACTTTGCTTAAAATTGGATTTAGCACCATTGCTTTTTACTTATGTGGAGGTAACTACTTACTCTTCATTATAGTCGTTTTCTCTTGTGTTCTAAATAAACACATGATTTTATACGTCCTTTTACACTAACCATTGCATTCATTCTTCTCTGCAGCTTATGTTGTTCGTGCATTTGATATTTCCTTGGGAAGAAAAATGGTTATATATAACTTGTCTTGACACACTTTCCAAAGGCATATTTCAGTAAAGTCTTTTTGGCCTTGTGCACTAAAACCTACTTCTCTGTATAAAGACCCTTAAGCAGACAGAAGTCATATTAAAGTGGCATTGACAAGTTTATAATAACAGAAATGCTTTATTTGCAATCCAGGTAAGAGATGGGAGACTGAGTGCATGGAGTCCCCTTCTCATCTCAGTAATAAAAATTGAGGGGTAAGAAGAATAGCTGAACTGAATTGAGACCAAATATATTTTTCCAACTGGATGATTCTTAAGTAAATGTTCCACTATCTCTTATATGGTCCCTAGGAGAAGTGTATCAGAACATCAGGTGAGGCATGTGACAGGGCATAAAAGTTACCAGTGTAGAAAAAGTGGATTCTGGTGTTGTGAATACAGCCACTTTATCACGCTCTAATAGCCTCTAGCTCCTTGATATAGAAGAGTTACACTGGGGGCTGTGAAATGAGATCTTGGTGAGGACATGCGCATTAAAAAAAAACAACTTCTAGGCTTTAATCTTTGTGTGCACCATCCTTTGGGTTGAGAAGAATCTGGTGATCCTACAAGTATTTCCTGTTGATGAGAAGACTGAGACAGTTTCAAGATGTAATATAACTGATCGTTGCTACAATTCCCTATTTCAAGTGTACATTTGACTTAGGTTATTCAGATTTTAATGATTTTAGCTGGCTTCATTCTGTGCTAACCTTGGGATCCTGAAGAGTCAATTAAGTCAGTGTCATCATCTAAAAGAAAAAAAAAAAAAAAAAAAATGCAACATAGGCATAACTCTGTTGTCAGCAGAATAATATTCTCAGAAGTTTGCAGAGTCCAAGAAGCTTGAGAAAGGTGGTTGTATGTTGAAGCTGTGTCCCATACTATGGGGTTGAAGATAAGCAAAGGGGATCTCCAAAGTAATGCTCTAGGCAACTTTTTTATCAAATGAAATTTGAGACATGTTTGACTTCCTGCAGAAGGCTACAGTGAGATACCTTTCAGCCTGACCTGTTGAAAAGCCCATCAATGGGCAACAGAGGTCTGAAGCAAATAATCTGCTATGGTAATGTGCAGTATATGTATTGTGGATCTCATTCCCTTCTGTGTCACAGAACACCTCTGTGCAAAACAGACAGAAATGTGCCTTTTGATTTAGTAGTTGTGGTGATACTTTAGTTGGGGAAAGTGATAACCAAATTAGTTTGCTTTCTGCAGCACTCATGAGACTGCAAAGAGCCTTGCAGTAATTCTTGCATTTTCGTCACCCTGACTTAGGGACTTCGCTTAATTTGTCTCTGTGTCCAAGTGGTTTGTAGGTGGAAAAACAGATTCTCTTGACTTTTAGTATATGTTGGGCTTCATATTTCATCCAGTCTTTAACAAAGATAACCTTATCAGTCCCTAATAAATAAGACTCTTACAGAGGTTGGTGTAGAAGCATTATGGACGTTAACAGCCAGGTGGATGATCAGAGGCTTATGTGGTGTGTTCCAGAGGCTACATGCTGCTAATTTAATTACCAATGTGCAAGCAGTGAGAGAGTATTAAGAACAGTTGTGTAAGGCAAGACTGTGGGGCTTCGGTGCAGCTATTCAAGTGTCTGACTATCAACTAGCTGGTACTGCTTGGCAGAAGAGCTGCTTTACAGTTCCCTAGGCACCATCCATTATCTTGTTCCCATTTATGAAAATTAATGAATTGAAATGGAAAGCTAAAAGATTTGTAGTGCAGAATCTCATATTTCTTGATGGTTTGAAATTTTATGTGCTTTTTTTTTTAAAAAAAAAAGTATCAATCCCATCTCATTCAATCAATCAGATTAAAAAATGTGGAAAGAAAATACCTGGGGAGATTATAGCTTGCTGATTCACAAAGAATCCAGTCATCTAGAGCCTTAGAGCTGGTGACATAAGCAGTCATCAGGCAACAAGTTATTTCAAAACGATGTGAAATTTTGTTTAAGCAGTTTTTGGAAGGAGAATCAGTCAAGTGATCAGCATGGCTTAACCTTATCTGAGTTTCAGATGACAACCTTTGTAGTTTGTATGATGAGAAGATCTTCTGAATACAGATATTTTTTTTTAAATGTCTAGTGAGAGAAATGGCTGTTCCTGTGAAAACACCTGCTGAAAGTTGGCAGGGGCAGTGCTGTGAAAGAAATAGTCCATTGAAACAGAGAAGAATTGTCAGCCAGAATTTTTCCTTTAGTTTCAGCATGAAGAAAATAGTAAGGCTTTTGTCAATATTGTGTAGTAATGTATATACTATGGAGGGTTTTTCCCTTGGTTCTGGTCTGCTATGCACACCGGCTGGTATTCTTTTATTTTCAGCTTCTTAAAAGGTCAACAAAATTGTCGCTTTATAGCCACTGTTGCTGAATGATATGCACAGAAACCTAATTTCTTAATAGAGTCAAGACAACAAGGTAAGCTACAAGAGCATGGCTTCACAATGCACATGTCTGTCTTCACTATCCAGGAGAGCTGGTTGAGCTGATGAAAGATCTCCAGTTATTTTCATAATTTGCTATTTTTAAATTTCATTTTATCATTTCAACTGTTGTTGAAAGATCGCTGTTGCACTATTATTTGGGGACAGGGAAATTCTGAATGTAGTTTCTAATCTTTACACAACACTGTGTACCTGTGTGTCCATGGTATTTGAAGGACTGATAGGTGATCTGCTCTGTGCTAGTTCTGTCAAAGCCACACAGTAGTGTCCAGAGATCCTTGCAGCTCTAGTAATTGTATTCAACATTAGGGCAGCATTTGCCCTCTATTTCATAAGTCTCAGTAAAAGTCAGAGTTGGATAAATGTGTAAATCTTTGAACTGAACATCCTCATCTGTTTGCACTGTGAATGGTGCTATTCACAGTATAATTTTGCTGTTAGTGTGACTGTCCAAAGGCAGGGATATTTTATCTAAATCTTGTTCATTGCTGTTTTCAGCACTGAAGATGCTTAACATTTTACTATTTCATCATCAGTTATGCCTTCTCTGTAGGCAGTGGGACTGGAAAGTGCAGCCTCCCACAGTGCTGCTGGACTGCAGCTCAGGGTCAGGTCTAATCAATGACAAACTTCCTGCACTAAGACCTAGGCTGTGCTTTAACCAAGTCATTTCAGACATCTGTGTATGTTTTAGTATATAAGATATTACAAGACATGAAAGATGCATAATGAGAGTAAAATAAGCACATAGTGTGCCAAAAATGACTGGACCGAATTTTTGTCATTGTTCTTGAATACCTTTTGAATTGTTACAAGGTATTGAGTAAAGGAGGCTGAACAGAAGAAACAGCAGTTGGGTGCTACCCCCTTTTCCTCTGTATATGTCAGGAAATAGACAGTCTCTTAACTTTATCCAGCTAACTAAACCATTGTAAATAAGCTGATGCCTCAGGAGCCATAGTGAAGAGATTCGAGTATAGCAGAAGTGGCAGAAACATAATTCCTTCCTAGAGCTAAGAGAAAATAGAAAGTGAACTGTGATTCTGATGTCTTTCAGCATGTATCAAAGTGAATTACAGGATGCTGACACGGTGAAGTTCAAGTCATCTCTCTATTAACCTTTATGCCTGATTCTCTGTGATAGAACATTTTTTTCTTTTTAAAAAAATCCTGCAGTGAACAAATTCATTCTGTTAAGAAAAATCTGGTAATCTTCTGTGATTAATAAGCATGCTTTAATGAATGTTCTTTCCCTATTGGGGTTGAAAGCCAAAGTACCTGTAGTTATTCTGAAAGGTGGAAGTCCTGGCCTGGGAACTTTGATAAGGAACTGACTAGTGTTCATTATCTATCCAGCTAGTTGCCATGTTATTTAGTACAGGTGTATTTGTTAAAGGTGATATGTTGAAAACATTGAAAACATTCAATATTCAGTAGGACTCAAGCTTGTGCTGCTTTCCACCTGTGTGATAGTATGTCTAGTTGAAGATCACTACAGTAACAGAACATGCAGGAATTAAGTAATTTGGGACTTCATTTAGGTACCGACCAGTTTCAGGACTTGCTTTAGGACTTTTCTTAGGCTGTTGTGAAGGCTTTTCTGTCTGCTTGGGTTTCTTGATGCTAAAGTTTATAAAATGTCAGCCATGTGGGCTTTCATGTCTTGAGTAAGAATCCGCCTTGAAAAATAAAGTTAAAACAAATGGCTGAAGGTGTAAAACCAGTTCTGTCTGTATGTCAGCGTAGGCCCTAATGAGTTCCTTAGAAACTTGAAAATAATGAACCAGAATCATGAATGGAAAAAGAATTTGGTCTAACTACTGTAGAACATGTATAACTAATTGACCTCTGTTTTGATGAAAGCAGTTAACTTGAATTAAATTATTTATATTTAAGCTGTTGTGAAATTTTCTTTTGTAGGAGATGTAACTTCTTTATATTGTGAAACTTTAGCATATGAATCTCAGTTTTTTAGGATTTCACTTGATTTTCAACATTACCAAAAGCAGCCACTGAAGAGGGTGGGTATAGGTAAAGTAGATGAGGTTGATCTAGGATTTTTTGGAATATGTTTCACACAGGCTGAAATGCAGTATTCCTTTTCATGTTTTTTCTATATGATGTTTTGACTTGAGCTGAAGTGGAAATAAGAATAAGCAGTGGTGGCAACACTAAGCAAGTTGGGCCAGTTGGATGTTGTGATATTGTATGCTGACATGATGTTTCCTTTCTTTCATCAATATTCATTCAGGGAGCATATGAACATACTCTTCAACTCCTCGCAGAAATAATGACATTAAATGCTGGTTTAAATTATGATTCACAAGATGCTTCTGTCTTTCGTTATTATTTACCTTAAAAACAATTTTATATCTTAAACATGCTTTAAAAGGACCTGGGTATATCAGAACACTTTAAAGTACAAATTTGGTTTTCTTTGCACAACTGTGTCGATAATGCAGCCTTCTTTGTGAGCATTAACTCAGCCTCAGGGGGTATTTAATCAAGGGGGTCTCATGAATTGCAGGTATATTTGTACTAATCTATGTAAGAATTGTTTCTCTTTCCAAATCCCACCTTTGAGCTATACTTGCATAATAGGTTAGAGTTATATTTAAACATGCATATGAAATAACTTAAAATACTAGTTTTCTTACTTAGCCGTAAGACTGTATGTTTTACAAGTCCACTCTGCTAAGAAGCAAGATACAATTGAAAATTTTTAATTCCCCACTAATGACAGCTTTGCTTGTGCTCTTACTTAACATTCATACTACTTAAATATTTTTAAAAAAAAAAAAAACAACTTCTTTTGCTCTTACCTGTAGAACCAAGATGGATCATGTATCCAATCAATCAGCCTTATTCTTAAGCAGGACCCCAAGAGGCAAGTGACTCTGACTCATTCAGGAGATGTTTTGGTATATGACCAATACAAAATTAACCTGCCTTACGCAGATGGTAAGGAATAATATATAAGCATATAATGCCTATCAAACACTAAAGCAGTATTTTAATGGCATATTTGTATGTTGTGATACTGTCAATATTGCGAACATATGGAAGTTAAGTGGTATGTTGTTAATATCAACATTGTTAATTTCGTATGAGATGTTTTACAAATTAAGTGCTGATATACTTTTTACACTGTTGGTAGGAATTATACAGTAGCTGTAGTGGGGTAGTGTCTCTTACGTTGAGATGGAGTATATTCTGTCTTTTTCGAAAGACCAAATGCCAACCCTCACATCTACGAGGTTAGCTCTTTTCTGAGGGGAAGTTATTTTCTGATTCTTGACTGAAAAATTTATTTTCTCTGTTTTTTGTCAGCAACTTGAGTTCATGTAACTGGAAAGAGCCCTCTTGCCCCTGACAGATAAACTGCAGGTTTTCAGACAAAAAATTTGACTTTGTTTCTTTTTCTTTTTGCTTCAATGAGGTTTTCAAACCTCTCCCTTGGCAAGATATTACCAAGTTTTCTACATATGAATTCGTGACTGTGTTCTGTGAGGTCCAGTGTTTGCTTCAGTGTGAGCTTTATATGCAAATCATTAGTACATTTGATGCCTGTGGGGCCTCGGCTCTTTGGGAATTTCCCAAAAAAGGCTTTATTACAGGAAGCACATTGCTGATGTTAGGATTAGGTTGTCTAAAACAAGTGGTCTGCAATGTTTGTATCTTTAAATTGATTTGCTTTTAGCTAACCTTTATGACTATTACAGTGAACTCGATGCATTTTCAAGAAGGGTGCTGACTGTCATAAGATTTTTTTTCTTCATTAAAGCCTGAATCAGTGTAACCTTTTGTGAGAAATTGATGAGGGAGAAAATAGGCCCTTGATAAGAAAAAAATGTAACTTACATAAAAATAATATAAAAAAACCCCAGTGAAATGACAAGAAACAAAATGCAAATAGCAAGCAGGTTTCCTTTTGTCTTTCAACAATCTCTGTTTTTACTCACCAGAGTTATTTGAAATACGGAAGCTGTCCTCTATATTTCTTCAAGTAAAGACACACATTGGATTACAGATACTCTATGACAGAGAAGGACTGAGGCTTTATCTTCGAGCTGATGGACGGTGGAAAGATGATACTGTGGGCCTTTGTGGAACCTTCAATGGAAATATGGAGGATGATTTTTTGTATGACTAGCTGCAAGATTTCTATTTGCCAGTATATGAATATCTACAGTTAGAGTGGTAGATCAAGTGTGTACTGAAGCTGAATGGATAGATACCAAGAAAATTTTTTTTAAGTTTTCTGTTAGTGAGATAGTAGGTTTTAGTTTGATAACAGAAAGTCTGTAACTTCAACTATAGAATATCAAGCCAGGTTTTGCTTAAAATATTTTAATATAAAAAATACAGTGAAATATATATGACACATAAGTGCTAGTTTATCTGAAAGTTTTTGTCCAAAATATGGAGTGGTCTATATAAGGGACTTTCTGCCTCCCTGCAAGCCTCTTTATCTCTCTCCAGTCCTGTTTTCTGCTGCAAGTTCTGATCTGCTCTCTCTGACAGAGCCTCCATTGTTCAGTGTCTACAGGCCAGCAACAGGAATTGGCTTCATTGTGATGCAGTGAAAAGTGGTCAGAGCTGCCTGAGCATCACAGTCAAGATTGCTATTTGTCCAGCTGCTTTGCTTAATTCCTACAGATACTAAAGAAAATTGGCTTCCAGAAGACTGAGCAGCTTAATGGAAGTGAGAGAAAGAGAACATGAATTTAGAACACAACAGAATATTTCTTTGACCAAGGAAAAAAAAGAGTAGGAGAACGTCTTTCTCTTAAAACAGTTGGAATTTTTAAAAATTCCATAAATTTTAAAGCCCATAGAAAAATGGGAAAACTTTCCGTAATAGTTACCATTTAAAAACACACACACAAGTATTCTAGTGGATTTTTGAACAATTTTTATCTTAAAGATTAAAAAGCATTATTAGAATATCATTTGTAATGGGACTAGGAAATATATGGACAGGATCTCAGTGAAGAGGTATTTATGTAAAACTACTTAAAATACTTCCCTCTTTGAAGCAAGTAAGTTTTGTAGTGTATTTTTGATGACAATCTTTGGACCTTTTTCTCAAATAAGTGACAAACTGTTCAGTAGTTGATATTTGTGAAAAAAAGCCCTTAAACTACAGGAAGTTATGAATTGGGCTGAGACATGACACTGACTATAATGTGCAAGCATCTTGTCTTGTACACAAAACTCCTGATCAACACCAGGCTTGGGAGAGTTGCTACAGGCAGTAGTATCTTTTGCAATGCCTCCACCACCAGCTACTTTACTAGAAGTAATACTACTGGTTATATGCCTAATGCAGTCTTTTTTCCTGGAGTGTAAGATCCTGTATTTAAACACATGGTTGCAATTGTTGTCCTTATACAATATTAATGTGCCTTAGTTGTTTTGATCAAAGTCTTTCTATCTTTCAGCTTGTTGCCATGCTGCTTACCTCGGCCTTATGGATATCTATCCAATTGCTTTTGCAGTTTTATCTCTGGGCCCTTGAATTTCTCTTACTTCCTCTTTCTCACAGGGAATAGAGAGCCTGGGAAGTCAGCTACATATGAACAGACAGGGAATTATAGGTAGAGGAGAGAGAAAAATGGGTCAGATATCACTGAGGAGGCAGAAGTATGAATAAGAGAGTGCAGACTTTCAGGACTCCTTCTCCTTAGGAAAATGGAACTTGGCTTGTTTTGATCAGTCCTTCCTTACAGAGTATCTAATGGCTCTAGAGCAGATCTTCTCTTCCTTTTCTGGGCCTTTACCTGGAAAGAAAGAGTCGAGTCCTGAAATTTAAGAGGAGAGTGCCTGAGAATATGGAGTAGTGGAAGGGGAGTTTAAATCAGCTGTGTTGAAGGGGGTGGTAGAACTGAGACCATTCTGCAGATTCACTGTATCTTTTGTGTCTGACTTCTGTTTTATATAAGATCTCCAGTTGGAGTAACTGAAAGCACACCAGAGCTGTTTGGAAACACATGGAAAACTTCCTTGGCATGTGTTGTTGTGCATGATAGCTCACAAATGGATCCATGTGATATTCATCTGCAGGCAGGTGGGAAGTGAAGGACAACTGTTATTGACAAATGCATTTCTACTTATTAAATCTGTGTTGATTTTCCTAGTTGGATCAGGTAAAATAATAATCAGTTCTGCCCACTGAAAAAATGAATGCTTATAGGTAGCATTTGAGTTCAGTCCCCTAACAACAAATGAAGTAGTGTATTGTTTAAATATTTTCTGATACTTGCAGAGGCACTTGAAATACCTCTTTTTTATTTCTGGTGTGCAATTATGAAGTGTAAAGCTAGACATGCATTAAAGTTTGGTAAAATGTCTAATATTGGTGATGCTGCTCCTTAAGATGGAGACTCAAAAGCATTGCAGTATTCATTTTTTAAAATACTGAATAAATGAAACATTTGATTTAGTTGTCTGCTATGGAGGAAAATGAGTAGGAGAAAGCTACTTATGCACTGCCAGCCTTTAGATTCAGCTGAAAGGGTACAGTTGGAGAATGATGCTAGTGGTGTGCTGCCATGAGGACCACACGTGGTCACGAATTCATCCTTTAATAATGATGAACTTCATAGATCATCAGTCATATCCATTTCACAGTTCCTCCCATGTCTTGTCTTGGACTCTACATACTTTCAGGCAAGATACAGAGGTAAAAGATTGATTAAGGTTTTACCTGTCATTTCAACAGTGCTAGGAAATGACCATCCTGCCATCTCATCATCCTGTCTTTTGAATATTTATACAACTTGCAATACTAAGAAGCTGCATTCATTCTAATGGTTTTGGACATGAATGTAGAAAAAAAGGGCCTGTACAGGAAGTCAGAAATTTTGGAAAAAGAATTTTGAAGTTCTAGTTTGTGCATCTCTCATTTTGTGGGAAATAAATTTATCACTTTATGGTATGCTAATATAGCATATTATTTCTTTTGACCATTATTGCATAATGCACTCAGAATTAAGATATTCAGGGGTGCTGTGTTTGGAGCTTCTTAAGTAACTATTTGATAATGCTCTTGTTCTCTTGTGCGATAATGCTATCCCAGGCTAGAAGCTCTGGGTGTGGTTGCAGCCTTATGCAACTGAAACAATGGGTAAAACAGATTATTCTTTAAAATACTGACCTATTGAAGGGAGTTACTGGCAATAGCTTAAACTGAAAAGAGATGTAATCCTCTTTCTGAAAGGCACTGGATAGTGCGTTGCATCTGTTGCCTAACACACATCCGTGAATCAGTTTAAAGATAGACACTGTCTGTGTATTGTAAGGTTTTCTGAATACCTTAAAATAATTCCAAGAAGAAGCTCAAAGCTATGAGCAGCTAACTTATTTTCTGTCCTTGCATACAGTTGTATAGATATGAAAGACAGAAAGCTATATATGGTAAAAGTATATAACCATGATCAGTTGCATTGTATAGAAGTCACTTTTTATTCCAAGTATTTTTAAAACTCTCTCACTGAAACAGTGTTTAATCTGTTATTTGTATAGCCTCTTATGCATCAGAAGCTTGTAGCATCCTTACAAAAGAACTTTTTGCTCCATGCTACCCCTATTTGAGTCCCGTTCCCTATTTCGAGCAGTGCAGAAGAGACACTTGCAAATGTGGACAGACTTGTTTTTGCTCTGCTCTGGCCCACTATGCTCATCATTGCCGAAGATTTGGAGTTATGATAGATTTCAGAGGAAGTGTCCCAGACTGTGGTGAGTTGCCTTTCACTTCTAGTCTTAAATAATTACTGTTTGATGACTTTAGAATGACAGTCAGAAAGTAGAAATAAATGAATATTCTAAATGAGAAGAGGATTAATTCTAGCATGATCTTTTGTGTACAGGGCAAGGTTCTTTTTTTGTCAAGACAGAATTAGTACCAGTGTTGTTAGAGTATTGTTCCTTATAGCTGGCTGTCTTCAGTTTTGACTTTGTAAACAATGCAAAATTTTTTTTGTAGTTGGAGGGCTTCAAATATATACAGAATTAAAAATGTCTGTATTTCATACAGCTTTGAATAGCCCAGACCCATGCTGATATTGTTAATGAACTGTGTAAACACATTTTTTCTTTTCCTCATAGGTGCTAGGTTTATCTAATTCTTGAAATGAAAAATGATGGTGATGTATTTAGCAGTTTTAGCTGTTAACTTCTGTTTGACAACCTCTTTTAGCTTATTCTCTTACTGTCAGTGACACTGAAATACGTGGAGTGCTGAAATAAATGTAGAGAATTAGTATTGTTGGTATTTAATTTAAAATTGAATGGAAGAGTTTAGGTAGTGTAGAGATATAGGTGACATCTCTTACCTGCTCTATAATGCCACACAAATTGAAGATGGGGTTAATAATATTAAATTCTTCAGTTTATATGAATTGTAGTGATGCAGACAATGTTGATAGGATACATAGTGCCCTTACATACTTTTTTTTTTTTTAAATTATAGAATTGGAAACCCTATAAAACCTACCTAAACTGACACCCCTGATGTTTCAGTAGGTTTGGCTCCATAAACAAGGCTGAAAATCTTTTCTAAGGAGCATTCAAGAACTTAACATCTGGTAGTTTTCATTACACCATGTAATTATCCATGTTGTAATGCATGATAAAGAGGATTTTGGAAAGTTGGTCCAGCTTAAGTATCTTAAGTATCTTAAGCTGGAGTACCTGTATGTGTAGCTAAAAAAGACTGGCTTGCTTGCAGTCATTATGGCATGAATGGCTGTGTCCACTATGACTGAATGAATCATTTAAACCATTTAACTATTTTGCTTTGTTAGAAAAAGGTATAGGTTTAATAAAATGTATTTTTAAAGTCATTCTTGTAGGGTTTAAAATACATCAATCTCTTCAGTATTTCAAGAACTAAAGATTTTAAATTTTTTTTAAGTAGGGCTTTATAGGACATAGAAAATTTAAGATGGTATTGTGCAATGTCTGCAAAGTACACACATTTTATTTATTTCTTTTAATGTTTTCCTGGAGATGCTGTCCATTTCCCAAAGCCCGTGTACAAGAGCCAAGTGTTTTCAGAGTTGGAGGGAAAAAAAGCTTCAACTGTTCGGTTTCCCCAGTGTAAATCTGGATTACCTGTGCAGACTTCATTGTACTCATTATTACTGCGGATTTACATCTGTGTAGTTTACACAGCATAGTGCCAAGATAGCAATTTTAGTGGAATTTAATGTGATTGGGAATGAAAGAATAGAGATGTTTATCAGAAAACTGTTGGGAGGTACTTGAGTCTCTTGCGCTGTAATTTGAGAGATTTGTTTCAATTGGACAGCTCTTTCATGTGAAGATACAAAGGAGTACAGTACTTGTATATCTAACTGTGGCAGAACCTGCCAAGCACTGTCTGTGCCAGAGACATGCAGCAGTGATTGTGTTGAAGGCTGTGCTTGTCCCTCTGGAATGTATTTGAATTCCAAGACGAAACAATGTGTACAGAGGTAGGTAAAGTTGCAGTTCTAATAGTCACACTCACTATTTTAAACAACTACATTTGCAGGTCACGGTGAGGAGCTATAAACATGTAGCCTTGTAGATGTTATTCATCTGTAAACTTGACAGGATCTTAGAATTATACAGAAGCTGTATGTTGAGCAAAACTAGTTCTTTTGTAGAACTGATGCTCACCCAACATCACCAAAACTAATTGTTACGTATTGTCTGGTTTCTGGCATACAAGAGATACAAAAGGTGTCTGTTGTGTAGAGGTTCTGTTTTGTTACCAATTTGGTTTGGAGTGTGCTTGAGTTATATGTCAGTATGTATCAGTAGTTACCAAGATCAATTTCTTGTATTTAAAAACAAAACCAAACCAAAAAAACCCACATTAAAACTTCACCCATCCACAAACCTCACTAAAACCAACAAAGCAACCATTTGAACAGCAATTAAATCAATGGGAATTCTTTTCTTCCTTCCGTTTGATTTAATCACAGTTACATGTTTTTTCCTTTACTCCAGAAACGAATGTCCTTGTTATTTTCAAGGAATTGACTACCCTCCTGGAGAAAATGTTATGACATCTTTGGGCAAATGGTAAGACACAAAACTGCTTTTTTCCTCTGTCTAAATAGTGTCTCTTTTAAGAGCTCTGTCAAATCATTCTGTCCAGCCTGTTGGGTTTTTTGGTTGTTATTTTGGTGGTTTTATAGTGAAACATACAAAGTGAACATACATCAGTTTTCTATGCATATTTGGACAGAGCTTCTGTAAAACTTGGGGTTTTGGGCTGCTGTATTTATAATCCAAGATACTGAATTTGAAAGTAGAGAGGAAAGCCACTATCATTTTGTAGATCTGATCTAATGTGGAGAGCTCCAGAAAACCCCAGACACTTCCTGCCTGTCTGTTCAAGTTTGTTCACCTGGACCTTCATTGCTATTCTTCCTTCCTATACCAGATGGTAAATCCATTTATGAAGAATTGTTAAGAATCTGAGTTTTGCTAGTATAGAGTCAGTGTAAATGAGCAATGTGGCTTTATCAAGTAAGAAACAACACAAATATCTGTCAGCTGCAGCCAAAGGTAAATAAGCATGGCAGTTACTGTTCCTTACATTTAGCATTTGTTCTTGTCCTCTTGATCTTCCATTTGCAGCATTATAGTCATGACATTAAAGAAGAAACTTGTTAAACTATTCTGGTTGCTGCTAAATGCATCATTTTCAATAATTAGTTTTATTTGGAAAAGGTTAAATTGCGTGGACAGAGTTCTGTAAAAAAAACAAGCTTTTGGAATTATTTTTCTTGAAGTAGCGTTTGAGCTCTCGCTGCCTGTATCAGTTAATTAAGAGCACAGCACTTAATTAAAAGCAGAACAGACCAAATCACGTCTATGATAGGTCAGTGTAATACTTCTATATGGTCTGTGCAACAAATAAGAGCTTAATATTGTCAGACACCTGTTGCAATGGGGATACTTAGTAAAAACACACATTCTCACTCTTGCCGGCAGCCTAGTGGCCATAAATACTGATTATTATACTCTATATCTTAATTGTCAGGTTATCTTTACCTTAGGGCAGATTCCTTGGAGAGTACCAGGCAACCCATTCTGCATATGGGGCTGTGTGAAGGCTGGATGCACTGTTGCCTACCTTTCTGGTTATTTTTGTTTGTAGGGCATGTGCTAGACAATACTGGGAGTCATGGGAAGGGGCTTCTCCTGCTAGATTCTTTGATTTGCTTCCGTTCATCTTTCTCCTTTAGGGTCTAGTTTAGCTAATTATACTAAGCACTATGGTGGATAGTTGGCTGACTGTGCAGTGATCATGTGATCATCCACAAATGCTTTTTTTTATTTTTGAGAAATCACTACAGGTGAAAATCATCTTTCTGTTGGTTTCAGTGGAGTTATTTGGGATCTGGCAGCTTATGTTTCATGTGAATATGTTAGTTAAAAATACATCTACTGGTGTACATCTGCTAGTCTTTAAGATATCTGTATCTCCTATTTAGTCATGACTTTTGCTTGACATATTCTAGCAAGGCTGTATACAGATATGTGAGAGGAAAGGCTTTTAAACATGGAGGTATGGACTGTCAACTCCTCTGAATTACCCTGTGCAAAGTAATATATTAGGTATCATGTAGAACTATATGTGTGGGTCAACTAGAAAAAAATAAAATGTTTTTTATCTGTCCCTGTTAAGGGGATATCAGTTCCCTTTAGTACTGTTTTGCCTATTGTCTGAGTTACACAGTGATGTCCTTGAGCTAGGACACTTCTGCAGTGCTCGGGGTACCTACACAACTCTAACCATGACAGTGGAGTCGCTGTAGTACATAGACAATTTGATTCTGAATCAGCTGTCTAGCAGTAGGTGTACTGGGATGTTTTAACCATTGCAAAAGAAAGGGAGAATAGTGCTGGAGTTCATAGGCCCAACCAGAACCTGAAATGATGCCAGCACTACTACATTTTTCCCTGACAATGAGTTGCTATCAGATCTGCTACTATTTTATAAAAGTACTAGACTATTTTGGCTGGAATTAGACAGGGGCAGCTGGTATTATGTTGCTCAGTGCTTCCCTGAATACAGTATCTTGTTAGGGTTGAGTTTTATGCAGTTGGCTTGTTTCTCTGCTGAACTGTTGTGTAGTGGGAACGTGTCTGTTCCTGTCTGTATAATATTTTACATATGTGGACGGGTATACATGATACAAGCTTTGTGATACACAAACTTACCATTTTTTTGAATGTTGATTAGAATAGGGTTGTTTGGGTTTTGATTTTTTTAGGTTCAGATTATGAACTATAGTTCCAGTTGCTTCTAATAATAGTCACAGGAGGCTGCTGTTCCAGATTCCTATCATATCGCTGAAGAAAAATTAGTTTGAGGCAGCATGAGGATAAAAATTAGCAACAGCATCACTGTTTCTCCTGTGAGCCAAGAATACCAGAATCATAGACATTCATTTTGTTGTAAATGAGATAGAAATTCATGATATTGTGAGATGTTTTCAGATTGTTTATGATCCATGATAGGAATGACTGAGAGAAGACAAAGTTATCAATCTGCTGTTACGTAGTTTTGCTTGGAGAAAAGTAATTCCAGGTCAGTACAAAAAACTGTTGCAGTCACAATAGTTTGTGATTGTATTATATTCAACACTGGGGTTTTACCTTCAACTGTGGGGTAACTTAAGAAATGCTGGTATCATCAAGACTTTCACATAAGCTAATAGCTTAAACAGAATTCTAAGCTGATTGCAAGGAAAATGGATTATTTATAATAGTGTTAAGAATGTTCATATAAGAGTTCATACCCAGAGCTTGCTGTAACATATATGTATGTGTGTTTAGGGTTTGGTTTTGGTTTGCAGCTATTGCTCATTGCATTTTGGTTTTAGATAATGATGTTTCTGTTATGTACAGGGCTTGGTTTATTCTTACTGCACTGATATCTTTGGGACCAGTATAGTGGTGTCTTTCTGCATGTATTTTTATGTCAGCCCAGGCATCTTAACTCACAGTAACATTATGCAGAAAGTAAAAATTTGAAGCATAATTAATATTCTTTAGGTGTTAAGGCAATGCACACTTTATCCACAGTTCTAATGTTCAGCACAAACATGGTTTTGCTGAATGGCTGAATACCAAGTTAAAACAGACTCCAAAATAAATATAAAAATAAATATAGTTTATTATGTATAATATAATAAAAGATAATAATCCGCAATATAATAAGAGGAAACGATACTAGTTCGCAATGCATCAATTCATTACTGCAAAGCATTACAGTGATTAAGAAAAGGATACATCACCAATTACCACCTTAATAACATAATCAGGCTCACACTTTAGCAGGGAAGCCCTGTTGCAGCCAATGTCAGGAGTCTCTTGGTAACTGGGAAGGTCTTATGTGGTGTGTCCACCCATAGGTGAGGCTTCTGACCGAGTCCTGGAGCTTTCCTGCCTTTATACTCAATAACAAACAACTTACATACTTAATGTATGTAAACTCCTGAATTTGGGCCAAATGCAGGTGTGCACTGTCTCATGATCCATAAGGTCCACACATGCCCGGGACGTTGGCCAGATGTCTGAGCGTGGTTGAGTTATTGTCACGATGCAGATGCACACAATATATCATTGCCTGGATGGTCCTGCTCACATCCTATTTGTACTGGGCAGAAGGCCTGGGATGCATACTACCTGTTGAATGCAATTTATGTTTGTCCTGGAGCTCACTGCTCAATTCAGGTAGTTACTAATTACATACTTGATTAAAGGCTTTTTCATAAGCAGTAATCAGTCATTGCTCAATAAACATTTATACCAATTTTTGTATTGATTCATACTGTATGCTTCATTATTAAACAAAAAACATTGAAATTTCAGATCTTCCTGCCTCTCATTGCATCTTAATGTATTTTTATTGTAGCCATTGCAGGGATGGAATAATGAATTGTGATAACAACATAATAGGTGAGTGAAGAGAGAGAGGGAAAAGATACTTCAATTTCAACGAATATGTACGTATCTTCCAGTCTCCATGGAACTCCTTATCTGTAGTAGAAGAATGTGCAATATGTACAAATTAATAACTTGCAGGAGGGATCTGTAATTTAGGAATTATATATTCGTGTGATTGAAAGCAAGGCTGGTGCTAATGTAAGCAATCTTAGCTTTATGACAAAAAGTAGAACTTCAGTTGAATAAGGGTTAGCTTCACCCCATGAAACATGGTTGTAGGAACTGAACACTGTTGGTAATTTTTCAGGTATTTTTTCTTTCCTCCCACAAACCTGAGTAACTGAAATATGAAAAAATATTTATTTTGTCATGCTTAAGAAAAAGAATGTAGCTAGTGCTTTTTCTGTGACAATATATTTTGTGTCATTAAGTATTATGGTCCGTGCTTTCTTATGATGCTCCTTTTACTTCAGTGAGAAAGTCTTTTATTTGAGGTTTCAGTTCTAGAATTGCCAACTCTTTGGCCTTTAGCAGAAATCTGTTTCCCATGCACTTGAAGGTTGCAGTGATTTGACAATTACCCAGAACCTCTCCCTAAAAAGTAAATAAACAAAACCCGGCAACCAATGAAAAACACTTTAAAACACTGCCACCACTTCAGGCATTTCTGTTGCATATGCACGGTATGCTCAGCACAACACAAAAGCAATTGTGCGGTAGACTTGTTTTGTACTCAGTGGCTCCAGCATGGAAAGTCACATCCATCCCTCAGACTTTTTCTTTCTGTTTCTCAGTTGGTAGTACTTTGCATTTCTGTTTTGAAGGGCTGATTCCTGACTAACTTAGTTAACTTTCTTAACTAATGTTAAGAAAGTCATGCCCCTTACTAAATGAATATATTAATTTCAGTGTTTTGTATGAGACTTGTAGGGATTCTATGAAGCCAACTACACGCAGGAGAGATAGGCAGTTGGATATGTTAGTTGGATGTGTTACTGAATGTTACACTTTTGTGTTACATACTCCTACTGTAAATGTTTTGCACACTTTCATGGAATATAAGATTTCAGGTGTGAAGACTAATGTGTTTGTCATTTTTTTTCCCTCAGCACACGGCTGCCCAGTTGGACAGATTTACATTAACTGCAGCAATCCACAAGTTGATCCCCAACTCAGCAGAGAGAGAACTTGTGAGAATCAGTTGCTAAACCTCACTTTCTCAGCACACCTTCCTTGTGTTTCAGGTTGTGTCTGCCCACCTGGGTGAGTACAGACAGATTTGCATCTTTTGTGCACAGACTACCTTCAGTGGTGACTGAGTAATTAATTCTGCTGAGGACATACCCCTTTTCTGCTTGGAGAATTTGAGTGTCAAGGCGTGAGCATCCAACTTGTGAAGGCTTACCATAAAATGATATGGGCCACCGAAGGCATAAAAAATGGTAAACCAAGAGACAGGTGGGGCCAAAGGTCTAATGCCTCACAATAATGAAAACAATATAGCAGGAATATAGAAAGGACATTGACATTATTCAGTTTGGTCCCTGTACTTCAGCAAAATTGTGTCTCCCTAGATACTTTTTTTCAGATATCTAACCTCTTGCAATGAGCATTTCATGAGCTTGCCAATTTGTTGCGGATCCTGATTTATGATTACTTAAAGCAACTTAACAGAGCTCAATGGCAAGGTTTGCTCTATTACTTACTACAAGAAGGAAACACACGAAGGAAAACCAAGCTAAAATTGATTTAGAATGATTTACACAGATTGGAGGTGTGAAAAGGTAAGGAAGACACTCCCATTGAGTCACAAGGTTCAAAATCGACGCCCTAAACTCTTGATGAAGCCTAGGTGCAGCTGGATCCAGACTTAGTCCCAAATTTGGTCAACAGTTTGTCTAAAAGATTGTATGTGTTTTTGACGAAAGGATTATGTGTGCACACCCAATTCTTTATGTCACTTAGCTAAGACTTCAAAGTTTCATAATGCCTATTCCCAGTTCACTTACTTCCCATCTGGGCATCTGATGTTAGTTCACTCTGAAGTTAAAGCCCTAGATTTCCTGAAGCAGACTCTCAGACATTGGATTTTATAAAAATAAATAATTTAATAGAGTGATACAGCAGGATCAGCTTGGTCTGGGTGCCTCTGGAGAGGGATGGAAGGACTGGAACAAAAATATCCCTGGGCAATTGCACCCTTAGAGACTGTTCACCTGCCCCTCACACACTCTCTTCACATGTGCCAGTGGTGACTCTGGTCTGAGCATTTCTGATGCCTTCTGGCACCTTACTGGATTCCTTCACTGTCTGCAGACAGGCCATTCATTATCTTGTCTAGTTACAGGTGCTGTTGTTGGTTGTAACCTTGAAGCCTCCTGATTTATACTGGCTCTTGAGGCCCCTGTTTTCATTAAGTAGGTACATATTCAGTAAATCTAAGTGGAAGTTTACAGCTTGCAGCCTAAGGCTTTGGCAAGTTTAGGTATTTGTGCTAAATAAGTAAAGCTAAGCAAACAGCATACTAAGTCACACAATGTTTTAACTCTAAGTGATTAATTCTATTTCAAACTTCCTTGTTTAAGATATACGACTAGTATTTCTTAACACTGAGAGGCATCCCTGCTCACAGGGGTAGTTGCCTGGCATGCAGTCTAGGTACCAACCACGGAGAACTCAAATTGGGCTCATCCAGCAATCTGTCGTTGGTAAAAGATCTCTCTGCCTCCAGGAGCAATTTTGAGAGACGTCCCAGCTCAAGGGGAGATCGCTGCCATGCAGGTGCCTAGCAGGGAGAGCTCGAAGAAGGTTCACTTAGGCTGTTATATTTATGGAATAAAATAGTTGGCTTGTAGTCGGATTCTGTACAGCGGGAGAGGTATGCACAAGACTCATTGTATCCACAATGTTCTTTGTTTGCTCTGCTCCTTTGTGGGCTTCCTAGAGGGAGGAGTTCTTGGCATGGCTGTGGCTCAGGCCTTTACCTCCTTTGGAGCCTGTACCAGATCACTGCTGATTTAGTTAAGAGGCAGGGGGTCGAGCGCATCTGTCACAACCTCTTATTTGAACACTTCACTGGGGGAGGTTTGCTTTTTCATTCCTAGGCATTATTTTCAGTATTCTCTCCCTCAAAACAGTATTTTAAGTCTCAGGCTGAAAATGTGCAGATGAGCTCGTCGTATTTTGGAATCAATCACTGTATTGCTGAGAGATTTTTGAATATATAAATAACAATTATGTGTTTAAGTTATGTTGGGTTTGATGGGATTTAGTCTGTTAAGCACATAGTTTGGAGGTTTTGAGTATTGTCACTCTAAAATTACTGTTTATGCCTTGAGAGCCTCCTCAAAACAAAAACTAAAAAGTTGAACTGAGTTGAAATAGTTCAGTTGAGGTCTGTGGACTCACACTCCTGGATGTGCAGGTTTTTGTGTCATAGTAAAAGATTGCTACTCAGACTTCTGTGTTTTACCTGAACGTTCAGAAACGTGGAATGTCAAACTGTTCACATGAAATGGAATCTATAATTAGTCTGACTCACAATATGGTACCATGGTGAAAAAGTGCAGGGCTAAGGTAGGTTTTGAAATTGACTGGAGGCAGACATTTTCAGAATTGCAAAAACTCATCCTGTTGGGCCTGACTGATAACCTTCAAAGACAGTGGCTATTTTCAGTAGCATTATATGGCAAGCAACTCAGCAGAGAATAAGTTTATATGACGTATTTTGCTATGCAAAACCACTGAGATTGAACTTTTCTACTGCTTCCTGGTGTAAGTTAGTTCTGGAATTTAAGCAATTAAAAATGTGTTTTAACATTGTAAGGCTTATAGTCAAGCGTCAGTGGTGTCAAAGCTCTAACAATACATTTGTATAGCTACAAGAGGCAGAGTTCTATGATTTTTCTAGAAACATATACAAAATTAAGAAGTTCCATGCTTTTTGTATTTAACTTTGGCAAACTTCTGTTCTCCTATGGCTGTACACTGCCCATAGAGATACTGACACAAACTTTTTGCTGTTTTTTGTGGGGAAGGGGTCTTGTTTGTTTTGTAAGCCAGTGCTTGAGGTAGAACTAGGAAATGGTGTCACAAACCCAGGATTTGAACCAGGAATATCAATCTGTACTGTTGAAGTAGGAATGACAAGGTATTTTTTTGCTTCTATGTACTTAACATTTAATGCCAGGTTCTGACTGATAGGGAAGTGCTTATTCAGTGTTTGAGGGACACTTCCTCACAAGGTAAGGGAAAGTTTCCAGGTTCTGCCAGTCCTTTCATATGAAACTTAGTATGGCAGAATCTTGCTTCCATGATCACAAACTGCATGGTTTAGAATATAAGGTGTAATCCAATTTATTTTAAAATAAATTGAGAATCACTGTAAATGCTGTTCAGTTCTTTCCATTACAGAGTTACTTGAAAGCTAGTCAAATCTGATGTCTTTTTAAACATTTGGCCCTGATGGTCCTATACTGCATGTATGTTTATGTTTTTGAGATTGCTTTAAGAAAAATTGAGATGGCCCTGAAGGTGTGTGTTCTTTAGGTGTGCTTTTAGGAAACACAAGAGACTTCTGCAATGTATTAATTATGTAAGCTTTTTATTTAGACTATTATTAAAATAACTAATACTTTAAGTTGCTTTTGAATATAAGCTGTTGGATGTGAATATCCCTAATGTTTTAAGTCAGTTACTGAATTCACACCCCAATGATTTGTACTGCAGATTGACCACATAAGTCAGAGCAACACTGTAAGTCAAAAACAAATTGTTGGAAAAGAAAGATGGATCAAATACTATTACCTTCAAGCAGTACCTTATGCTATGTTCATGGCAGTTCAAGTAGTGCAGGATTTGTATGCACTGTGAATTTGTGCAGCTTCAAAATCCCCCTTCTAGGTAATCAGTTCTTACTGGTGAAATATAAAACTGAGGTGACATTTCCACTTTACAAGGGTAAAACACCCATGGAATTTTAGATATTAACGTTACCTCTTTACATGAAATCTTCAGTTTAATTCCATTATTCATGCTTTTGTTTCTGTTCTAGATCTTGTATCAGTTTAGCTTGATTAGTTATCATAATCCATTTAACATGTTTGATTAGTTTTAGCTGATTTAAGCAAACAATTTAAAAAACCTCAGTGTAAAAATGGAATGTGTCACAGTTAAGAAACCTGTATGGGAAGCTAAATTTTTTTCAGGAAGGATCTTACCAGTCTTTTTTGTGGGATGATTATTCTTCATGATACCATGAAAGGTATTTAACACAGAGAGGGAAAGAACCTGTATTTGCAGAAAGTGATGTTAAGATTTCAAGAAGGCAATATTTTTATTTTCAGACTATTTTTCTGATATCCAGAGAGTGAAATATTCTTTCAAATACTCCACTATTTCTAGCATTCCTTCTTTGTTGTGCTTACATTCTAGTGGGATTTGCATGAAATGTAAATTAAATACAAAAATAAGTAAATCATAGTGAAAAGTAGCAGTTGTGTGATTCATTTGACCTCCTTTTTAGTCTGCAGTGAATAAATCAGATGCAAGTAACTATGCTATAAATATTTAAACTTACAGATCATTCCCATTCTATCAGTTACAGTTCTTACAGTATAAAAATTATGATCATATACTTTTCCTCTGTTTTAGAAGTGATTGAGATAGAACACATTCTCTGGAACACACATTCTAATGTTGTTCCACTCTGCTTTGCTGACGTATTTAGTGATTTTTAAGATTTTATTTGCATTTTTTCTGTTTTTCATCTGTCACTGTTTAAATGCCTATTTCCTGTATTTCCATGATGCATTCCAGAAAAGTAATATTCTATTTACAGCATAGTTTGTAGTTTTTCAAATTCAGTCTTTGAATTACTTTCCACTTCTGTGTTGCAATGATCCAAATGATTTTTTTCTTCTTTAACTGTACCAAATATACATGATTTGACACATCTTTGGTGAGACTGCAGAAGAAACCAAGAGAAAAGACAGAAAGAAAGAGAGAAAAATCAGTAGATTCTTCCTATATTTCAGCATACTATGTGACGTGTACCACAAAAAAATGGACATAGGCTGCTTTGTGCCTGTCCTGTTCCATTAGTTTTCCATGGTTTCCAGTCAGATTGATAATGATCTCTGAAACAGCCAGCTTCTGTTCATTGTTCCTTATAACCTGCTCTTGCTGTCAATATAAACAGTTGCTTTCCTGAAGATATATACTTGTGTTTTCTCACTTCTCCCATTGATTTTACCACTGACTGCAGCATGAGTTGGACTTGGCTGTTCTGTACTTCATACAGTGTACAGTATAACAAACTGCACTGTATATAAATGTATATATTTTTTCAAATTGATGCTTGATATTTAGCTGGAGTTTTGGTGACTACTTGGTACTGGTTTGTGTGGGTGTGTGTCTTGGAATTTATTAACCATATCACTGCAGCAGAGAGGCCACAACCACATTGCCTATGTAATTTCGCCTAGTTCAGCAACATTTTAGAGCAGCTTCACTGCTGCCTTTCTGTGATTCAGTAGTAGTGGTGAAGGATTCATGTAATCCTTGGGGCTGCAGGAAGAAACAAAACTCCATACCGCAATGCCAAGGATCCCTGGAAAGGATTTACAGATGTTCCCTGTTTATTGTTCTAGGAGGCACACAGAAATGAAAAAGGACTGAAAATTTAACACAGGATTTGTAGTTGAAGGATTACATTATAAGGCTTTTGAAATATTAATTGATTTGAGAGATAGAATATGTCAGTATTACAGGTTTATCTGTCATGGATCATGATACAGAACGTGCAGGCTCTACTGGATATAATGAATCCCATGTCTTTTAAAAAAACATTTTCCCTCTCTGAATAGAGGGCCTCTCAGAATAACGAAAGAGGTCAATCTTCTAAATACATAAAAATATTGGAAGTTATGGAACTTACAACACTGAGTAACATGAACGGCCTTGCTTCATCATGGAGCAGTGGAATTCTCACAGGTTTAGTGGTTGAAGGGCTAGTGCCCGAAGTGCAAGCACTTACTAAAGATACAATATTCAGTTACCTGTGAAGACATCACAATATTACTCATATATAATTATTAATAAAATTGTGCCTTTTCAGTTTCAGAAGACTTTAAATGTTACTTGTTTTTCAATAATAATTCTAAAAATGTAAACGTTTAGGGAAATATTTTTGTATCTAGATACAAGGTGTACTTCTACTGAATGTATGTTTTTTGTTCTTTTTTTGATAGTCTTGTTAAACATGGGGATGTGTGCTTGGATGCAGATGAATGTCCATGTTCGTGGAAAGGGAAGGAATACTTTCCAGGTGACAAAGTCATTTCTTCCTGTCATACATGGTAAGCAGAGATCTGTGTAGGTGTTTATTTTAGTTGTTTATTTATAGACTGATTATTCCTTCATGTTTCTTTAATCATAAATTTCACACCAGAGTCTGGTAAATAGTTTACCCTAGTTGTTTACATTTGTTTGAAGAGCTATTAAAGTGACTTTTTTTAAAGGTTTGTTGTTTCAAGGAACATGTACATACAAAATAATAGCTATTTGGGGTTTCTTTTTAAAAAAGCTTGATTTAGAATTTTTTTTATTATTATCAAAATCTAATCTAATTTAATATTCCTTAACCAGTGTTCTGAAAGTGCTGGTAAAATCCTTCAAAAATATTACACCTGAATGACATTTGTTAAATCTTTTTACTTCTTCTAACATTTAGCATTGAATCTGAGCAGTCTAATGACCCAAAATGTAACCCTGTGGCAATAAGTTATACTCCCACTACAGTGATAACTTAAGGAGGGCATTAAGCAACACCATGTACTGAGCATAGTAACAGATAAATTAGTTGCCAGTTTTGTGTGTGTGGATAACTGATGGGGCAGTTGGCTTTTAAAGGAAGTGTTCCAATAGACAAGGGTTGATAGGATCACTCAAATGCATGCAGAAGCCTACTCCTTTTACTATTCAGTGTTGTAAATGCAGCACATACCCTGTAGCTATGTTACTCCACAAAGTTTCCTTGACCACTCAGTAGAACATGGTTCACTACCATTTCAATAAGCTTCATAAGAGCTTAGATGTGAAAATATACCACATCTACATGATCCTGAAACAAACTTGTTTCATGATGGTCCCTGCCTGTTTTCTGACCACTGTTGAATGTTGCAAGTTGGTGTTTAGCAGCACTCCTTGTCATACCAGAGCCTCAGAAAAAACAGCTGTACTGCCAAACAGCAAGATACTATGGTAGTGGTGTAGCCTTCAGCTTCTCAGCAGAGCAATTCCTTCCTTTTGTCCCTGTCTTTTAGCTTACCAGGAACATTTAAGTGGTGTCACCTGGTAAACTACTGTTCCTGGCCTGCACAGCTCAGTATAATGCAGAACAGTGAAGGCTTGTCCAGTCAGCACTAATCACTGCCTTGTCTGGATATCATTGCCCCCTCCAGCCTTGTGCTGACTGCCTACCTCTGCCTCTCGTCAGGTCCTCAGTATCTGCTCTAGAAGATATTTGTAGCCCTTTGGTCGACTGGTGAAGCGACTTACAAGCCATCTCCACTGGGCAGGCAGGTAAAGCGACCCGGGTTATTCACCGCCTTATTTCCAAAGGCCTCTCCATTTGGACCTGGCATGGGATTGCTTGCATTAGAAAGAACTATTATATCCCATTTAATCTGTATGAGACTTCACCAAAGGCAGCAGCAGTGCAGGCAGAAAGACTGGATATTTAGCCTTCTCTTTTTTTACTGAGGCCAGGCCCATTGATTTATGTACAAACCCTTAAAGTTGTCATGGCTTTTCTAGTCTTCCACATCCAGAAGCAAAGACAGGTTAAGTGATAAGGAATTTAGGCAATCAGTTGTCCACTGAAAGATGGGAAGTCTACAACAAGCTCTGCTTGATACAAAGTGTATAAAGTCTTTGAGACTGCTGTGTGTGTATGCAGGGGTGTATTTGATACACCAAGGGAAAAGTGCGTTTTAGCTCGTGCAAACTATGAGAATACTCCCATGCAAACAAACCCACTTAGGCACTCAGCAGTTATGATGATTTCAGTGTTTTTTAGTGCACAGAAGTAGTTTGTGTTGATACTAAATATCACCTTATCTTGATAAGATTATATTAAATATCATCATTGATGTTAAATATCATCTTATAATCTTATTCATATCTGATCTAATATTAGCAACACAACTATAAATTTGATTTGTCTATTGAACAGTAAAATGGCAAATAAAATAATTTCTTAAATGGGCAAAACTACCAGTGGAGTGCCACAAACTTTCAACCCAAGACCTGGTGTCTGGCTGAACTGCGGTTCTAGGTTTCCCAAGTTTGATTTTCAGTGCAGCTGATTGAATTTGTTATGTGCTGGTGAGATTAAACACAAAAGGTTACTACACTAACTGGCGAGGTAAGGTGGGTGGTGCAGTTAGCTATTCTGGTTTGCTGTCATACCCTGAGACCATTGAGCAAATGCTGATTAGTCTCTGAGCTGCTGAATTGGGCCTTCTGTGTTCTTAAACAATTACTTATTGGAAATACTATTTTTGAAAAGCTGATTGAAGTTTGGAAGATGCAAGTAGTTTACTTTTCCAACTAAGACTCTCTAGATTCTGATAACTAAATGTTAGTTTACTTAGTGTGAAACAAAACTGGTGCGAAGGACTTTGAAGAAATTGTGTACCTCTTAAAGCCTTCCTTCTGACTGTCAATGTGATAAGACTCCTGAAAAAGAAAGTATGCAAAGGAGCTCCCTACTCTTTACATGTTAAGAAACGTTTCTTCACAAGCCTTTAGCAGATCAGCATGTGGAGGAGGATTTGAATAGGCCGAGAGTAAAACTGAAACCTAATATCTCACAGAGAGCATGAGAAGTAGCACTTATTCTTTCAGTCCAAATATGATTTATTCTATTTGCCTCTCTCTCCGTTGGCTTGATGAGGGTCCTGCCTTACATATCGCTTTGAGGTGACTAGAGTTTGCTGGGCGAGTCCTACTGCCATCTATCTCCTTGTGCTTTGGTACAGCAGACACTTCATATTTCATACTTTTTACTTATTTTAGTCATGTGCTTAGTGTATTTATACATGTAGTTATACAAAGCACAAGCAGTGGGCCAAATCAATGATGGGATAAGCAGAGTCCTGGAAAATATGGAAAATTACTCCAGGTTGGTGCAAGTTGCATGGTAAGGGAACAGAAGGAAACATGATGCTACTAGTAGTTGGAACTGGCTAGATTTTCTAGATAATTGCTGCTCTTTTGAAAACAGCCATGTTCTGACCCTGTCATATATGTTAGCAATATGGACAGAAAAGGAAAAGTTATACTGACAAAAAGCTTCATACCTCTTGGTGCTTCAGTATATGAGATGCCAAACATCAGCAATTTATCAAGTATTTCCATAAATCAGGTTAATATTTTGGTTTTAAAATGTGAAGCACTCATTTAATCAGAAAATTAAAAATTAATTTTTTTTGAAAATAAACTTAGATATGTGCCAAAATTACATCACATGCTTTATTTAATTTAACCTATATTGGTAAAATATACCTGTAGTAAAACTATACCGGGGCACCATCTCTGCTGTCTTTATCAAGGCAATTTTTTTGTGTCCAGGTGATTTAGAAGCATAAACAATAACATTTTAAAAATGACTTGTGGTTACAGGAAATGAAGTTCTAGCCGTTATTTGTAAATCTTACATAATTTCTGAGAATATTACTTAGATTGCAGCAGGGTGATGCATAGACATAGTATCCAGTGCTACAGAACCTCGCTGTTAGGCAGTTACAAAGCAAAGGTAATTCAGAAAGGTCTGAACAGTCACTTAGTGTATGTGTGAGAGCTTTTTTACGCTTAAAGTGGCCATAGACAGAACTTGAACTATTCCAGAAGCCCTTAAACTGTTAGGCTAGGGTTAGGGCATGATAATATCCATCTGAAAAGAAAAAAAGTCCAACAACTCAAACCATGGTTCTTTTAAGGAACTTAGGCACCAAAATAGTGCTACTGAAATTTTTCCTTTTGCACTTCTGTGAAATTCTCATTCAAAGCAGAGAGTGAATAAAGACTGTAATAATAGGACACATTGCTTGTTGATGCTAAGATTCAGCTTGCACAGAAACAAATGTGTGAGAAGCTGAAAAAGAAACCTTTGTGGAGCATTATTGATCTGAGTAACTAGAGAATAAATTGTATTACTTTCAGATGGCTTATTTTGTTTTCTTGTTTCAACAAAAGAAATGCCCTTTCAGTGTATATATTCTGGAACCTATACATTCTAATGGAAACAAACACAGACTGTATGAGTTCTATATGTACTTTTTTTTCCCCCAGAAGATCAATTTATATACGCTGCTTCTAGTTAACATTTCAAAATGCTTCTGTCCATGGTCATCATACTTGCATGACTCTTGGTTTTTTGCTTCTCAGTGCAATAGCTGTAATCATTTGTCTGTGGTTACAATTGATATTACCATTATTGGTCATATGTTTTTCAGCATTTGCCAGCATGGATCATTTCAGTGCACCTTCCATCCTTGCCCATCAATGTGTACTGCCTATGGGGATCGACATTACAGAACGTTTGATGGACTAACATTTGACTTTGTTGGAACTTGTAAGGTTTACCTAGTTAAGGTGAGACTCTTTTGTAAAGCTTCTCTAAAACTGGATTTTAAAAGTACCTGTTCAAAATTCTCTTCTACTTATTTCCAACCTGTATGTTTTATTGAGTCCTATGTACTGTTTTTTAAGATGTGATGTTGCTTGGATTTTGAATCATAAATAACATAGTTTTCTGCTAATTGAACTATATTGCAACATATATGTATTGATGGTAGTATATTTTAAAGTGTCCATTTCTTTTTTTTTTTTTTCTTCAGGGTACTTCTTCGACCAGCTTTTCTGTTATTATAGAGAATGTTAACTGCTTTAATACTGGAATCATTTGCAGAAAAAACATTTTCATTAATATTGGAAAATCGTTTTTAATATTTGATGATGAAACTGGAAATCCAGTAAGTTTCAGTCTTTAACACCAATCAAAATGTAGCATATGTACTTCTCTGGGAATTTTTTTCCTTTTGTAAGCAAAAAATTATTGTGCCACTGAAGTATCAGAGGCATAAATATTTTTACCATGGATGCTGATCACATCTGGATTGTTTAATAGAAACCTTAAACAAGATCTTGTTTGTTTTACAGAAATGTGAGAAAAGATGATTGTGACTTTTTGTTTAGACAATTTCTTCTAGTGTCTTAGGAAAAAATATAGATATTGTGAAGTCAGTGGGAGTTTTGCTATTAATTCCACTAGAACCAAGAGTTTAGTCTGGTCTGAAATGTATAGGAGGAATATTCCTATATAGTAGTAAAAAAAAAATTACTGTCCTTGTTATATCCTCCACAGCCTGAATTTAATGTTTTTCTGGCCAAACTGCAAACTCTGTTGCCCTAAACATTTAGTATATTTAGTAATTTTAGTATAAGTAGTATATTTACGGTTTATAGACTGACTATACAGAGGAAGTTGTGTCTCTTAGTCCATGCTACAAATAATCTGGAATCTGATTGTTACTGGATGGAGAGAAGAATGCTTTATGTATATAAGATGGCAATCTGGACATATTTAGACAATTCCTTATCTCAAGAAGATGCTCCATGTGTGTCTATACCCATCCATAATGAAAAAAAGCATGTGGCTAAGACCTTCCAAATGCAATGATGTATAACTAAGTGAAAATCATAACCAGGAACCTTAAGACTAATTTTTTTACCTCCCAGAGGAGTTCCCAGAGGAAGAATTAACATTTTAATCTTCACTCCAGTTGCTGTTATCCATCCTCTAAGTTTGATATCAAGTCAACTTTTAAAATAGGAAAATCATAAAAATACAACAAGTTCACAATCCAAATCTAGACTTTTCTTTAAGCATTTATCTCTATGTGGCCTTCTGTCAGATTTTGGACTTCTGTCCAAACTGTGTCATTCATTTTATTTAGGTGTTTCATTTTCTGTCAAGTGAACATTTTGTGAAGAAATTACTTACAGTATAAGCTGCCTTGTTTTATTTTGAACAGAGCTTATCTAGTTACATGGATGATCTACAAAAAATTCAGTTATGGAAAGCTGGATTTTTCACCATTGTTAATTTTCCTGATGAGCACATCACTATTCTTTGGGATCAGAGAACAACAGTTCATGTACAGATGGGTCATCAGTGGCAGGTAAGTGGAAGTCAACACTCTTATTGTCATTTTTTTGAGGTGTTTATGTAAGGCTTATTTAAATAAGACATGTTGTCATTATTCAGACAATAGACAACATGTCAGAAATCATGTAGGAACTCAGAGGCAGAGTCAAGGAGAGAAGCGTTCAACTAACTTGTCAATTAAAATATTCATTCTCATTTACCTTATTTTAATTCTGTAACAACAGAAACAAATGTTTTCAAGGCAACATTCTTCTTCAGTGCTTGTTCCTTATATGACTGGAGTAGGTGTTATTTTGCTGAAGCATAAAAAAAGCACATAGCTAGCAAACAGGTCACTTCTGAACAAAAGATCAGTTTCTTTCTCAAAGGCTTGGAGATACTTAGTTGAAATGGAATAAGATTGATGTTGTCAAAATAAAGTATTTTCTATAGCTTTGTTATCACAAAAAGCTGAACTGTTTTGGCTGAAATGTAGCTGAAAAGGATGAAATTTGGACAAAATTATAAGTAAGCAACTGGAGACAAGAAGACTTAAGAAGCAAGTTTTGAAAATGGTACTGGCTAGTAGTGTTTTCTATCACATGGAAATAGCTTGTGTGTTCTCTCTCTCTTTCTCTTCTTTTTTTTTTTTTTTTTTTTCTCAGGGTAAATTGACTGGATTATGTGGAAATTTTGATTTGAAGACAGTAAATGAATTGAGGACTCCAGATAATTTTGAGTTAACAAACTCACAAGAGTTTGGAAACAGTTGGACAGCTGTAGAGGTACATAGTGAAAAGAATATGTTTTCTAGTAGATTTCTGCTGTTACATCATATAATTCTCTAGAATGGAATCAGGAAATCATTCCTGAATTAGCAATAGAGCAGAAATGGCAATATCTGGCATTCTTGCAGATACTGTAATACGTTAAGGAGAAGAAAACTGTTTTTTCTACAAAGCACTTTAGTATAGAGGAAGATGCTTTAGAATATTCTGAATCTACAGTTGTTTTTGAAGACATTGAACAGGAAAGTAGTAATTTTTTTTACATAATGGAAGAATTGTGGGTTGACTTTAGACTGTGTTGTCAGTTTGGCTGATCTTTCATAGCTGGTATTTAACTATGAAACTGTAGCAATGGAAAGAAAAAATACTCTTTTCATATGCTGTAAAGTTAAAAATTGAATTTTGTTAATGTCATGTTTCTGGTGGTGTTTGTAGATATGTTCCTTCCTAGCAGTTAGGTAGAAAGATCTGATTTTTGACACTTCTAATGTGTGTCATCCAAGTGAACTTTGTTATTTACATAAGCTACACTATTCTAGTGTAAGGACTGCAGATTGGAACTACATGGCAGCTCTGTTTAGACTTAAATGTACATATATGTTTTTCTGCTGCTGTCAGACAAATTATACATTTCTTCAGATTATGTACTTCTCTGCAGATTATCATCCCCTTTTAATTCCACATTTTAGTCTGGTTTTAGCTTCATAAATGATGAGCTTGGTTTGTGTTTTACATCTCTTTAAAAAAAAAAAAAAATTCTTTGCAAGTTCAAACACAAAGTGGTTATGAAACAAGTTTCTCACCTTGATTTTGCTTTCTGGTTAAGTGTGTTGACAGCTCTGACATTCAAAATCCGTGCAGTCTGAATCCCCTTAGAGAGCCATTTGCCAAGAAGGAATGTGGAATACTGTTAAGTGAAGCATTTGAAGCTTGCCATCCAGTGGTGAGTTGTGGTCATGTATAGAAAGATGTGAAAGTGAACGTATCACTAGAGATAAACTACTCTTCTATGTGCATCACTTGAAATCTTCATTTTGTCATCCCTAACATAATAATTTTGACTACTGTAGCACAAGGGAATGCAACAAAAGTCTTAACCCATACTTGTTCTGATTCTAAAACATGAATGTTTAACTAGATCTGTTATAAGGACTATGTGCACTTAGCTGACCTAGACAGTAAGCAACTTTGGCACCAATTTTAGCAATATGGGTAGTCCTATTAGTCCCTTCTGCAATTAATGCAGACAAAATTATACCCAATTTGTGTTATCTTTTGTTTCATCCCAAGCACTATTTACATAAGCATAGCCACTTGCTTTATTTTCTCAAAGATATTACATAGCATGCACATTTTTCAGGGATGTTTTAAATAAATTGTCAGTTTCTTCTAGGCAGTATCAGATGGGAAGAACTCATTCCTAGAAACAAAAGCATATATCTGCTCACTCAGGCAACCACCTAAGGAAATAAATGAGCCATACAACATGTTTTGACAGTCAACAGTCTCAGGTTCAGTTGGAGAATGAGGGGGGAATGATTTCCAGAGCTAGGTTTTATATGGAAAATGACACATCCCAAGATGTTCAGGTATTGAGACTGCATGCATGGCTTAAAGAGTGTAAGTGTCAGAAGGTTTCCTAGTGAGAAAGGAGTTTTTGTATGAAAGTTAACCAGGAATCTTGCAGGGTTGCTTTGTATATTATTTTGGAAGAAAGGAGAAAGCTGATGTTAAAGTTGTCTTAATTTAACGTGGGCTTAGTCCCCTGTATAACAGGTAGCAATGGGGTTCTTCTTAAGTGTGTGTTACTCAACTGTAAACCCATATAGAATATGTAAAAATTCAATAAGCAAATTAGCATTGAAAAGTCTCTTTGAAATGTTGTCACTTAAGACTTAACAATAATGTAAGTGAAAAATCACAAATTTGCTTGTTAAATTGTCTAATAATACGAAGAGAATGATCCACTCATGAAAAGTTTTCCATCTACTTTATTATTTCTTACGTTTTCCGTATCTCTAACTTTCTCAACACTTCTGAGATTTATTGAGTTGTGATCAGTTTAGAGAGGGTTTCTCACATGAAATAAGCTTCTTTGTAGTTTATTATGGTTAAGTATTATAAACCCGTGGAAAACACAAGCTCACTTCAACATCTTAGAGTGCATGTTCTAAATGGGTCATTGATCTAATTGTGTTACTGAGTACTGTACAAGATTTTATGATGTGTTCTAATAAACTGTTTTTCTTGTGTTTCAGGAGACGTTTAAATTAAAATCTTTAATACTTCAAAGTCTTATATCTTAAATTTGCGAGTGTCTATATGAATATTTTTGATAAATGGTATTTGTATTTCCAGATTGACGTCACCTGGTTTTACTCAAACTGCTTGACAGATACATGTGGTTGTAACCAAGGAGGTGACTGTGAGTGTTTCTGTACAAGTGTATCAGCATATGCCCATCAGTGCTGCCAGCATGGAGTTACTGTAGACTGGAGGTCTCCTAGAGTGTGTCGTAAGTTTACATGACTAGCATTGCCAGTGGCTGCTGCTGCTGGTGCTCATGAGACCCAGACCTGAAAAATCAGTCTCATTAAGTTGCCTGGGGCCATGAACGGAACACGAAGCCACACTGGTAGGAAGATGAGTGGGTGACTTTCACTGTCTTCTGTGTTCATTTTGATCTAGCTGGATTATTTGCTGCTTTCCATATTTGTGGGTAGTACTCCTCAGTTTTTAATGCCTTGTCCAATGATGTGAAAGGAGAAGTCATGGCAAGTCTATCTTGGGATATGGCATGCATCCCTCAAACTAAAGTTGTAAAGTGAACAGCTCAAGTAATTTCCATCTGCGGGAGGACTTCAGTTCTTAACAGGGTCTAGGAAACATAGCTGCCTGACTGCTGCCCCAGAGCAAGTGTGAAATATAAAGATCTTCTGAAGAAAAACAAGTAGGTTTTCAAGCAAGACTCTGTCACTACCTTCATATCCCTATTCAACAGTGCTTAGAAGTTGTAAAAAAAACCCTGAAGCCTTTTTCTATGGCACCTAGTGCAAATGTTGTAACAGGAGAGTCATTTCCCCAAAGACATGATAAAAAAAGTGCAAGATAGAAAGAATGGAAGAAAACAAGCATTTTTCTGACTTAACAGTTGCACAGAAAGAGTATGCAGCTTGCTCAAAGTCACCAGGAAATTTGCCATAGAGTTAGAGGGTTACTACTAATTTTTGATAGAAATGGTACGTGTGCTTTAATGTGAGTATGGAAAAACAGCAAAGCTTAGTCTTAACCACTAGAGGTCACAAAAAGACAGCAGTAGGCATGTAAACTTAATATTTCCTGCTCGAAAACATTTTATTTAAATCAATGTAGTTTAAATTATTTGTACTTTATTTAAAGCAGTAAAGTAAGTATTTGGCAATAATTGTTTAATAAATGTTTGTGTATGATCAAACTTGGCCAAGCATTTGGTTTACCCTTTAATCGTAAAGGGTAATAGAAAACTTGTTTATCTGCAGAATGCTTATAACTGCATTTCTTTTTACTTTTTAGCTTATGATTGTGAATATTTCAATAAAGGTAAGTCCTAAAGGAGCTGATAAAATGTCAATAGACTCCTCGGTTTCTTTATATAAGTCTTAGTATAAAAATAATCGTGTTAATGAAAACAGTTGCAACTGATACATTATTTAAATAGCCAAGATTTTGTTTTACTGGTTTCTTTTGCTTTTTCAACGGCTTTTAATTTTATGGTATTTTTTATTCCTGGGCCTCCCCCAAGAATATGTGTTTAATTCATTTTAATTTTATGGATCATGATTAAACAATTAAATCATTAAGTAGTTAATAGACGGATCAACCCAGTAATACTGGTGGCACTACTTTCTTAAGGCATACTGCAGTTCAGAACTGAGTGCCAGTGGGTCTGTTAAACCATTCATGATCTACTCTGCAGCCTCCAGAGGGAGCTAGCTATAAAGATATTTCAACTTTCTGTGCCCAAATGGGGAATAACTCCCCGGTTTAGGGATTTCTGACCTAGCTTTAAGTTTCTGAGCAAGAAGCATTGCTGCTGCATTAGATTTGCTCTCAGAGAGAGGTGCAAAACTTGCACAAGGCGTTGGAGTAAACCTTGCATGTGCACTGGATGCTGTACTGCTGTGTTAACACTGGAATCTTTATTCAGACTATTTTAAAGTTATATAGCGAGTGTCTGCATAGTTAGACATGACATACTACAAGCCCTGCAAGGCAGCCTGATGTGAGGAACGGTCAGGACTCCTGCTATTTATTCTATAACTCTCTTTATCAAGCTCATGTAAAAGCCTGCCTATGCAGATGGCTTGTGATATTTTGGTCTTCTGTTAGACTTCATATTGTAGCAGCTCAACCCCAGAAAGATCTCAGAGAGAGACTGAGTTTAAATTAGAAGAGACTTGTGCAACGTTCCAGGCCCAAGCAATACGGCCAAGAAATTTAGATTTTCTGATATATTGACTGCTGAAAAGATTTTGAGAGGGTCAAATTGCTAATGCGGTGGGTTTTTATCTAAATCACTATTTAAGCCTTTAATTTAAATAAAGGCCAGTTGAATATAAGAGGTGATTGCATTTCCTTTTTGGTTGCTTTTGCTTTATAAATGAAATACAGTCTGATACTAGATAATCTTAGTGCAGTTGTAACAGATTGAAAGTGCAGTGCCTCTAACATCTGCAGTAGTAGTGAAGTTAGAGAGTAACAGATACTTTTAAAGTGTTTTATTACTTTTACTTGTTACTGGATTGTCACTGACAAAAATAAGTTGAAATAGTGGAGAGTTGTGCATATGATCAGCTTGTAATAAATATGGTTAGCATATACTTCTCACTTCTTAGCTAGCTTCTTACTGTTTGCTAATCCAGCTCATCAGTATACAACATAGGATGTTTCAGAGCTGCCAATGGGGAAAAAAATAATCTCTAAGCTTCAAGATTTTCTTTATAGTAGCATTCTCTAGAATTACTTGGTTTTTGAGACAAACTGTCTTAGAGCACAGAGAGGTTTAGTCTGTGTAACTTTGTCATGAATCCAGAGTGAAAGAGTTGCAGACCTGCTTGGAAGCAGGAGCAGAAGGTTTTTGTCTTTGGTAAGAGGACATTTTCAGCTGGTAGCTGTGGTTTCTCAAGTTTTGAATGGACTTGAGATATGAGATTTAAACATATAATAACATTTCCAGAACATTATATGTTTTACGTAATTTTTAAAATGTTTTCCAATCTCCTGCACTGAAAGTAACCAGGTATCACTGTACATGTTTAGGCATGGGCTTGTGTCCTAACTAGCCATTCATGCCTTCAGAATCTAAACCTCTGGTTGCAGTGCAGCCTCCTCAGAATTTCAAAACTTAGTAAATTTTAAGATTAGGGAGAATATGAGGGTAGGCTGCAAAGTGCCATCCAAACTTTTAACCTGTTGGAATAGATTTTAAGGGTCAGTGGTATTGGCTGCAACTATCATCTGGGAAGTTCTGGGACTCTTCTACTGTAGATGTATGCTAGCTGTGTCCTGGCCTGTGGGTAAAATGGTAGTGAGGTGAATCGCTCACACGTGGTCTAAAATGCCTGGCTTTAGCAGAGAAGTTTACAAAAGTAATTTCGAATAACATTTTAAAATAAACTTTAAAATACTTTTCTGCAGTGAAATTGGAACAGAGTGAGAAGGTGTGACGTTGTAAGATTTGTAAAATAACTGCATGCTTTTGGCTTTTTTTCTTATAGGTGAAATATGACCATTTGTTTGCTCATGATGCTGATTTCTTCCTGTCTTACTTCCCAGTGGTTACATTTGTGTATACACTGTTCAAGTTCTTTGATACTTGGTGACAACAAACTTCTGTTCCTTGCAAAATGCCTCACATTAATAAAATAGGTTTTAAAGAATAGTAAGAAATGTATAATCAGTTCAACCATACAAATAAACGATTTAGAGGGATCCCAGGGTGGTCCATAGAACACTGTTTACTTCTAAATCAAATAATCGAGGAGTGAGCTAACTTTAATAAAGTGACCATGAAACCGAAGTGAATGAGAGGGAGGAGAAGGAGAAGCTAATCTTGAACACTGTAACTGGGTATTCTGGACAGTTTTCAGCACAAGTATTTTTCTAAAAAAGTTTGACTTTGTTTTGGTAGTCATTGTAGTTTAGCACATGGCATCTAGAGATGTTTTCAGAGTGAAGTTGTGTTGTATCACAATATTCAGGGCTCAAGCATTTGTGACATTTGACATTAAAGGTAATTCTGATTTTTTTATTTTTAATTTTTTTTTCCCCTTTAACAGCTTTGGGAAAGGGCCCCTACAAACTGGTCAGCTATTTGGATGGAGAATTTGTAATGGCGGTGAAACTGGTGGATGGTGTTGTTTTTCCAGTGAGAGAAGATGATATTGTTCCTGGACATGCAGTGAGCTTTATGCTGACTTCAGGACTTTATAAACCCAAAGCACATGGTAAAGTTGCAGTAATCTAAAGGCTTACATAAAGCAGAGCAAATTCTGCCCTTGAATATAAGCCTACATTTAAGGATACACCTGGGTCAAAAAATCTTTTCATTACCCGTCAGTTGATTGTGTACTTTAATTTTTTCTGCCAAAATTTTCATTTGTTTGGTTTAATTAGGTTATTGTAGCTTTATAAACAGATAGTTTTAGTTTAAAACAACAGCCCCCTGCCCCAACCTTCAGAAGCACCAAACCAGTGGTGTAGCCCAGTGCTCCAGTTAATGTGTTGCTCCCTCCACCTTTCCTCTGGCAGGACTGGGACATGGGAAAGAATGGGAGAGAAATGATACAAGAAAAGTACTCCCTAATTCACTTGCTTTCCACCATCACTCATTGTCTGCCCACTTGTACAGGGGTGCCCATTGGCACTAACCTGAGCTGTGTAAGGGTGTATACTGCAAATTTGTCTCCTTCACATCCTAACTTAAGTTTTCACTGAAGGAATGCGTTGCTTATTCAGCAGATGAAAGAGGTCTTGCACACATTCAGACAGGTAGGGAAAGCTTACAGGAATATATTCAGCACTTTGTGACACTGATTTCTTTGTTGCAGTTGTGTCTGCATACAGTTTTTATGCCCACCAAGCCTTTAATGCCTACTAGAATCTCAATACAGTTTTACTGCCCAGAGCCCCCTGATTTACCTCTTTGGACAGCCTGAAGGTGGCTGTCTTTGTGTAATCAAAGAAGGGATATAGGTCAGTTGAAAAAATGGCAGGCATTTGATTAGTAATACTGCTGTCTGTAGAACTGACACAAGAACTCATGTAACAGAATATCCAGGGCCAGATCTCTTTTGTTAGTCATAGTTTTGAGACACTTGAGCATTATGTTCAATTTAGGTTTGGAAAGGGAAGGTCTATCCTCCTGTTCTATTCCCATATAAAAATCTCTCACTCAGAATTTAACCTGGCAAATGGAATCTGTGCCTTATGGTCCAATTTGAGCAAATGGCATTTCACCATCTGGCCATGGAGGAGTTTATACAATCAATATGATATTTTTCATATCTGTGTCTTCATTTATATATCTGTGTTCGTGGTTCTCTGGTGCCTCAGAAAAATTGATGTGTTTTCATCAGTTTCAGACAAATCATAGACAGTGGAAAGTTTTGGGCATTGATGTACAGATTTGCTATATGTCAGGTATTATAAATCACACTGTTGTTACTTATCAAATATCTACTTACTGCAGACAATTAATAAAATATTCATAAGTGCCACTGTGGTTTTCAGATTAATACAAGTTTTTATGCTCAGAAAACAAGTGGTTCTTCCAGCAGTTGTTTTACCAGAATATGATAGCTTGTCTGTTTAAAGGAGATCATTTGTTTTCTATGCATTCTTTTTTTCAAGAAATGCTACCCAGACCTGGAGGGTTAGTTGATTTTACAGTAGTTTAATGGCTGTTTTCGAATAGCAGAGCAAAATAGAATGAAGTAATTCTGTGAGCGACAGATGCCTATAATAGGTTCAAGATCTGCCACTCTGCAACTGGTTGTACAGAGGCTTGCTTGAAATCAGCAGTATTGTTTTCAGGGTAAGCTATCATGTGGGTACGTTTGCCAGAAAACAGACTTTGCTGTTAACATTTTTAAGGGAAGGGCTAGAGGGCTGACCGCTTGGAAATTAAGACATAAAGCTGTAAGCTGAATGCAGAATACAATTTTGTAATTTATTTTTAATGAAATATTGAGCTCTTAAGCTATAAATTCCTGATGGCAAACATTACTTGTAAAGCTAGTTAGATGAAGTTTAAATTTTTATTAAATAAATGCCTTAGTGGAGGCTGTAACTGAAGTTCTGCTTGACTGTGGGGCTATATTCCTTTATCCTGGTGTGGGTAAATGTCTTAATCTGCTTGTATTCCTGTTGAAATATGTAGGGTATTTAGGAAACTAAATATCCATCAGAATCTAGCAGTCTGAAATGGATATATAGTATATTTTCTTACCAGATTCAGGCTATTTTCACTGATAGGGCCAAAGTCAGTTTTCACTGCTCATGCTACAAATATCGGTAGTGGTACATCAGAATGGGTTTAGTTTGTTATAAATATATATGCAAGTAAATGAGTTCTATGTGTGTTTTTCAGATTCCAACTTGATTTCATTTGAAACAGCTGAGAGACCAAACTATTTTCTTCACTTGGCCTCCAATAATACTCTTGTTGTTTCTAAATGGGAAAAAAGAGAAGCATTTCACAACAGATCTACATTTGTCATTCATAAGAATACATGGCTTTCAGGATACAGTTCCTTTGAGTCATTTGCAGAACCCGGATACTTCATCCACATTTCAGCCTCTTCAGTTGAGCTTTTGAAGTACCATCATTCAGAGGAGTTCAGACTGTCGACCCTTTTTAAACTTGTAGGTAGGTAATTAAAGTTGTATTTTATGAACGGCAGTTTTCTCCCTGTGAAAATACATGAAAATACAATTGCTAAATGGTACTGATATTTTCCGAGGTGATGAGATTGACTACTTCTCCCCTACATCACTGGGATCTGTGGGTAATCTGTGGCACACAGGCTCAAAATCTTCCCTGAGGTTTGTAGTGAGTATGAGTCAAAAGCCATTAAGCAGCCTAACACAGAATTTTGGTCTATTTGCTAATGGATTTTGGATATACAGAGCTTAGTGTACAGCTTCTGGTCAATACTTGCTTTGTAGATAGTGAGGAAATTCTTAAGGAGTAGAAAATTCATGCCGATGAACAATGGATTCATGAAAGGAATAGCTTTTAGAGATGCGTTCAGTTCTTTTCTAAGGTCTGTGGGTGATATTTTCCCCTCCTTTCCCTTTGCCACAAAGAGAGAGTTTTCTGTTAGGTGCATTCTTGGTGCAAGCTTTGTGGCCTCTTCAGAACTCATGCCATCCAGTACTAAGAACATTGCCTGTAGATTACACTTCTCAAACCCCATGTTTTCCCTGAAATACACCTTGACCTTTATCTGTATATCCACTGACAGAGGCTGTGCCTTTTGGGATGTTATACCCTAGTGTTTCAGGCATCATGTAGGTGGAGATGTATGCCTCTTCTTGGGGATCTGCATGTCTATTTCTCTAATACTTCTTGGACTGCTACAGCTCTTGCATACACAACGTAGAGTGATGTACGAGTGTTTCTACCTACTTGAGAGATTCCCATTCCACTGAGACATAAGGATCAGAAATGTAGGAGATATTCTTAATACTCTGTAGGAGCTGGATCAGAAAGTTGCTCCTACAAGAACTGATGACAGAAAACACACGTTAAAAAAAATTACTAATCAATCAAGCTCTTGCTTTTTTAGATTAGTAAGGAAAAGAAGCAATAACTGTCTTCACATATTCTTAAACACTTGGGAACCATGTGCTGAAATTAAGATGGCCTTACAGGTTAAGAACGATATGCGAGAGTTATATTGGCCTTTAAATTAAGAAAACCAAGATTATTCATGAAACTGCCATTTGCATTAGTGTCTGCTTGCCTTGATACATCAGATACAGCAAATGCATTCATATGACTTCATGAACTTCAGTGACAACTGTTACTTACTGAAACCACTGGCATTTGTGTGGTATATAAAATTCCATAATCACTACAAGTGTTTATTTTAATGTTCTAAAGCTTTTTATTGTGCTGTAATTTTAAATGCAGTAGTAATTATTTACTAGGTTAGCAATTCTTGGCAATACCATTTTTTAAACCCAGTTTTTCATTCTCTGAAACAGAAACTTGTTTTACAAGCAGAGAAAGAAAGTGAAATATTGTAACAAATGACGCATGGCCTGGCCATGTTTTATAGTGACCATTTTGAATCTCAGCACAGACAAATCTGAAGCAGGCACTGACTTCTATGACAGAAGAGGCCAACTGTATGCCTCATGGAGCTTCTTGTTATCAAAACATTGAATTAAAGTGTTAATGGTGGCATTGTGAATCTGCTGATGTTTTGCGGTGCATTATGCTGACAGCCTAATGCAGCTGTTGACTGGCACACTCCAACTTCAGAAAAAATGACAGATTTTGTCATTGCCAAATGCCTGTTGCTTCTTGACAAATGGTTGTAATCACAGAGCTGTTGAGGGTTTTGAACAGCAGAATTATAGAGCTAATGCTATTACCAGGATGTTCTTACAGCATTTCAAGCAAGGAACTTTTTTTGGACATAACAAAAATATCTCCTTGGTCTTTTATCTTTGAGGGAGGAATGAAGAAGTTTAAAACATGTTTCAATTCTCAGTGGTCGTCCATTAACACAGAGTGGTATGTCTTTTCAAGTGTGAAGTCTTTTTACCCTTCAGTCATTATACCAAAAAATCCTATCTATGCCAATGGAAAACTAAAACAATTTACCTCAGCAAGTGGGATCAGATCAAATGATCAAGAGGCATTTCATTAATCACCACATCCGAGGGCTTGGGTTTCAGAGTTTTATAAGCAAGAAACATAGAGCTCGAATCTTTCTCCAGTGTACTTTCACAAGGGCCAGCCTGCTGATGTAGGGTAATTACATGGTCTAAAAATACAGCAGCATTTGTTTAAGTTAATGGAAAAGTTACACCAGCTCCAGAGTGCACAGGCAAAAGCGTATTGAGTTTCCTGCTGACTATTGTAAATGCTTTGCATATTAGATCAGAAACTCTTGAACCGGGAACAGATATTCCTGCGGAATCAGAGGATAAATATCGGGAGCAGAATAATAGGCCCAGTAAATCCTCTTGGCCAGAAAGTTCCTCATGAGACTTCTTCATGCTCTGTGACGCACATTCAAAAGGAAGAATTTTAAACGACCTGATCACCACAGCAATAGATACATGTTTGTTTAAAGTCAGCTGACGAGTCACTTTTTCCAGTTTCAGAGCAATAAATATTGTCACATTGAAATACTTTGACTATAAATTGCGCAGATGTGATGGGCTAACACTGCAAAGTATTTTCCATGAGAAGTCACTTCAGCTTTTAAGTTGGGTTATCTTCATCATACTTAGATTTGTCTGCTGTCCTGTCCCCACAAACATTTGAGGCTTTGGGTTGATAACTGAATTTGAGTATCTAGAGTATACTTACTCACAGGAAAATACATTTTGCATTTTATACAGGAACTTTTACAAGCAATGGACTGGTATATGTATTCAGTCAAAAGAAAGAATACACTTAGCTTTACCAGGTGGACAAGCACAGAGATGTCATGTAAGAACAATCAATTCACATTTGACATTGCTGGGAAATTAGTGAATGTAGGGAATTGGTGATCTTTTCATGGATATAGCTGCAGTTTCCTTACCCTTTTTTAAAATAACATGCTCAAGCTAGTTACCTTTTACATTTCATAGAATTATCATAATACGCTTTACCTTTTTAAGATCAATGTTAGTTTTATATATATATATTATAAAAATGTAATTTGCTCAATATGAGTTCTGCAGCAAAGTTCTTAATGTTAATTATGTGCTTTAACAGCTAACTTGCTGTAAATATAAGGCCTGTTTCAGAGAGAATTTTCAGCTAAAGCTAAAATCTCAAGATGTACTAAGTATATGCATACTGCAGAGGTGTTGTCTAAGTTTGATAGAGGGCATTTTTGGTTGCTTTTAATGTTTGCATCATAATTAACTGAAACACATTCAGGAACATAATACAAAACTGAAAATTGAATGAACGTTAATTCTTTTACAGAAGCATCTTGCATCCTAAGTGATATCATTGACTATTTTAACTTCAGCTTCCTCTTATCTATTTCCATCAGTAGAATTAATTTTCTAGAATGTCATGTTTCACTTACAATGAGTTGCTCTTAAGTTTAATTTGAGCTCATGTGCTTTGTCAGTCCAAAAGATCATGACATGGAGCCTGGGACTGGATAATGCTGAGCAACCACTGTTGTACCTGTAAATCCTGGGTATGTCACTGAACACATCTGCTCTGTAGGTCTTGGAATCAGACTGAGGTTACTGTAGAATTATAACATCTGTCCTATTTATACCACATTTGAACTCTCATTTTTGCCTGAATAAATGGGAAGAGATTAAATAGTTACATTAACAAGATTATATTCCTCTATGATGGTAATAATAAACTAAAACAGAAGTATCTGAGAGGTAGATGATTATACATGTTTTCAGTGATGTTTTGGCTGGGCACAAAGTTCAATTTTTCAAGTGATATTTGCTTACATTTCTCCTTGCAGAAACTTAAGAGTCATGGGCAGAGTTAGTTAGTAGTTTGTGTGTGTTAAGTGGGTAGATAGGATTTCATGTTTCTAAACTTGTAACTGAGGAGATAGGCAATCTACGTTACTAAGCAGAGTTTTACTGCCATTATAAATAGAACTAATTCTAAAGCAAATTTTGTTCCTACTAGATTTTTTGAAATCTTTAAGAAAAGTAGCAAAACATAAAAAAGTGTCAGGTGAGAATGAAAACCCAAATACTTAACATTTTTTCCTTATTTTTAAAACCTTTATTTTAAATACATTTACTAACATTAGACCATTTTAAATTTTAGGGTGTTGGGGTTTTTTTTTAAAGTAGCCATTTTTTCTACATAGCATGAAATTATTAATAATATGCAGATTGTGACAATGGCAAATTTTGTTCCTGTGGGGTAAAAGCATAGGAAAAAAAAAGGCAGGATGGACTTGTCAACACACAAAAAAGTGACCAAGCTACTAAGAAAAGTTGTATCTTAACAGAACACCACAGTCTGTCAGTGATAAAAAATTGAAATTCTTCATTCAATGTAGCAACTGTTCTCATTACTACAGAAATACTTTTGAAAGCCACAAAGAATGAAAATCGTAAGTTACAGGGTACAAAATGCTTCTCTGATGTCCAAGCAAGTGAGAATACAATGGAGTCAGGGAATATCTTTTAATATATTGTCTTTGGCAACGTGTATACCTGCGTTTGTACAAAAGCTGTCTGCTGTGTAGCATGTCGATATGCTCAGCTCCTGTTAGGTAAAAGAACTGTGGGCTCAGTTGGCATGTCAGCTGGAATGACTGTCATCCAGGGCATAATTTACCATTTTGTGAAGGATTTGCTGTGTCACCAAACAGGAGACAAATGCTGGTAGACCTCACCAGGAGACACATGGTTATTTTCAAATGCCATGACAAATCTTTTTGAGGAACACATGCCTGCTATAAGAAGCTTGACTCATTGTCTGTAAACTGTGTACCATTCTTTTGTTGTGAGTGAACAGTACTGTTGCACAGAGTACAGTAAGCTCGTATTACTGGTTGCTGGAGGGGGAATTTAAGTATTAAAAAAATGGGAAGCATGTGGTGGAGGTGGCTGATTAGCATCCTGGCTAGCATAAAGCATTTGTGCGATGACACTGGTGAAATTCACAGTTTCTGAACTGTGGTAGTTTCTGTCACGGGAATAGCAGTATAGTCGTAGCAATAAACCTGAGGTTGGCCTGATGTGCAAGTCAGTGTCTAAAATCAATACAGAGAGTGAAAGGAATATTTTATTCAGTTTAGGGAGAGGGATGCTTTAAAGCTTTTCCTTATACCCTACTGATTGTGGGTATTGTGGCCATAGTTAATATGATGTATGTGCTAAGAAGAGGTGAAATAATGTATTTTAGCTAGGTATACAGTTACTTCATTGTCCTCTTAGCTTAGTCTTGAATTCATGTTTGTTCAGAACACAGCTCTGTGTCTCTGTTTCTCCTCCCCGTCATTTTCTGTCTAATCTCTATTTAATCTAAACTTTGTAAGCAGGAACTGCATCTTGTTGTGGTTTTTTGGAGTGTTTTGGTTTTGTTTGTTTGTTTTGTTTTGTTTTGTTTTTTCACGCTGGCTTGCACAGTCAATGAGCTCGGTCCTTGGGCCACTCAGGCATTCCAGAAGTCATACTGCCAATAGTGAAAAGTTTAAATATGATGAATGACTGAATGGACATTTTGCTACTGCTGGAAAGGCATTTTCTCATAATCTTTATTTTCACAGATTTCATCATATCTGATGGGTTTACTGAGACACACTGAAAACTTTTGAGATACTGGAAACCAATTCATGCAATATATTCAACTCTTGCTGTGGTGATTCGTTCTGTTCTATTATGTAATTTACACAGTAAAATACCTAATACAGCTTGGCCTGGTTTATTCAATTGTCTAAAATCCCTTGACTGGAAAATTCAATGTCTATTGGTTCTACAGCTCTTCTTTGAAAACATATTTAAGACCAGGTTCATGGATTCATCTGTTGTCCATACTTCTTTCTGCAGAAGTAGAGACAAAATTCGCAGACAAGCATGACTTTGTTTGCTCTTGACTGAAAGCAGTGTTTATGAACCACTCAACAAATGCTACACCTTCATGTAGAAATTCACCCTATTACCTACCAATGCCTGCAACACCAGCAAACTGTGAAACCTTGAGGGAAATGTGGCAGACATTTCATAAAAGTCCAAGTTTGGAGAATGGGAGATGGTATATTAATCCCAGCACTTGGAAGTGTTAATTCATGATCACTCTTCTGCTAAACTGAGAAACTAACGTTCTTCATCAGAATACAGTATGTTCTGCAAAGCTTGTGCCTTTATTGTGTTTGAAACTTGTTATTAATGGAGAGGTTGGTGGCAAGCATTAAAAGTTATGGATCTGTCTCTACTTAATCTATGGTAGTCTGATGAATGAGATTTCCTAGGTTCCACTTGGATATACTGTTATTGCTGGTTATTACCGCTGTTAGTGATTGCCTGTGCCAACAGGCCACTGATATGTTCTGTCTTTTTGTCATATATTTTCTTCTTTTGTCCTTAAACCTTACCACCCTGACCTGTCACTGTGCATACAAAACCTCATACACCAGTCAGCAAAATGTATGGAAATAATTCCTTTCCTCCATTAGATTTAAGCAACTTAAGTTTGTTTCACTAGAAGGGGTCACAGAAGAATTCAGTGACATTTAATGAGCTTTTTAGTGGAATGTAATTTTATAAATGCATTTGTTACTGTTGTAAGAATCATGTTATCAAAAGCAGTGATATGTCCTTGGATAGAGTGGCATGTAAAACCGGTAACGCTAGATGGCAACATACACACTCTTTTGTTGTGAGTTTCATTTATACCTTTGATTTAAGATAATTATTTGTATTAAAAAGAAGACATTAATGGTTAATAGTGGCAGAGAGATAATTGCCCGTAAGTGCCAATGTCCCTAAATTGCAGGAAGAACAATTTCTTAGGATCTTCATGGAAAAATTGAATGTCTAAAGAAGATGTAAAAGAGCCACTCTGTATCTCAGTCAAGCAAAGGTCGGCAAAACTATAAAGCAAAAAGTCTTCAAAAGACCAAAAATGGAAACTTCTAAGTAGTAAGCATTTTCTTTTTGGTCACTAATATAAACATTGTTTAAGAAACAGCTGCTCTTCATAGGCTCTGAACAACACAGCTCTAAGATCAGGTTTACAAATCCAGAGGGGACCCATATGTCACAATGGTGATCTTCTGCAGGCATAAAGGTAAGGGAACACTGCTCTGCCCTGACTGCTGCAGGAAGGAGCTGGGATAGGCTGATGTAGTTCAGGTACTGAAATCCAGATATATTGCCTAAGCCATGCAGGAATTGAAGGAGCCACTGAGCTAATGCAGCATTGTACAGGAAACAGTTCTGTGTGCAGATGGAGCAGGGTTGTAGTGAAACGGAAAGCATGATGCTGCATTTGAACATAAAAGTGCGTGTCACTCACATGATGATTGTCACAAATTTGTTTCTCAGATTTTACAGTCTATTTCTTCTTTGCTTTAATTTTGTAAAGTTCCTGCATAATTTAAACAGCACTGGAAGTATAGCTTCTCCTTATTTTTGTTTATCCTCACTTTGAAGTTTAACTCTTTCTCTATCTAAATTTGTATTTGGGGATTCAATTATGTGAATTTATATTCTTTCAATAAACACTGTCTGCATAGATACTCTGAAGGCAGGGGTTTTTTCCTTATTGTTTGGTAGTTGGTTGGTTGGGTTTTTTTAATTTGTGTAGTGTTTCAGTTAGTATTGTTAGTATTTTGTCTGGTGAAGTATGTTTTCAGTTACATTTTGCAAGACTACATGTCTCATCTCATCTGTGTTACTTTGTTCATTGTAGGAGAAGTTAGAATTTCAGATTCAAAATGTTTTGAGGTTTGAATTAATTTCTCTTTGAGTGGCTATCTTATACTGCTTTGAGAAGATCAACTGTTAAGATGTATTGCGTTAAAGAGCCTAAACTGACATAATTTCTGCTTCCTTTATTTGAAATGGTGGGTTTGCTTTTAAAATGCAGTTGTATCATATAAATTAGGTACACCTTTGTGCTATACCAGCAAATTTTACACATGAAGCAAACAGCTGTTAAGATACATTATGTTATAAAGAGTATCAGTGTATCCAACTGATGCTTTTTATTTTTATTCTAATAGCAATAATTGTACTGAATCAACATAATTTTGCATTTTGTTTGAATAACCAAACATAGTTTCATTGTTGATACAGTTGTTAAAACTTAAAAACAGCTCTAGCTTGCCTGGCTTCATTTTCAAGTGATTGTAATATTCAGTAAATGTGGATAATTCAATGTTGTGTTTTATACTACAAAGAGTAAAACAGGCTGCAGAGCCAGTGCTCTTTAATATAATCTGCATAAACATAAACTGTTTATCTATGCTTTAAAGACCTTAGCTGTTCATAAAATATTACCAAATTTATTTGTAGAGAATAGAGGTACAAACAGTAAGAGATTTAGAGCTGCAGTGAACTTAAAGCATGCCTCTTAGTGATATGTATTTGTGTGTGTTTCTAGAAATATATGAGAATAACAGGTTTTGATTCTTTTTCAGATGTCAGATTTAAATTTCTATCCCGTTCTGCATGTGAGTGGCATTATGATGCCTGTACAAGCCCTTGTTTCAAGACATGCAGGGACCCATTGGGAAAAACCTGTCAGGCAGTACCGAAGTAAGTATCTGTATTTTTTTGGAAAATTGTGTACCTTGGGTAGTATGCTTATGCAGCATAGTAAGAATATGAGGGACCAGATGTAGGCTCGGTATAGCAGGATGGTGTCCTTGCATAAGGAGGAAAGTGAAGGAGAAAAGAAATGGAATACAACCTGCTGTGGCAGCTATGTAAAAGTGACATTTCAGTTGTTAGATAAGTATTGTGAGACTCTGAATGACTAGAATATTTTTAACTTTTAAGCTGGGGGGGATATTATAGAGTATTAATAAAGAGAGGTGGTTACAAGTTTGTTTCAAAGCATTGTGCCCCTACTTTTTCATTATGACATTGCAACAGCCATATCTGTCCTTCTTGCCTTTTCCTTCCAGTTGGAATTTGTGCTAAGTACCTGGTAAAACTGGCATTTGGATTCTGGTGTTCAAAAAATGTTTGGTATTTCTTAAGCAATAGCATTCACTATTGAACTTGCAGCAACTCATTTCAAAGGGTATTGCAAAGTTAATGCTTGAGCTTCCATCTGAGTAGGAAAGGAAACCATGGCAATGACACTTAGAAGGGGGTGGGGGGGGGAGGTACACTGAGGTGATGAGATTTAGGTAGAACAAGACTGTCTACTTAAAACCACTTTCTAAATAAATTGTGTTTTCCAAAAATTAAATGCTTAATCCAGATACTGTTCAACTAGTTAATACTTACTGTTTTTCTTTTAGAGTGGAAGGATGCATCCCTGCTTGTCCTCTCAATATGTTGCTGGATGAAATCACTCAGAGATGCGTGTATTTTGAAGACTGTATGTTTTCAAAATTATATAAATTATGTATGATATGTAGCTTATTAATTTCTTGGATCTTCAGTCAGATTTTCAAATGTCGATGCTTAAATTTGATTAACTATGACATTAGTTACATGAATCTTGAGCTCACAGAACATCTGGTTTTCTTAAAATAATTTAACTCCTCGGAAATCTGAAATAAATTTTAAACTCAGGAAGATGTTGTTTCTTCATAAAACATTTCAGTAGCATTAGATATGTAGCAAATGATTTAATGAATGTATTTTTTAATTTGGCTATGAATTTTAGTTTAAAGGCAATTGAGAAGATCAGTGTTATGTGAGTTAACATAAGTTCCTTCTAGCTCTGCTACTTTCATGCCTATAATTATTCATAAATTTCAGACTACTGTTTACTTGTGTCTGATTTCAGGCATTGAACCTTCAGATGATAGTCCACCTTTGCCACCCAGCAGTCGAACGCCGCCAGTTTCACATATAACATCAAGTACAAGCTTGGCAGGGATCAGTGAAGCAGTAACTTCATTTCCTGTACCTGGAGCAAAGGACATGGAAACATCACTTGCGCCAAAATTGCAACTCACTGCAACTACAGGGAAAACTGAATTTTCATCTGCTACATCTAATACAACACTTCGAACCGTAACTTTATCAGCAAATATTTCTTCACAGTCAACAGAGATGACATCTATGAGAAGCACAACAGCCATGTCTGTGACAACACAATCTAATGTAAGCTTGTCTTCTCCTCTTGACACTTCTCCATTGTTTCCATCTACTGTCAGTCCAGAAACTTTTATGAAGATACAAACAATCAGTAGTGTTTCCACTAAACTGTTGAGGGCTACAGAACCTCAGACAGTAACTGCTACACATGCAGTGACTACAAGCACAGAATCAGAACGCAAACCAATTTCTACTTTTATATTTACTGGAACACCGCTTATACTTAGAACAACAGAATTTCCAGTCAAAACTAAAGTAATGGAAATACCAGAAACAGCCACAAGAACGCTTCCCACAAAAGAAGCACAAGTAAAACCAGAAGGACTTACAGCATTTATGCCTAGTTCATTTGAGTCAGTAACAGAAAAAACTACTGTCTATCTGTCCCAGTTTTCCTCATCACCACCTCTGGGCATGCCTTCATACACACCAGCAGTAAACCTAACAGGAACTTCAGAAGGGACAAGAATAAGTGTAGGACAGTCTTTTACCACAGTAGCTAATGTTACATTAGCATCATTTTCTCCTGTGATCACTACTTTGTTAAAACCATTGTCTTCAGCAACAACAAAAGCAGCAATTGTTTTAACCGAACAGAGCATGAAGACTACATTTTCACCAACATCCGCACCACCCATTTCATTAGGAAAGGCAATTACAGAACCTTCTGTTGAAATGGTTCGACACCTGACTGGTACTGCAGAGGTGCTTTTCACTACAACTCCAGGTCCAAAGACAACAACTCAGCAAACTCAAGAGAGATCATCAGAAACAACTTTGTTATCATTTACAACTCAAAAAAAGGAAACTCCCAAAACAACATCACATGTGGAACATATGTCAGGTTCTTATTTCCTTCCATATTCACTGCATCCTAGTTCTACAACTGAAAAATCTATCAGTCTTTCTACAAAAAGACCATCAGTGTCTGGTCCCACTCCTGCTTCTCCAGCTTCAGGTGAATTAAAAAAAACATATAAAACTGTTTCCACTACAGGATATCCTTCATACGTAGTCCTAAACACAACAGAGTTCCTGACTACATTATACACTAAATATCCTCTTGTGGCTGAGACTATCGGAGTGACACCTTTGTCTGTTGAGGTAACATCCAAAATAACATCCCCTTTTGAATTAGCAGCAAAGTCTACTTTATTTTCTGGAAAAACATCTACCAAGTACAAGTCAACTCTGGTTTTAAGTTCAGTGAAGACAAGCACTTCAGGATATTCAGGTAGTGTTACCACATCAGCAGTGAAAACCTCAATCTCATCAAAAGAAACCACCACAGTTCCTTTTGTAGCTACAGAAGGAGAGTCAGCTCAAAGAACATCCATCACTTCATCTCCACTTGCTCTCCTTAGTGCAACTGAAACCATGCTGGTGACAACCGAGCCTGATAAATCACAGGTGGAAAGAATGACTAGCATCTCTACTAGAAAGCCGTCTGCTTTCCCTTCTTCACCATCAAGTTCTCTAATCTCTTTAAACATTTCTCTTCCTTCACTACCCTCATTTGGAAAAGAAGCATCACTGACAGCTCTCAGTCCTGTGCATACATCCCATGAAACGATCTCTTTATATCCGAGAACAACTATAGCAAAATCTGTGTTACCAACAGAAAAGACCTCTCCAGTCCTGACTTTCTCTACTTTACCAACTATAACAGAACAGTCAAGTCCAATAACAACAGTATCACACGACAGATCACCAGGCAAAGCCATTTTAAATATTACTTATGCCACATTCTCCCCTCCCCCTGAATTTGGCAGTCAGCTTATAACAAGCAAAAAAGTAATGACAGACAAAGAAAAATCAACTCTGTCCCCTTCTGCTGTACTTCCAGTAACAAGGCCATCTTACACTTTTTCCACCTCTAAGCATCTAGCAGATAAATTGGTTTCTTCACCTCCTTTAACACAAATGATACTAGAAGTAACAACCACACCAAAATACCCAACATTAAAATCTACAGTCCAAAGTATAACAGATACAATAAAACTTGCAACAATTACAACTCGGCCATCCTTTCTTCCATCTTCAGTAGGCGCCTTTTCTTGGCAGACATCTTCAGGAGATAAACTTTCAGTACAGACCACAAAGACCATGGCCATACCACATTCTTCTACTCAGAAGGTTATGGAATTTGGTCGTCAGACTTCTGGGCCTTTGTTGACAAGCCAAAGCAGCACCCCAAGTTACCAGTATCTTGCAGAAACTCTAACAAAATCCACTGGTCAGCCACAACGTGTCTTTAGAACAACTGAAGCTACAGTAGAATTGACTTCCTCCTATCCCTTAATCACCTCACTCCCTGAAGGCATTCATTCAACTATATTACCTACCTCAGTAGGTCCTACACAAGTTATTTTGCCAACTCAAAAAGAGTTGCATTTAACTGATTCAGTCACGCAGCCATATGTATCAAGAACTTCCTCTGTTTTGCAGTCTGCAGTCCCAACTAGAACAAGAACTGACTTAATTTTTGGCACCAGAGTTCTCTCTCCCTCACCAGAAGTGCTTGCAGGTTCCTCTTCTTTAGCAACAGTTAAAAAAGAAGCATTTCCATCATTTTCCACACAAAATTCAAGTCAGTCAGTTGAAACAACTACAGCTTCACCAGAATCTAAGTCAATCTCTTCATTGGTTTTGTTACCAGAAAGAACAGAAATTCCCATTATGATGGGGAGCGGGACATCCACATCAATGGGCAAAAGTGATACAGAGAAAACTGCAGCATTGCCTAAACATGTCACACTTTCAACCACCTCCTACATTTCCACATTTGTACCAAGTACAGTGTTGTCAGCTATGGCCCATTCATCAGCTGCAGCTTCAGCCTCTCCAGTGATAAGCAGTACTGGGCAAAATGTTAGTATTGTATCAGGAACTTCAGACAGAGCAGAAGCAGTAACAGAATCCATCACAAGCTCTGTGAAGCCCACCTATTTTTTTGTTACATCAGAAGCAAAAGGAGCCATGTCCTTTGATACAGTAAAATCTGAAGAACCAGAATTAACAACAGAAATCCAAGCTATCCATACTGAAGGTGCTACTGTTACACCACAAACACCTCAGACAATTTACCCTCCATATTTCACAAACACAACTGCAGTTCCTTCAAATGTAAGTGTATCAGTACTGTCCACTATACGTTCATCCTCTGAACCAAAACCTTTTTCTTCTATAGCTGTGTCATTGGTCAGTACCACTCAAACTTCAAAACCTGAAATATCATCTGAGGTGCAAACGCCTTCTGGGAGTTCAGTGCTAATGATATCTGACCATCCAAATGACACAACCGCTCCATCAGTTTCCTTACTTTCCCATTTATCTACGAAACCACTTTATGGCTTGACTACAACATTTTCTGACAGACTGGCAACACCTGAAGCCATGTCAGGGGTCACAGCATCAGCTTTTATGCTGCCTAGAGAAACACCAACTCTTCAAACTTGTACAGTGAGTAACTATAAATATTTACCTGTTTGGTTTTGAATATATCTGGTTACTTTTACACACTCAAAAAAAAATTGAGCCATATTTGATCTTTAAGATTTAAAATATCTGTATCAAACAGGGAGTCCTATTATTTTCTGTTATATCCAGCTTTGGATGATTTCATTACACATAATGTTTTTTGTAAGTGCTGTAATACACTGGTTTGGGCCTCAGTTTTCTGAGTGTGATTTTTACGAGAGACTGTTTTTCTGGCAAAATATAGTGCTTCATCTTGGACAGTGGCATTTTTTTGATACATTGTCCTCCATAAAATACATCTTTCCAGAAATCCCTGTTATTATTTCTAGCTTCCATACTTTTCCTTCTCAACTTCTTTTAACATGAAGTTAAAAATTCAGTAATGCTGTTCTCTGCTTTACAACAAGACAGCAGTTTTAAACTATCCTCAGGATGGCTGGGTTTTCAAATGTGCTCTTCACTTATAGCTTCCACCAGTGTCGTGGGGATTCATAAGTATTCTGTACCTGAAGAATGTGGGCCCCTTTTTTGAGCAAATACTCTGCAATATTGTGATACTATCTTGGTAAGAATGGTAACCTATGTCTTTATTAAATATGCCTTAGCCAATCACAGAGAATGAGTGTGTAAAACACATTTGCTTGGATGGACAACTGATCCAAGTTAATAAATCGCAGAACTGCCCATACAGTGCAACTCAACCCAGCTGTGGAGTTTTAGGATTTGCTACTCAAGTGAATGGTGACAAATGCTGCCCAAAGTGGGAATGTGCATGTAAGTTTTAATTATGCAGTACTTTTGAAGTTAATTTAGATGACAATTTAATGTATATTGAAGAAGGCTAAGGACTAACACTTCTATACTACGGCATAGAAATAGATGATGCATATTGTATGGGTTATTCATTGTCTAATGCAATTTATAATTCTAGCTCTACATCCAGAGAAATTAAATCAAAATGCTCCTCTAATGTAGGATATTTCTCTTACCCAGCTTTAGGTGTCTGCAGTGGATATGTCTAGGTGTGACTTTGACCCATCTTGTCTTGTGTCTAATCGGAGTACACATTGTCAATATAGTCAGTGGATTTTTTTTGGTTTATCTTTTATCTACTTCAGGGTGAGAAGATTCCTTAGACTGTTAACAGTCTGAGGACTCTGGAAGCATAGCCATACTGTAGTCACTCCCATCAGTTACCCTGAATTGGGCAGAAGAATCCAAACCTCAAAGAAAATTCAATTTAGTCCATAATACCAAAGAAAGGATGCAACAATAAACAATGCTAATTTCTGCTTATGCTCTAGAGTTTGAAATAACTAGGAGTAGAACTCCAATCCCTTGGAAACACTAAAGCTTTAGCAATAAATAAACTTGGGAAGAAGGAAACTTTCTGCATGGGCTCCCACCTTAGGAACAAGACTAGAAGGGAACTAAGGATCATGTCATTCATGGTTTTTGATAGTTTTGGGTCTTAATATTTTGTAATATTTACAGAAATCTTAAGTTGGAAAAGTTTAATTTCTTTTTTTTTTTCTTAGGTCGTTGCACAATTTTCTCTGATCTGAGTATTGTAACCTATGATGGAAATCATTTGGCTTTATTCAAAGAAGCATCCTATGTTGTTAGTCAAACTCAAGATGAAACTATAACCATCCATGTCCTTGACTGTAGAATGGTAACTAACATTTATCAGCTAACAAAAGGTGTTCAGTATGGGTAATAAGATACATCTTAAAAGGAAGGGCATAGTAATACCACACAGTTGTGGGTAATTATTCACTTCTGGCCAATATCTACAAATTGTACTTCCACTTTACAACACTTATGAATTGTATAGCACTTTATCACCTGACTGTGTATACATATAGTGCATATATATGTATATAGTTCCTTCTGAGAAATGAGAAACACCAATTTTCAGAGCCATAAAAGACTGTAGGATTGTTAGGGGAAATTAGACCACCCAGTTCTTTCCAAGTCTCTGACAAGAGCAAATGCTTGTTGTTTCAGAGGGAAGAGAGAAACTGTAATGGCTATCCTGCCTGATGGGTAGCATAGATTGGCTTTAAGTCATGAAGAGTTAATTTCTCATAAGCTTTTACAAACCTCTTTAAACTCCAGTCTCTTCTATAAAGGCTAAGTAATGTTGATGTCCATATAAAAGTCCATCACAAAGTAGTACCTTATGGCAGCTAACTCCAGAAGCTCACCATGACTGATACGGAAAAGGAGATCTGTTTATGACTTTCAGATCTGTTTTTCTGTTGTATTTAGTGCCTCTGTTTTGTTCAGCACCTTGTATCTTGGGAACTACGGATGTATTTCTGATCCATTGCTTCTGTACTGTTCATATACCATATAGATTCATCATTCCCAGTCTCGTTCACCTTCAGATATGTAGTTCATTTTTTTATGCTGTCTAAACAGCTAGTCTGCCATATGTTGTGGGTTTTTTCCTGAAAATCTTTATTTCTGTTGTAATTTCAAGACTGGATGGCAGAACACAGTTGCTGAACACCATGAAGTATAGTATTTTGTTTGTTTATTTTGCAAGAATGCTATCTAGACGAACTTTGTAGTCTAGACTTGAAATTACAACCAGCAGCTGTTTTCTTCTCTTAAAAATATACCCCCTGCCTAAATCCTTAGTGTCCCAGTACCTAAAACCAGTAAGCAGGTAACGTAAAAAGATTTTGCACATCATGACTATGGTTGATGTATTTTTGCTTTCTCCACAGGGTAATTCAAATTCAACATCTTTGTGCCTGGCAATGTTGAATTTAACCTATGTATCAAACCAAATTATTATCAATCGTTTAAGTAGAAAAGTAAGTATTTTGAGAGTTAGTTTTTGTTTGTCTTTTAGATAGCATCTTACTTCTGTACAGCAACTGCCTCCTCATGTGGATACTGAAAACTGAAGTAGGACAAAATGAGTAATTTAATTCATTGTTCCAACTTTGTAATTTAGTAAACAGCTTGTAAGTTCAGAGTCAAACTGTGATACAAGGACTGTTAATGAGGTAAGCTTCAGAGCAAGGTACACACATATAAGCTGTTAGCCTCTTTAGTACCTGTATTATCTTTGTGGGGGTGAGCCTGACTCCTTTTGAAATTAGTTTTGAGTTAGATTCCTCAGATGTTGAGAATCTGGCTTTATTCCTTCTACCTCTAACACTTGGTACCTGACATTTAACATCTTTTCTGTGTGTATTTTAGATAACAGTAAATTCAAGATTTGCTTGGCCAACTGTTAGAAAATATGGATACAAAGTCGAGGATTCAGGCTTCAAGTATGCAGTTGAGACCCCAACAAAAATCAGAATTCAGTGGTTTCACAACACAGGTGTGATGATTATTGAGTTTAATAGTACCAGAGAACCAAGAGCTTTGGGACTATGTGGTAAGTATAGAGTAGTTCAAGACATAAAGACATTCAGATGCTTTGCTAGGGAGGCGCAATTTTCCTAATCATATAAATTATCTTTTGCAAGATCTGGCCCAAAAGAGTGATTGCAAAACGCTGCTAAGTTTAAGGTACTATTAAAATTAAATAATAATAATAATAATAATAATAATAATAATAATAATAATAATTTGTTATTATTATTGTTGTTGTTGTTATTAAATTCGTTAATTGTTGAAATGATGTTTGATACCTATCGGTATAATCACTTTTTACCCATAGTGGTGCTCTAACTGAAGACTATTTGAATCTCAGGTATGACTGCTGTAACTAAACCCTAATAAGTCAGGCATAAATCCATAATGTCAAATAAGGTGATTTACAAATTTAGGTTTTGGTATCCATGTGATAGGAAGTGACATGTGCTATTTTCAGTTTCTAAAGGTCAGAATTCACAGAAAATGTTAACTTGAGAGAACTAATCTTAATTTATCTGTTGGAGAAAATAGTTCAGAGGGATTTCTTAACACTAATGGGTTAAATTACCATAATGTTGCGCTCTGTTAGGTCTGCTCAATAATTTCACATAGTTTCTTTCTGAAAACATAGCCTTGAATAAGCTGTTGGTGCTGTAGCTCTTGCAAGCATATATTTGTTGATGTAAATCCCCACTGCGACACCTGAATCTGTAAATTTATCTGCTGTAAATTGGAGCTGGAAACCAGGGTTACAGAGTTCATATAATTACAGTGGATATCTTTCCAGTTTCAGAAAGGGCAAATGCCTGTAGCTCAGTATCAAATACCAATGATAGTTCAGTCCAGTTCCAAGTTCTGCAGACAGTAACATGCTACTCATAAAGGAAGAGAGTTTGAATTTACTGCCATTTTGAAATTAGTTTATTACCTGTAATTTACCCTAACTTTTGTTTTACACATCATTCTTGCTCTGTTTTGCTAGTTCTTACTGTAATTAGTTTAAATAGAAACAAGAACATAAAGATTGTATTGATTCGGGTTATCCTGAAAGTCTCTTTTGCCTTTACCTGTTTGGTTACTGTGATAGGGAGAATGGGAACATTATATTACTGGTTTACAAGGCACTTTAGGTAGATGACGACACATTTCTCTGAATGATATTTCAAGTCCAACTTCTTCAGAGAATGTGCTGTATTTTTCTGGTATTCACCTCAGATTGGGATTCTCTGCCTAAGTCTGGCTGCACAGTGCTCTGTGGTGTGACTTACCAGAGCCTGCTTTAATTGAGCTGGTTGTACTGCATCTTTTCAGGGTAAATTAGTCTATCCTGATCTCCTGTGCTTTCCCTGTTAGACTGCTTCTTCTGAGCTTTCTCACATGTCTTTTGGCTGAACTGCAGTACTGGTAGATCCTGATTTCTCAGCTTCATGGAAATGATAAAACCGAAGGCACTGTTACAGTTTTGTAGCACAAGCATCCCTTGGAAGGATCTGTGTCAGAGACAACGGTGTCTTTTACAGTGGATCAGGCAAACGTGGCAACTGGTGAAAAGCTGGTGTGGGAGATGAGGAATGTGGGAAGGGAACATGGACATCTCCCTAGCAAAACTGGTGAAAGAGAGTGCAAGCATGTCACTTTTAGCTGCAACCAGATCCTGCAATGCCAAATGTGAAGCCTTAGTTTTGCTGTGTTAAATCTCCTTGTCAGTGTGTAAGAGAAGAAGCAGACAAAGATATCCCAGATATGATAGCAATCCCTTGAAGTCTCTCAATCATCAAGTACTTCCTATTTGTGTTGCACAGACTCACAACCTTGCAAAGTTCAACCAGAAACTTTTTTGAAATGGTTACAGTTTCAAAAGCTGTTTGACTCCCTGAATGCCTATTGCTGTATCACTGATTGTCAATGGCTTACACTTGTCATCAAGAATAGGTGAAAAATGGTAAAACAGACCAGTTCTTAGAAAAGAGTTAAATCTACAAACACTTTTTGAACAGAGGAAGATTTAGAATTACCATGCAAGCTTGTGGGGACATCAGAAGAAAACATTCTAGAAGTCTGATACAAAAGTCTCAGAAATTGTGATTAGGATGAAAGAATGGGGGACTGATCCATCATTCTGCTTTTTTGTACCTGCTGGCTCTTAAAGGACCTTCCAGAGGAGACTACTATAATACTTAGATGTTGTGTGTGGACCAGAGTCACTCTCTGTATGTCACATTGATTCCTTTGCTTCAGAGTGTTTCAGAATTGCCAACTATCTTAGTTTAAACACAAACTGTAATGCTGCCTTCCAAGTGTGCCATAGCTGACATCAAACAGCTCTTTGATATGCAATAGATCTCCTTTCACCCATCTTAATTCTTAAATGCATCTTTACTTTTGCTTAATTTTCCGAATTTTGTGTATTTTGATCTACCAGAGGCTTTCTGCGCCTGCTGTGGGTTGTGATACTGTCATGTTGTGTAAGTTTTTTAAAAGCTATTTACTTTTTTGAATGTGCCACTTCAAACATTCTTCAGAATGAACAGTTTGGTGCTAACCTGTTTGTTTTCTTCTGGTAATACACAGGTTTTTGTGATAGAAGCTTGGAAAATGACCTGATGCTACCCAACAGGACGGTTTTAAGCAAAAGTGATGCTCTGTCAACTTTTATAGACAGCTGGCAAGTGCCAGACACATTAAAGTATGTTGGAGAAGACAGGCATCAGGAAACTAATTGCTCAGTCATGGACTGCTCAGAGTGCTTAAGACTGGTGTTGAACCAGACCTTCAGCAGCTGTCATCCTTATGTATGTTAACTATTTCAGAAGCTTACATTTTGAGACACATGCAGTTCTGATACAATTTTGTATACTTGATAATTTCATTAACATGAAACTATATGTAACCATATCTGTGGAATGAGATACTTTTTTTTTCTATACAGTTGTAAAGTAAAAACAATTGAAGAGTGTGGCAGCTTGATAGGAGAGAGAGTGCAACTAACACATTCAGAATTCATAATATATCTGTTAGTTTTGACAATACCATCTAATTTATAAATCAGTTCCAGCTAATTCAACTGAATATGATGTAGAGCAGAGTAAAAGAAAATAATTTCAGGATTTAATTAATCCTTAAGCATTCAGTAATTTAATTCCAAATTGCAGAAGGTGATCTGAGAGCCTGCATTTTCAAAGGCTCTAGAGACAAGGAGCTCCAGGTTAGAGAGGTAAGAGGGTAGAACAGACAATTTAAAGTAAACCTAAAACAAATAACAAACTCAGTGTGCAAATAAAGTATGCCTTTGTGCTCATATGAGTCCATTTACCATTTCACTTTTTGTATATGCTTGAGTCTGATGAAGAGGCCAAAACCAGACAAAAACATAGAGATAAGGAAGAATAAGGAACAATGAGTAATTATGCCTTCTATTGGAAAAACTGTATTAGCTCTTGCCTTTGCACTTAGAAAAGATGAAACAGGAATATAAGGATGACATTTTTTTCCACACTGAGTAAGCCTTTTAAGTACTAATAGAGTCTTTTTGTGTACACCAATGGAGGCTGGTAGCCTCTTGATTACTGTGAACCAAGAACTTTTGACGTCAGTGTCTGTAGCTGATAATCAAAAAAGTCGATCTGTTTCCTGCCTAGCCAGGGTCTCTATGAAAGTGCATTATTTTCTATTTTTTCTTTATTAGGTTCCACCTGAGATATTCTGTAATATATGGGTTCAAGACACTGAGTACATTCGAAATCCATGCATTTCACTAGCTGCCTATGTGGCAATGTGCAACAAATTTAATATTTGTATAGAATGGAGGAGCTCTGATTACTGCCGTAAGTATTCTGCGTGTATGTGTACCTCTAGTGTTCACAGACAAAATTTGCCCTTATATAAGTGCTACTGTAAGTTGAAAATACCAGTGCTCCTTGAGTTCTCACATACTTTGGAAGTCATTATTGACATAATAAATTTAGCATTTTTTATGATAGTTCAAAGCAGTGTGCAAAAGTAATCGGGATCATTATAGCTATTTCACAGATCGAAAAGGTAAGCTAAAGAACCTTGCTAAGAAGTCTACCTCTGGCTTGTAATGTACTTAATTGTATAAGTCAAATCTTCTTGCAGTGTAGTGTTCATTTCTCTTAGCCACTTTCCATTGGTAAAACCACAACACAGCAAAATTGGTTGGTGGAAGGAGGAGGTCGAAGAAAGTTATGTGGTTCTTTGAATTGGTGATGTCTGCTTGATGCTGTTCCAGAAAGCTGTGTTTTCAGAGAAGGGATTAGAGAAGTGAATCACTTTTGAGATTAGATGGAAAGTAAGGAGTAAAACCTGAGAGCTAGAGTATCCTGGCAGTAGGCATTTCCCGTAGAAACATATTAAATTATAAGGCTAAGTGGGATCTGTAGCTGTCAGTGGAGTGAACAGAAAATTTGAATTACAGCATCTCTTTATGATCACCTAGGAAAAGCCCCACGCAGTGATAACCTAGGGAGGTCTGTGGTTGCCATGCTTGAAAAGGGAAAGATAGATGAAGCGTGATCCTCAAAAATAAGAGAATTCACTGTACTTAGAAATCATAAGTTATGTCTTTTTTTAGTGATTTGAAGTGCATACATGTGTAGAGTCTTCATGCAAGCAGGTCATAATGTCCTGCAAATAATAGTCATGGAGTTTAAAGCTTAAAACCAGTCAATTTAAAAAAAAATAAATCTTCAGTTTGTATGAACTTTACTAGCAAATAACAGTTTAAAAAGAGACCTTACAAAATATATCAGTAAATATATATTCCATCCACTGTGACTGGACACTTATTTTTACACCACAGTGACCTCTCGTGGTGCGTGCCTAGCAAGGAAGAACCATGAAGTTACATCTGGATTTTGTGATCACCGAGTGTTGATATGCTGTAGACCGTTTTTTAAAAGCCTGAGTTTCTCTATTTACAAGGCTCTAATAGATATTTCCTGTGGGGTGTTATGGCCATTTGTTTTAGTAGTGAGGAGCTGAATAAAATCAACCTCCTTTCCCAATTAATCTTTAAAATCTAAACTGGAACCTCCTTTATTTCTGAGCAGACAGTCCCTTTGTGAACTGGACTTTGTCTCATTACCATGATTCCATGTGGAGCTGCTGTATTATTTAGGTATCGTTACATGATTAGGATCATATATTCTGGTAGTTCACAGAACCACACTGTTGGCATTTCTGGTCATTCTCCATTTGCCATATTTATGCAGCTTTAGTCACTGTTTTGAACCAATGAAAGATCATGTTAAGTTTTCAACAGCAAAAGTCAAAACTAGATGCTTTTTTGGTCTGTTCCTGCATGCACCCATAGCATGCCAATGAACTTACGTTAGTAGTATAAAGAATATTAAATTTAACTGTGTTCTTGGACTCAAAAATAAGACACACAAGGGAGTAATTAATGTCATTATCTATTAAATATAGTAATGAATTCACCCTGTTCTGTATAATTCCTCATAAAGCAATGCTGGATTTGCCTTTATATATGTATTTTTGTAGTTGACAAAGTTCTGCCCTTTAGTAATCAGTAAATCGTATTTAGAATGATTCACAACAGTGTATTTATCTGTGCAGTATTTGCAAGTATTTTGGAAGTTTAAATTACTTTGTGTCAACACTGTTGCATGGTTTGATCCCCTTAGTGCTAAAATGCAAATCAAAGCCTGATGAAAATGTTACTACAAGAAAAAGAGAAGTAAAAGTGCTCACAACTTCCTTTTGTTTGAATTTGTCATATAGAAGGTAACTGGTCTGTATCAGAGGTTTAGGTTGGTGGATCCTCCTGAATTGGCAAGGACAGGAAGTTGAGAAGAAGACAATAATGTCTTCTCTTAGGTACTGCCTCTCATATGACTGCCACTTAAGAATGAGTGATTTGATTATTTCTTTCCTAGCTTTTCCCTGCTCTGAAAACTTCTCCTATCAGGCATGTATAGCTGCCTGTGAGGTTCCAGATAGTTGTCAGAATAACGAGATTGCTTCTCTGGACTCGGACTCCTGCTCGGTGTTGACAGAAGGCTGTGTCTGTGCTGGAGGGACCATCCTTCACCGAGCTCACACTGCTGTCTGTATTCCTGAAGAAAAATGCGGTATATTTGGATGTGATTTTCTTCATTATTATCTGCAAGTTGGTGGTCAGATAATTTCTTAGTAATAAATCAAATTCTGGCCTGCTGTTGTGTGGTTTCTGCATATGTCATTCATTGAGGATTCTAGATATTTAGTAAACTTTAACTGTACAGGTGAGCAAGCAGGTAATGTCCTTGTGATGTACAATCTTTCTCACCTTCTCTCAGCTGAAGGATGCTCTTTAAAATGGAAGGGTTTGCTTATGTTTGTGTTCTAGTATTCTATGTATGTTAGTCTCCTTTTCACCTAGCCCTCTGCCTAAGGTCCAACATGTTAGTACTAAATGGCATTCAAAAGACATACAGCAACAGTTCATTGCACATTTTGAATAATACCTGTATATGTCCTCTGTTCCTTCTTGGAACATCGGTATTTGATATTTTATACCATTAAGCATTAGTATTTATTTTGATTGCAATTCTCTCTGAGCGCGCCAAATTGTGGACCAATACTTAATACAGCACAAACCTTGCAGATGCAGTTTATTATAAGTCTGATTACATAAAGCACTGTAAATTGCTAACAGTTTTTCAGTGTGTGAAACACAAAAGTAACTTTTCCAATCACTGCTTTAAAAACAAAGGATTAGATTGGGATTTTAAATGAGTAACCTTGCAGTGGAAACACAAAACAAAGTGGAGGCCCTGATCCTCTGGAGGGTATTGAGCATCTTGCTTTTTCCCATACCAACTCAATCTTGGACTGTCTCCTCTTTCACTTTTTTGTGGGGTGATGGGGATAGGTGATGCCTTTAAAACTCTGGGATTTTTCTATACTTCATAGATCCACATCCGCTGTGGAAGAAAATGATGGTCAAAATTTGAAGTAAAAAGGAATTATTTCTGTTTTCTGTTGTCCTGATTTAGCTTGTACAGACAGCTCAGGAACACCTCATGCAGTAGGTGAGATCTGGAAAACTTCTTTGAGTGGATGCTGTATGCAAAAGTGTGTTGACAGCGAGACCATTATTCCAGTGGAGTACAACTGTTCAGATATCCATGATTTAGACTGTCAGCGATTTGCAGAGGTGGCCTTACTTGTTCCTGGTGGTCAGACATGTTGTCCTCAGAAGATCTGTAGTAAGTATTCCTTAATAATTATGAATACAGTCCACTGGAATATGCAGATGTCCTTTCTCCTTGGTTTGTTTTGCTGTTACACATCCTACTTTTGAAGTGAATGGAAATTACTTTGGTTTGAAATTGCAGATTATGTAGAAAACTGTAGAATCTTTTACTATTTGACTCAATATCCAGTAGGGTCTGGGGAAGAAGTCGAGGGAGGGGACAGTGGTTATGAGGACTGAAATAGCACAGTGTTTATTTGCATATGAATTGTGTTTCTCTCAGCTGTACAGGCTACTGATTTATTTTTTAATATCCAAATACAAATAAATTATTAATTCAGAAAAAAAAAAACATATTATTGTTTATGTAATTTACAAAGTGAACAGTAAAAAAAGGATGTAAAAGCTTTTTTTTTATTTATTTAGCTTAGAAAGTCCATCTTCAAAAAGAAATTGCAAGCAGTTTTCATGTTTTGACCACCTGGTATGATATTTCAGTGAGTTTTCCACAGGAGTATTGTTTTGTGTTTGGGTGGGTTTTTTTAAATTCTCACAAGGAATTCTAGTTTAACTTTGCCTCCATGGAGAGTGTTGCAAATCCCAGACACTTCTGAATATTGCCTTATGGTTTTTCGCTGGTTTGTTGTGGGTTTCATATGCATGTTGCTATTTGGAGATTTGGGGTATCAAACTGCAAATACCACTTGAGACTGCTCTATTCAACTTATAAATGTGTAAAAAAGTTTAGAAGATTTTCTTTTTCTTTCCCTTTATGTAACAGTTTGTAATCAGAGTCTTTGTGAACCTCTGATCCCTGAGTGTAATGGTTTGGAAAAGCTGGTTGCTTACTACAGTGAAGAATCCTGTTGTCCCAGCTATGTTTGCGGTAGGTTTTTTTTGAAAAGGTAGAAACTTTTACCTTGTAGAGGCATTCAGTAAACTGAATAGATCAACTTAAAAGCAAAAAGGTAGATAGTGTATACATCATTGTTAGTATGGCCATTTACAGAGTTCTCTTTCATCTAAAAGCTCAGTGTTGGTCTGTGCCCCAGTCTGAGCAGATACACTGATGAAGGAGGCTTGTGCTTAATGATCAGGTGAGAATGTCTTTGCTCCCTTGCAATACAAGGTGAAAAATTTTTAAAGTATCTTGTGGTGTATCTCTGCTCTCCGCTGCCATTTCTTGGGGATATAGCATAACAAAGGAGGAATGCTGTAGTTTGTATAAAGCAATACATCTGTTGTACTTCTTGCAGAATGTGATCCAGCAAAATGTGAACCAATGGAGCAGATGCCAAGCTGTCAAGATGATCAAACATTGATTGCTGCTCGGGTGGAGAGTACCTGCTGCATTTCCTATATATGTGGTAGAGTATCCTGGCTGGTTGAGCCTATAAGTGGTTTTGCATATACAATGATGTCTACTATTTTCTTGCCAAGTAAGGCTTCTTGTACTGCTTTAGCTCTCCCAACATAATAAGGCTTGAAAGGGTTTAAAAAACTAGGCATTAAGTTTACAAAACATAAGAAATAGCAGCAATCACCAAGAATCACAAAACAGCTTTGTGCCACTGAGATGCATTCCATTGCATTCCAAATACATCCATTCTTGGATCATGTAGAGGAGTGGTGGTGGGCTCCATGGGTGAGGAAGTTAAGGGCTTTTAAGAGACTCTGCAGTCTATGGAATTTACTCTGTGTTAATAGAAAACTTGATTACATGTCTGTTATTTACAGTAATCAGGGGGTCATTTTAATCATGTGATAGCAGTGTGCTGTATTTTGTTCTTCTCACTGTCTGCACAGCATCCTTCTGTCTCTTTTATGATATAATGAGTTTTTTGGCACTGTACATGTTGAAAAGGTCCTATTATGGTTTTCATATGTGTTCCAGTGGAAGGATAATACTGGGATCGCAGGAGATGCCCTTTATTGGGGATCAAAGATCCTATAATTCAGATAGAGGAGCATTCCTGAAAACTTGTTTCAGGGTGACTTGGTAGGAGAGAAAATCTAGCAAAATTTTTCATGACAAAAAGAAAATCCTGTTTGTTGTGATCTGATTCACAATGTATTCATTCTTTTATCAGGGGACAAAGAAAAGGCAAGCTGCACTGAAAATTAGCCTCTTTTATAGGGACTGTAAGGGATGAATGCAGAGTGTCTCTGTTCTCTTTCATATGTGTCTGTTTCTTATGGGCATGATTCCTAGGCAGTAGTAAAATTTCTTCCTATGTTTTAGATGTAAATAATTGTTTTCTCCAGCATGCGGGGCTTGCTCTGATCAAATACCCAAATGTCAAGAAGGAGAAGTTCTTATTGTGGATGACAACACTACAGAGAGGTGTTGCCCTACATACCAATGTAGTAAGTCCGACTTGATTTTGATTTTTTTAAGTAACAGAGAACATGTCAAATTTTGTAGTGTGATTCAGTGCCAAGAATGGTGGATTTGAGATACAGCTCCACTTGTGCATGTAAGCAAGCTATCATCTGTAGTCCTGAACAAATAATATTTACTTTTAAAACTTCATGTGCCTAAAGCATTATCTGAATATCTGTATCATGGAGACAAATGAGTAATTTCAGGCCCCAAACTCTGGAGATTTAAAACTGTTTTAAATATTTGCCTAGAGTAGTTGTACTCCACACTACTCTTACCTGATGGCTAACAATTAAATTATGATTATTTGTATTTTCAAGGTAGATGTTTTCTAAAGTTGGTTATTATTAATAAGTAATTTACTATCTCTTGATTCATATTTCCATTCATCAAAATATGACAAACTTGTGTTTATTGGACTTTCTTTAATTTTAGTTTGTGAAATACATCGTTGTCCTGAATTCAAATGTATGCTAGGCATGTCTTTGGTGGAGGTATGGAGCCCAGAGAAGTGCTGCCCCTTTCGGACATGTGGTAAAATGACCGATTTTCATTTTATTTGCCTTAGACATTAAAATACTGACAACAGCTTTGGCCTCTTGTGTTTAAGTCTGGTTTCAGCCAGCTATACCACTGTGATCTGATCATGAACAAATGATATAGAAAAGTCATCTCATGGTACAGACCTACTTAATCTGTATTTCTTGCTTCATGAGGGTCATAGCATACTGTAGAATTTGTCTGTCCAAACTAGATGACTTATCTTGAAAATTTTATAGGTGTTAGTGTATTAGGTTTGCATGGCGAGGTTTTGGTATAGGGGGGGCTTCTGTGAGAAGCTACTGGGAGCTTCCCCCATGTCCGATGGAGCCAAGGCCAGATGGCTCTGGGATGGACCCAACGCTGGCCAAGGCCGAGCCCATCAGCAGTGGTGCCTCTGGGATAACGTATTTAAGGGGGAAAAGCTTCTGTGCAACAGCAATTGCAGATGGATAGAGGAGTGAAAATATGTGAGATAAACAATTCTGCAGACACCCAGGTCAGTGAAGGAGGAGGGGGAGGAGGTGCCCAGGCCCGGAGCAGAGGTTCCCTTGCAGCCCCTGGTGCAGCCCCTGGGGAGTCAGGCTGTGCCCTGCACCCAGGGAGCCCCACGGGGGAGCAGAGACCCACCTGCAGCCCGGGGAGGGCCCCAGGCCGGAGCAGGGGATGCCCGAGGGAGGCTGTGACCCCGTGGGAAGCCCACGCTGGAGCGGGCTCCTGGCAGGAGCTGTGTCCCCGTGGAGAGAGGAGCCCACGCTGGAGCAGGTTTGCTGGCAGCACTTGTGACCCCAGGGGGAACCCATGCTGGAGCAGTTTGTGAAGAGCTGCAGCCCTGTGGGAAGGACTCGTGTTGGAGAAGTTCGTGGAGGACTGTCTGCTGTGGGAGGGACCCCACGCTGGATCAGGGGAAGAGTGTGAGGAGCCTCCCCTGGGGAGGAAGTGGCAGCAGAGACAACGGGTGATGAGCTGACCGCAGCCCCCATCCCCTGCCCCTCTTGTGGCAGGGAGCTGGCAGAGAAAATTGGGAGCAAAGTGGAGCCTGGGAAGAAGGGAGGAGTGGGGGGAAGGTGTTTTTAAGATTTGGTTTTATTTCTCATTACCCTACTCTGATAAATTAAACTAAGTTCCCCAAGTTGAGTCTGTTTTTCCCATGACAGTAACTGGTGAGTGATCTCTCCCTGTCTTTATCTCAATCCACAAGACTTTTGTTATATTTTCTGTCCCTTGTCCAGCTGAGGAGGGGGAGTGATAGAGCAGCTTTGGTAGGCATCTGGTGTCCATCCAGGGTCAACCCACCACAGTTACTAAATTATTTATGGCTAAGTTAGGGTCATGGGTTAGAAATTTGCCAGTGATGTCTCAAACACAATTCTCTGTTGCTTTATATTGATTATAATGATTGTCATCACTTCAAGAAGGCTAGACGCTAGAGTGGTTCTTTTTTTTTTTTTTTTTTTTTTTTTTTTTTTTAAGATGTTCAGGTGGACTGCTGTTGATAACGATGTTGTAAGTTGTTATAAGAAGGTAATGTGGTCATAGAACCTGGTATTGGTTTTCAGGATGGAATAAAGTCAAACATAATTCAGGACTCCCCAGACGGGTATATTTCAAAAACTCGCAGAAGTTCTTCTGTGATGACTTGTAAATCTGGAATTTCTATTCTGATGCTGTTTTAAGCAAATGGCATATAACTTTCTAAACTATTATTTCTGTTATTGTATTTTGATTTAGAATGTGCATGCGAAACAATCCCCAAACCTCAGTGCAAGCTGGTATGAAATTCATTTTCTTTGTCAGTATTCTTTTATTATTTTCTTAATAAATCTATTTCTCAGTATCTTACTAATAGTTTTATCAGTGAAATATGAAATGTTGTGTCATTCTTTTTTTAAATTGCTTTACAAGAAATATTTATAGTTATGAAGCTAGTTAAATTTAAATACCTTGCAGAATAAAATGGCTGTATAGCATTGGTATTTCTGGAGGGTTTTATAACCATATCCTGCCCTGAAGTAGTTGTAGAATGGAACTGCTTTCATGCATCTGAGAATAAAATTTTGGTTTTAAAGTGTCAGAACTAAATGCTTTAAGGCATCAGTGTTTTGTTAATATTATTTGTTATAGCAAATATGTTAACATCTATCATGCACTCACACTGCTGACTAAGCAATATTTCATTGGGACTTGTTCTGCATTACAAAAATACTTATTAGCATTGCTGGGTTAGGTTCTCAGTCAGTACTTTGCTTTAATTTTTCTTGTAATTTTTTTATCCAGAAAACAATATTGTGATAGAATTTGTAAGGAAATATAAGGAATTTAAAAGGAAAAAAATTATAATTTGGAGTCCTAGAAAGGAATTGGATATAGTACACATTTTTTATGGGGGAAATTCAAAATGCTTTGTAAGTAAGGTTGTTGTTAATACTTTATTTCATAGATGAAACTTGGGCATAGGAATCAGGACTTGCAGAAGACTGGGAGAAAAATCTTACTATGAATGCATATAAACAATAAAAGGCAAACTTAAATACTACATCTGTCCTACTGCAATACTATTTATATCCATTAAGTTATTCCATGAAATAATACACTCCACCCTGCACGGAGATTTCTGTACAAAGGCAGGCCATTGCATTTCATTGTTGGCCTGCCGTAGTCTTTTCTGTCCTAAATGTCTGCTGTAGTGACACCAACAACCATTCTTGTTTTTCAGATGCAAAAAAATTTCTTATTTGGTTATTACTAAATTAAATGTCCCTCCTTGTGATGAAAGTATATCCAAAATAGGTTTTTAGGGGCAAGAGATACTGCTACTCAAATCCTGAAGTAAAGGTATTTAAAAGATCATACAGATAAAACACTGTTGGTTTCACTTACTTTTTTCTGCTTTTATACACTTAGGGGCAGAAACTTCAGATAGATGAGCAGTTTCAGAACAGTACAGAAAATATCTGCAACTGTGTTAAGTACAAATGTGGTAAGTCAGAAAATAATTTAATTTGAAGAAATACCCTTTCAAGTGCTAAGGTAAATTAGGAAATATAAAGCAGGTGTTCACTTTGAATGTGATACTGAGGAGGAAAGAACTGACTGGCATAGTTCACAAATAGTGTAAGAAAAGGGAAGAAAATAGGGCCCCTCACTAAATACTTGATTATGGCCTGTCGTTGTATTCTATTAGTGCCTGCAGCAGGAGGTCTGTGCAGGAAAAAAGCAGACAGAATTTTGGTAAAGTTAGATGGTGTTGACTAAGCAGCCTGCAAGACTATCCAGCAAGTCACACACTCAATGTCCACATAAAGAAAAGTCCCACTAACCCATTATGGGACTGCTCAGGATCTGGTAGACATGCTTATAATGCTTTACAAGATCAAGGATAGCATTCCGCACCATGCAAATTCATCCCAGAGCATGGCCAATAGCGTCTGGGAAAACTTAGGAAAAAATACCTTCTGTGGGGCATGCAGTTGGCCGAGAGTTGGGACTGTCCTCACCTAGATTTCTACAACAAAGAAGTATACTTCTGAGCTAATAATCCTCTGTGCCCTCAAACAGTGGGGAGAAAGGTATCTCTCAGGTACATTTCTTATCCTTATTAGTAGACTTATAAAACAAATCAGTTGAAGAAGCCTGCACTGTCATTTTGGTGATGCAGCTAATAGACTACTATATATTTAGATTTCATGCATGGTTATATTTAAAATAATTTGATTGTAGTGAAGCATTAGACTACTGTTAACAGTTTATATTTGAAAATCTGACCCATAATTCCTAAAGAGGTAGAATAGTTTTTCCATTCCTGTTTTACTGTTTGAAACATTTCTTAACAGAGTTTTGATACCAAGCTGATTGTCCTGAGCATGCTGTTTATTTTTGTGCTTTCTTGTAGTGAGAGACAAAGTTTGCCTGAGTAATGAGAGAGGTGTGCTGTTTCCTGGACAGACAATCGTGGAACACAGTCCAGATGGCATTTGCCACATTTCTCACTGTACAAATGTGATTGATCCCTCCACTAAATACTACCAAATAAACACATCTTCAATAGACTGTGCTGTCAAGTGCAAAGCTGTAAGAATTTCAGAATTTTAGACATGTATATTGTGACTGGTCCTCTTAATTTCATTTCGTTGGGTTTTGTTGAGTAGATTACAGTCATAGGAACAAGATGGAAAGAGATGTCCCCTAATGATGTGCTACTGCACTAATGATAGAAATTTGTAGAAGTCTCACTCTTCTCACTCTGTTCTTCCCTGTGTAAAATCACACAAACTGGTTGTACATAGCATACTGCCAGCTTGGACTAATAGCATACTGCCACCTTGCATCACGCTATAACTTTAGCTGCATTATGCACAAATGGGTACAAATTCCTTGGAGACATTAGCTCAGTAAGAACCAGAAAGAGAATAATTATAAATAGAAGAATAAGTCTGAATGTGGTGAAAACAGCTTTATAAAATAAGCAAATTATACCTTATCTTTTTACAAAGTATGATAACATTACCATGGGAATACAATATAGATTACTTTTTCTCATTATGTACATACTTGATGTCTAATGTCTAAAAAGTCGAAATTTCAGTGGTTCTTGAAGTAAGCTTTCAGACTTACATCTGAAAATGGTAAGACCATTTACTCAGAGTTAGAACCTCTCCCGATTTACTTCAATTAAGGCCAAAGGTATTTTATAAAAGTGTCACGAATGTAGAGTGTGTACGAATGTAAGTTATGCAGTTTTGAAAGTTATTTAAAAACTGTCTCCATAATCAGATACCTGAAAAAATCTGCCTATTATAGTAGTAAAATATCAAGCTGCAGGATGATCTCATATAAGGAATAATCTATTTGATTTTGACAGAACCAAGTCTATCAGCCTCCAAAAGATTTAACAACTTGCTGTGGTAGCTGTAAGAACTTGTCTTGTCTCCACACTTTCAGCAATGGCACAGTTTCCAATTTTAATGTAAGTTTCTACATCTTATTCTCTCAAAATAGTTAGAAGTAAACAAAGCAATTATGACATACTGTACACATGTTGCTGTATAAAATGTGCAAACAAGAGCTATATTTGGCCAAAGTTTTGGAAAGTTTTACATGTATACAACATTAATTTCTTGGAGAGTCAATCACATAGCTGTCTATAAAGATTAAGGGGTTTTGATATATCAGAGAATTATCATCGACCTGACTATTTTGGAACCTGCTTAACATTTTATATTGAGTGGACTTTTAAGTTCTGTACTTAAACAGAACTTTAACATGCATCTAAATTATATTTTGCTGTAAGTATTACTTTTGATTCAGACAAGATCTCATTCAATGGATTTGTATTAGAAATAATTATATTACTGGTTTTGCTCAGTGAAGTTTCTGTTTTACAATTTTGTAACAGCCTGGTACTGTTTGGATTTCAAACTGCATCAGATACGAATGCACCAATACAGCAATAGGACCAGTTCTGGTTTCCTCTTCAGTTGGCTGCCCCCCCTTTAATGAAACTGAATGTGTGAAGGTGGGTATTCAACACATTGTTTGCATTCCAGCTATGATTTATGTTTGCATGAAAAGACTGACAAATGATGGTTTTACCTCAAGAAGGGAGAAATTATAAATTGTTACAATGCCTGCATTTTTGCTCAGACTTTTGAAGGTGAAAAGCTCTAACTATACATATGTAGTGTGCCACCAGACTGCCCGGTTACACAGCTGGAGAGACCTCTTTTTATTCTCAGAAAACTCTTTTTTTTTTTCCATAGAGGCTTGTAATATTAAACTAGACTCCATACAGCTGTTTGAACTTGGATGCTTTTCTGGGCTGGACTTCTCCTTTCTAACTGATTTTCTGTGCATAGCAATTTGATTCATCGGAGGTTAAAAACACTGAAGAAAAAGCAAAGATTGTCTGAATATTAGGAAGATCTTTTCTACAGTGAGATATAAGGTTTTTAGGACTAGTTTTGCAGCAGAAGCAAAAGCTCTATTTGAATTTTTGAAATTAGATTAGGCTAAGTGCCAGGAAATGTGTGCAGGGAGCAATCTTGTGTTGCTCTCTAACTCTACAGTTACATGTGGATGGAGGGATACTTTCCTTAATAAATGATGGTACACAAGCAGGGTACAGTCCTAAAGGAACTAATTGGCTGTAGTTCTTTCTCACAGATAGCAATGGATTGGTTCTTCAGAGAAAGTCTCAGTTATGTAGCTGGCGAAAGGCTTTTTGCTGTTCTAGACAAACTAAAAAAGTTAAGTCAGAGAGATAGGTCATCATGGCTTGGGATACTGAGGTGGACATCAAAAATAGAACTCTCCTTCAATGTAATCCTGAGAGAGCTTTTTAAAAAGCTGCAGCTATTCTTCCCACAGAACTCTGGGGAGTGCTTCATGCTACTGCACTGCAGACAGCCGTGAATCTCCACTGTGGGGAGTGGGTGGCTTCTCATTTAGATGAGATTTCTTCCTGCTTTGAATTTGGAATATTTTTTGTGATTGTCATTATGGCCTCTACAAGAAGTCAGGGGTTTACTCTTAAGTAACATGTGATGGAGTCAGACTTAACACAGTCGTTCTCTCTCCAAATGTGGCATTTTGATAGCAGATGATATTTAGTGGCATTCAGTGATAACCACTTAATACTCGCTTGTGCTAAAACAGTCAAGTTAGATCATTTACAGCCAAACCTTCATCCGTTCACGAGTGCTGCATTTGCCTGAATAATGTTGCATTATTCAGCTTTATCTGAAAGATATTTCTAATAGTGCAGATATATGGGAAAGAATGTTTGAAAAAAATCAAGTTTTTTCCTCTTTATTTCTCTCTTGATCAGGTTGGAGGCTATGTTGTGCCGTTCTTAGAAGGATGCTGCAAAACATGTAAGTGATTAATGATGGTTCTTGCCTCACAAGTCTGTCTGATTTGTTGTTACCTTAGAAATAAGGTTGAATTTTTCCCGCATGAAAGCTTGATTCACTGATCTCAAAGGCCAAACTTTTCCCAGTTTTACTTATGCAAGTACTGGTGAAACTAGCGGAGTTAAATCAGAAGAAAGTAGTTTAACACTGAAGGGTTTACTCCACTGATCGTGATTGGGGTTGACCAAGTCACTAAAACTGCTACCTTGAGTATTTTATAGTTCTCAGGTAAAACTCCTCAAAATATTAGTTACTGCATTTAGTATAACAAAAGGTACTTTGTTTTGGAAGGCACCTTAAAACATGCTTCATTTACATTCACATCTTCATATCTGGTAAAAATGAAGATTGCTATATGCAGTTTGTATATTAATCTGTAATGATTAACTGACTGCAGTATAGTCCTAGGTTCCATTAACAGATGTAGTTCAGAAGCTTTCAGGCAATATCTTTTAAAAGAACTTAGAATTTAAAAAAATCCCTTACTTAATTACCAGATATGTTTTGACATCTAAGAGAGCTAATAAAGGCTTTCTGGAGAAAAAAAATAAAAATCTCTTAGAACATGTTCCAAATATGCTAATTCTTAAGATGAATCAAGAGCTAAGTACACTTTTTTCTTGACACGCTGGTACATAGCTGAAACATTTTGTCTGATTTAATGAAGAACTTAGACTAAGGCAGGCACCTAGCCTGAAGAATTTAAGCTTTAATACTTGAAGTTGACAATGTTATAAGCAATTGAAAAGGAGATTTTATACTGGGCAGCATTATATTATCTATAAAAAGGTGCAAAAATCTCACTTCATGTGCATAAGTGGCTGGCATAGTGACCTAAAAGCTAAAGATAGTAGGAGGTAACGTGTGGGAGAGAGCTGGAGAAAAATGCAGATATTTCCTGCTTGGTGGGATGGACTTGGTCAGTCATGACTACCAGATATTGTACCATGCACACAGTTACTGCAGGAGGATATATGTTGCCAATTGGGAGGTGCCTCTTGGTGTTATTCATTATGTAACATCCTGTAGTACAAAGTTTATTGAAACTGTGGAAGATTTATCTTTTTTCTTGCTCCTGATCACTCTAAGGGAATGGTAATGTCTCCTCATGCTTTTTCACGCTGATGGACCTGTGTTTCAATCACATGTCCTAGATCTGCAACCAGTTCTCCATAGGCTCTTTGAGATTTGTTTCTGATTATCTGATATTACCTTCAATGCCTTAGCAGCCATACAAGCCAGATTCTGAACAATTTCTTAAGACCGTTAAAAATCCATTAAGCTACTTTTCAGCAAGGCAGAAGATCTTGCTACTATACTTAGAGAAAGATCATAACCACACTCTTTAATTAAGACAAAAGTAAGTTATTAATCTGGGGCATGCATTGCAGAGTAAAATTAAATGTTTGGAAAATCCAGTGATTTCTGAGATACATTTACAGGCAGATTCAAATGATTTTGATTTCACACCTGTTTATAGACAACATAGTACCTCTATGAATCATGTATCTCATTCTCACTCCAAACAGTTCTGGGATGAGGGCTCTCAGTCAGCTGTAATTGTGTGAGATGTTTCTGAAAGGGGTTATCAGGTTTTTGTTTTCTTTTGAAGTACTTTACCATTAGAAACCATTGTGCTTTTTGCTTTCAGCTTTAAGCAGTATTTGAAACAAAAGTCCCAGGCGTTCCATCAAAACTGAGAGAGTTTTTACAAATACTGCTCAGAGAAAATTATATTATTTCTTTCTTGTAGCCCTAAAGGTACCAGATTGTCTTAGTTATACCAATGTAGATCAGATTCTTCCTGGTTTTGACATGAGGCTTAGCAATGAAAGTAATACCTGGACATGGTCCTGAGCTGCTGACCCAGTGATCCCTGTGTGAGCAGGGAGGTGGGACCAGATGGCCTCCAGAGGTGCCTTCCAACCTCAGCCATTCTGGGATCCTGTAATATACAGACATTTTAAGGTTGAATTCTTTTCTCAAATATAGTCACTCAAAAATGTTTCATACTGATAGGGAATCCTCTGTAACATGTTCTCTGTTCAATATGTAATATTCTTACCAGGTTCTTCAGTGTCAGTGCTCCTCCCATTCCCTGTTAGCCCAGTCACTCCTACAGCCTATCCTAGCTGTTACACAGGTACATTTCCGGGAAATACGTAGGACCAACCCAAACAGCATCATTGTTGATTTCCAACAATGTACTCCCTGATAGGAGCATCAGGCCTCGTGTTACCCAATTATACCAAAAGCTGCAGTGTAGTATAACTGCTGATGGTTCAGAGTGGCTCACATTTTGGTTTGGTTTTGGTTTTCATTTTGCACTGTGTGGGCGGTGCATTGTTGTTAGCCAACAATGTACTGTTGGTAGTAAGCACTTGTGTAGTCTTTAGCTTGCTGCATGTGTAAAATTGCTCTGTTTAAAAATGTAAGCTAATTGTTTACAGGGTTGTAGAACGTAGAGACTAATGGCTTTGCTTGTTAAAGCTTATTATGTAAGCAACATTTTCACAGATGATGTATCATATAGTTTTGCTTCCAGTGGCCTGTAGAAGCAGCTCACTTCTTTCCCATCTGTATTTAGGACAGTATACTGAAAAGAGAGAGCCTGTGTTTTCTCCATGAAAATTATCTTTGTTCTTTTTAATAGAGCAAGTTAATTTTTTGAATTGTAACATGATTTGAATGCATTTGTTTTGGCACTTGTTTTGTGAAAACATCTCTCTGTAAGAGAAATTATGTTGACTGTAATTTCATATATCATCAAATGATACATCCTTCATTTAATTATACTCAGGATTCTAGGAGTACAACACTGAAATCTATATTTACTCTTTCATACTGACATCACTTTAGATGACAATGGTGTTATGAGTCAACCCAAAAACCAAGCAAGGATTTTCAACCATACAGACTGTGAAAAAGAATCTCATTATAATACAACATGTGTAAGATGCTCACGTGTTCTGTGAGGTTGTTCATGGAAAACTATATTATGTTGTAGAGCTCATTAAAAGCCACTGGACAATAAAATACATCCATGGAAATATATATTTATTTCATTATGAGATCTGTTATACTTTCACTATAGCCTAGATGAAGTCATAACCACAGCTGCACTGAATTCTCCATCCTGCACACCATGTATAAAGTAAAAGAAGCAAAGACATAAATAGGACTGTGAAAAACATGAAATAATGGTGAGTTTTTAATTTTCTAAAACAATTCTTTTTTTCTTTTATTCTCAATATACGTTTTCCCTAAGCAAATATAATTCAATGATAGTCAAGCAGTAGCCAGCCATTTCTGATTATAGATTTTTATTTGCTTCCAAGAAGATTCATTGCTGTCCTTTCTTTCATCTTGTAGAAACTTCAACTATGTCTAGAAACAGTAGCAGACTTATGTATTTAAAAAAACCCAAAACACCACAAAAAACATTTCCCTTTGAGAAGGAATATTACCTGGTTTGACAGTGATTAGAGCAGAGAATTGGATGTTGCACATCAAGATGTAATAAATTTCTGTCACAGTTCAGTACTGGGTATTGGTCAAACCAATGAGTCTTTCATTCCCCTTGCTTTTCTGGAGTTAACAGTATTCACCTTTGGTAAACATCTTTGGATTTCTTGGCTGAAAGAAAATGCAGCTCTGTAAGTGGAAACTCATGTGCGACGACTGCATCATGGTGTGTAAAATCTGCTGTGAAACTGTGGAAGCTGTTATAATGGAACAGGCTGTTGATTTCTCTTACAGATCTACAGTGTGATGTGGTTTCCTCAGCATAGAGAGGATCATCCTAAGAAGATCTGAACTGAACTTTATACTGAACTACTGTGTTATTCTTCGGATGTTCAGGACTCCCTTCTTAAATTAAGTTTAACTCTGCATTTAATTTCATGTTTTCTCTTTATCTTTTTTTATTTCATCCATATACTTTGTACTTACTTCTGTGAGAAAAATTGTGGAAATAACACTAATAAAAGCGTAAATAAAAAAATTAATTCGTTCACTGGTGGTTTTTCTTATTTAATAAAAACATACAGACATATAAAGCCCCCTAAAGCCCTATTCTTCCTCAGATTCTGCCTTATTCATTTTAAACTTTGTTTAAAAATGCAATTGCTACTATTAAAGTTTGTTACAGTTATTTAATAGAAAATGCATTTTATGCATTATTAACAACAAGCCTTCTCACAAGAGCAGTTGATCAGTTTTACAAAATTTTTTGAAAGACAGTGGACTTACTCTTAAGAGGCTTCTGAGTGAAGAATGAACCTTTCATAATTGTTATTGAAGATATAAGGATACAGATACTTTAATGCATGAAATAAAATAGTTTGAAAAGCACTACAATGTATAGCTAATGTCACTTTTTCTTTCTGTCTCTTGACCCCATAAAACGTTCAGGAATGTACTTGTCTCTGAAATGTTTAGAATTCTGAGCTGATATTTTTTTCAATCAATGCCCATTTTGCAGGTAAGGAAGATGGCAAATTCTGTAAAAAGGTGACTGTTAGGATGACTATCCGCAAGAATGACTGCAGGAGTAACACACCAGTAAGTAAATAACTATCACCATTTCTTTTAATAGAAGAGAAAAAAAATGAGGAAAAACAAGAAGGAAGAAAGGGAACATAAATTCCACAAGGCTGTTGTCTGCATCTCTCACAGAGACTGAAGTTTCTGTTTCATAGAGCTCTTTTAGTGTTTCCTTACATTTCCAGCAATCATCTCAAGTAATAAGAGAAAGGGGGATGTGACATCTGTGTTTGTATGCATTTAGGAACATGTTGATTTAGTGCAAATCCAAGGTCTCAGTCCACCCTATAATGCAATTATTATATGCAAACTAACTTTGATATAACTGAATCTTGCCAGTGATACATTACAGTAAAATGGCTGCAGATGTGTTTAATTTTCCATCTGTCTAAGGAAAGTATTTAAATGCCAACTTCATGAAGGAAGGAATCTTGGGTCCTGAAGGTTTTTTTAGACAGCAGCATGAGCGTACTCTGAATTGTATAGGAAGAATGAGGCACTATTTGTGTGTCTGCTGAAGGATTTACTGTAGGAGGACACCAACAGTGTCCTGCTGGGCAGTAAGGCAGTGTGAGCAGCAGCAAGGGTGCAGACAGACGTCTCATGTGAGATGTGTAAGAGAGCCTGGAAAAGCAGTAATAAAAGAAAACAGCTGTAACCTCTAAAATGACTCAGAGTATGTTTTGTAAACTGTTGAGCAGCCAGGAAATTTAGTCTCAGTGTCTTATTCAACCAGAAACACAAATCCTGACTATTAAGCTTGAAAAAATTATCAGTTTGTATGACTGTTTCTGTTACAGTCTGTATTACAGTTTTGGTATCATTACTAAATTCCTCTTGGCTTTCCAAAGGATGAATTCTTTATATTCCTCCTTCCTGATATCAGTGCAACAACACTGCATCAGTGTATCACTGAAATTAATACTGTAGGGAGTTGTGGACAGAACATTTGGTGCTATGTTCAAGCCAAAGTTGTTATGAATACTTTAAAATTCAAAACTGAAATTGTTCCTCTGCATCTGTTAATAGCCAAAATCTGCTGTTACTATGTACTGAGATTGTCATCGCTGTGAGATAAAAACTGAGACCTATCTGGGCATCGTACTTAAGTTTATTACTCAGACATAGTGGGATTTTATAAGGGGGCTAGAGGAAATGCCTCCACATTTTTCATTGCTTTGCCACTGAATTTGGGTGCCTAATGTCTTTGGATGTTCTTGAGAACCCATAACTTTATTTTCTAGCTGCTTCAATTTGCTGATTATTCTTCATGTTTGTTACCAGGTGAACATTGTTTCATGCGATGGAAAGTGCCCATCTGCAAGCATTTACAACTACAACATCAACACATACGCAAGATTCTGCAAATGCTGCAGGGAGCTCGGACTACAGAGACGGACTGTGCAATTGTATTGCACCAGTAATTCAACCTGGGTCAGCTATTCAATCCAAGAGCCTACAGATTGTTCTTGCCAATGGTCTTAAACACATAAAAGCAAAGAAAACAGCAAGCCCAGCTGTTCCCAGCATAAGATAATTTGAATAGTTTATCTCTTTAAAATACAATACCCAAACCACTGAATTTTACCAGTTTAATGCTAAAAGATAAGAGTAAAAATAGTTTTGGACTCTTCTAAATTTCTGAAGAATGGTTTTGCATCATTTCTATTGTGATTTGTCTTCATGTTCATTCACAGGGATTGTTTTAAGAGTTCTTGTGATATGTGCCAACTTAAAAGGTGAAGTGACTTATGTTAGAGACACCTCAAGAGACAGGACACCATCTAATTTGTTGTGGAAGGCTGGCCCACTCTTTGTCAGGCACCCGTAACTACTTTAAATCATTGACTGGCTTACCTGGCAGCAGTTCACTATTTTGAATGCATTGCAATTGTGCAAATACATTCAGTGTCTATTAAGAAAAAATGGACAACGTAAGAAGAATTTTCAGTTTAAATCATATTCCTGTTGCAAAGTAGAGCATGTATAAGAAATTCAATTAAAGTTTGTTGGGTTTTCTTTTAATCAGGGAAACATTGTCAGTAGTAATAACTGTATGTAATATTCCCTGATAATAATTTAAGTTTTTCTAGTGTATTTTATATTGTAGTGAAAAGTATTATGGCAAACATGTAATGTTATGGAACAGACAGTCTGTTTTTAGGCCATTGAAATTAGTCATTAGTAGTTACTTTATCTTTCTGCTTAGCAATATGACATAAACTGAAAATACACAGATTCAACAAATGGAAACCAGTTTACATTCCTTTCTATAGATATACCTTAAATTAAAACATTCATCTTATGAAATGCGCCATATTAAAATTGTTTCTTTAGGAGAATGAACGTTGTTTAACACTAATTTTAAAGATGTGACAATTAATTAGGAAAAAGAAAACCAGGATTATGTATGTGTCTAAAAGAAAAACAAAGCTGAAAATCTTTGTCACCAGTGGAGTAGAATGTAACTTCTTACGGCAGGTGTTTGAAATTGAAAAGGTACAATTTTAAGGTTTGAAATTTCAAAAGCAGTTTTGCTTATGAACTTGAACAATCAACATTTGTTGAACTAATTTTTTTCTCCTAATTTTTTAAGCTAATTTTTTCTCCTAATTTTTTAAGATAATGTTGCTGTTCTATTCTTTTCCAACAAATGCCACCAAGATTCAGCAAAAATTAAGTAGCTTTCATTTTGTAGATTAAAATTGTAGATAGCACATAGTGATATGCTTGAGATCCTATAATAGAAAATAGATCTCAGCATAATTTCTTAAAAAGCTGCTTCTCTGCAGTTAATCCAAAGAACAATGTATTGTTAAAATCATTCGTGAACATTTTTTACATTCATTTTGTATTCTGTACATTTCATTCTTGCAATATCTAATAAACAACAGGAAGTCTTATTTTGTTACAATTAATTTTGCTATCATTGTTAAAGCAGATTGCTATCATGTGATTCAACACAGTTTATTGTTTTCTTCTTTACCAGTGCACATGGTTAATTTTAGGGTTTGCTGCTGTCACTAGTACTAATGAATCTAATACTACATCAAGGAAGACCTGCATATGGATTTTTGAAAATCTACATCTTTTTACGATTCCACCACAGTTCACTTTCATTCTCAGAAATACGAAATTCCACTATGTAATTTTATTCAAAACAAAACCCAGAAAACCATTGCTCATCAAAGTATAACAACACATTTCTGACACTGTCAGGCTGTTTATTCTGGAAAAATGGGAAAAAAGAACAGTACATCTTAGCACATTTCCCTTCCCCAGCTTTTTTTTAAACTACCCCTCAGCATTGACTGCAATGAGTAGACTGTGTTCGAGTAAGTGTAGGCATGTTGTTATAATAGGGTGGTTGTGTGGTGACAATTACCCTTCAGAACTTAGGGACAGGTAGAGTCATTAAGACGTGTGTAATATCTGACTGTCCCTACCCCTTTTAGTAAGTCATGTTCCTTGTTCAAAGACATCTTCTGAATTGTGAAAAAGCACAGAATTGGGTAGGAGTGTGACCTTTGAAAAACCATGGATTGAGGAGCAGAAAAGACATTAAACAGAACTAAGTCCTTGAACCCAAGGGCTTAAACTTCAGGCTTTTGCAAAGTTGAAGTTCAGCATCCCTTAGTACCAGCTGGCAGATGCCACTGAGGGTAGGAAATAGTGAAAAGAGGTGTTACTTTTGCTCTCAAGCAAGATGGTATTTGCTGTGAAGTGCCAAGCACCACCATGAGGGACAGAGAGCAGGAATTAGGCCAGCTGCCATGCTTCCATCTGCTGTGGCGTGGTCCCTCCTCTGGCCACTTGAGCTAATGGCAAGGCACTCGTTGCTCCCCGCAGCACAAGGCAGTTACTTTGAAAACCATTCCAGATCCAAACTTTACAACTCTTGATTGAAGAGAAAGGTTAATACTGGCAGTGGGAGTAGAAAGCAGAGTGTAGTGTATGCAATAACCGTAATCAAACACTGCTGCTGCTTCTACTTCAGGAATAAAATAATAAACTTTGTGTTAAGTCCCTACTTCTGATTTTGTAAACATTAGGCTTATGCTAAGAGAAACAGGAGGAAAGATCCAAACTGCCTATGGCTCGACAGGGGAAGCTACTTTTATCCCTGCCTCCACATTAAATTCCTTCACGGATGCTTAACCTGTCTGTGGTTAGTTCAAAGCAAGCCGGCCCCTTATCGTATATTTATTTACCTTACACTGTGTTTGCACAAAGCAGCTCAGCTGGAAAAAGATTTTGCCTTATTTGTACTTCCACATCTTCAGAAACCAAAGAGATCTCAGCCAGCTGTGGGTTTCATTTGACCCTCCCGTACAGGAGGTACTTTGACTCAGCAAGATCTGAGTCCTAAAACAACTTTACTTTCTTTTTACTAAGAAGTTGTCTTTTGCTTGATTATATCGGTGTAATATGAAGGTATACAGCACTCAAGTTAAGCTCTTTAGAATACATGCGTTTTGCTATCACAGCCTTGTTTGTATTTTTATTACCCTTAAAGGCATATGTGCACTTGGAGCTAATGAAATATTGGAGCCTTTATGTAAGTTCTCATAATGACAAAAGTTAAATTCTGCATTCAGCATATAAAACAAGTCACTGGAGGGAAATTCACTTTCTAAAAGCATTGCTGCCAGGCTGTGGTCCATTGCTATAGTGGTATAGTTCCTGTTGCAGCAGTGTGTGGTGCACTCTTCTGGGGCAAAACTGTGACTGGATCATTCAATGAGTACAATCAAGATTTCTTGCAGTGTTTTGTAGAAGAACGGTGTTTCCTAGGGGTCCAAAAAGAAGAAAAAGAAAAACAAAACCTGGTTTTAGAAACCCAAGAGACCAAAAAAGCTGCTTAGGTAGCAAATACTGGGTGGTCTTTTGGTGGGTGACTGCTGGGGCAGCAACAGGTGTGAAGGCCACTGCAGAGAGACTTTGCTCCCTCACAAACAGGGATAGAGCAAGAAAAAACACCTGTGCTACTGCTGTGCTCCTGCTGCCCCTCAGAGCAGAGGCTGGAAGGGGTTACGGAGAGGCCTCCTTCCAGCCCACCAGCTAAGAGGCCAGTTTGCACCACCTGAAGCCTGGTTTTGTGGGGCAGTAAAGGAGGAGGTGGTGGTGATGCTGGGATGGCTGCTTGGTGGATGGGTAAAAGTAGTGTGGAGAGCATAGTGTTAGTGTCTTGTGAGCGCTGTTTTCCTCAGGTAGCCCTTTATTTCAGAAGAGATAAATGGCTGGTTGATATGGCGTCTGCAGGCTGTAAAATGAGGGATAGGAGGTGTGTGGCCTTAGAGGCTCTGGCAGAGGTCTTCAGTCTTTCCTTTGAGCCTATCTCAGTGTGGCTGTGAGAAAGATTTGAAAAGGTAATCTTTTATCCTGCAAAAGCTGACTTCCAGGTGGTGAAAGCAGCAAAGAAATAAAAAGAAATGCTGGTGGTGTTGGAAACCTTTGTGCTTGTACAGCCATGTTGAATTAGCTCTTCAGCTGCTTCGCTTCTGTAAATCTGAAACAGTGGTGATTGCTAGCAGAAAGCACAGCTGCTGGTAGTCTCTAGTTCTCTTCTGCAGGCTTCAGGGCTGTCTGTAGAAATGGACTTCTAGATGCTGATTAATTTAGAGCAAACTCAAAAATAGTGCTCAGGTGATTCCTCCAAACAATTGCTGTTGGTGCTTTTCTGGCAGATATCTTGGGGCTGCTGCTCTGCAGGGCTTAGTGCGTTGTAAAGTTGTTCATCCTGAATAAAAGAAAACAAATTTGAAGAATTCTTTTCAGAGGGCAGGTGAAAGACTGAGTAATTTGGGGCAGGGGAAAGTGTAGGAGAAAACAGGTATATGCTAAAGTGGGCGGGAATAGTTTTCTTCTTGATCTCTTAACATCACAGTAAATAACTGGTTTTGTTTAATGTGAATGAAAATGCTGTGTGTGTGTGTGAAACCTTGACCTTCCTGAAACTGAGGCCTGTTAACGTTTCTTCACAAGTCTTAAAACTTTGCTCCACCCCTGAGGGCCATGTTCTCCTCACATGTGTTTGCATATGTGGAGTTTCTCCACAAAAGTGATTCCTAATGTAAGTACGGAAACCTCCTAGGCTTGTATCTTGTTAAAACTAGAATTTTAAATATTTCCAGGGCTGGATCATTTGCAGTCTTTGAATAAAATGCTTAGCAATTTGAGTATGGAAACACTGCCTGTTTGTTATGGTCCTGATTGCTCATTGTCATCTCCTCTAAAAAACACTTTACTTACGTTACCTCAAGCAAGCTTACCCAGCCATGATTCACACGAAAAATATATGTGATTTGGCAGCTGGAGCCTTGAGTATGATGGATATTGGCCATTAAGAAAGGCCTTAAAAAGAAATATAATGATATCAATTGTGCTATCTAAACTTTTACTGTCTGGGTTATTAGTACATGATCTGGTCTCAGGATAACAGCCTCCTGAGTAATGCTTCCTCCAATTAGCGATAGTGCTTTCTGGTGGTTTGGTAAATTAATCTGAAATATTGGCATCTGTTGGTCTGCAGTTTAATGCAAACTATTAGTCACAAGTTAAATAACTTGCATCTCCTCAGATGGCCTCTCAACTATGCAGTCCATCAAGTCGGACCAAAATAATTCAAAAAATTTCAGCCTTGCTCTTATCTCTGCCCACACCATCATCTTTCTCCCCAGTGCAAGTGGCTAGCCATGAGTAATTAAAATGAGGTAACAGCTGCTACACAGATGGTGATTTTTTGTAAAAATCCCCTCATTGTGAGGAAGACACCTAACCTCTCTAGAAATAGTACCTGACAGCCTGCCATCCCCTCAGCTCTGCTTTCCGTATGGGCTTTTGACAAAGGCTTTGATCATGTCAGCTCACTTTACCTGTTTAAAACATAGATAATCTGAATTAACTCAGGTGTCCAGGATCCATTCATTACCAAAGAAAGAGGTGCATCCAGAGAGTGACTCATTCCATCCTAAATTGTCTAAGATCGATGTGATGAATCATCTTCCAGATGTATCATCTTTCATATTCACTGTAGAGAGAACCTGGATGGAAAGATGTGGTTAGGCCCCTCGGTTTTAGGTTATTAAAATTCATTGGTATGAAAATCACCCTTAAAGATATCTCAACAGACTCAAAAGTCAACTACTCTGATAGTGTATATGGCATATCTTACCTGATCTCCTCGTATGAGTTCATTAATGGTAATATTTGATTTGCATGAAGCTGAATGTAATGTAATGTCTCGTACAGTTTTTCCTGTATGTCTTATACTGTCATATGAAATGAGTATACTTTACCTAAACTATCCCTGTATCTCTAGAGCTGAAGAAAGACATCAGCAGCAGCTGAATCTTCAAGATGGAAAAGCACAACTGCGTTTATTGCCATGACACGGTGCTATATTAGCTGGATCTATAAGGTGAGTGAATTTTAAAATACTTCTAGTTTATAGACTTTTTACTGTGTAGGTGTTGGCTTGAGTCTTGTGATTCATGATCTTGCTTTCTAAGCTTTTGGCTTCCAAGATCTTTAAGGTAATGAAACCCACCTATGAAATACCTTTGTGCTTTATCTCTTCAGAGTTGTGTTCGAGGCAGCAGAGAGGCTTTTCAATATACAGGCCTTTCCTGACTGATTTATTGATACGATTGCCCAGGAGCAGATTCTGATCTCAGTTAATGTACTTGAAAGGAACATCAGAGCTGGTGTTTGTTTTTTCTCAAGACTGATGTTAGTTCATGAATTGAGTATGTGAGATTTGTGTGATACGTGTCTTGTGTAGTATATAGAAGATTGGACAGAAAAAAAAATACAGCAGGTCACTTTAATAAAATTTCTTTTTATTAATAATGCAGAGTCTGATCTTAAGCATGAAATATCAAAGGCAGAATAGCTGG